GACTTTGGGAGGCATTTACTTCAAAGCAATGGGATCTAACTGCCCACTATGTGGTCAACAGGGACAGGGATGCAGCCTCAATTCCTGCTCCGAAATGCAGGGGCGTGGCTAAAATAAGGTTCCACCTACAGACTCAAACTTTATGTTTCGGTAGTGACATGAAAACGTGGAGCAGCATTTTTTGAATTTAGGTTTTATTTAAGAATCCAAGCCTAAATCTTATCTTTCATCTTCACTTTAAAATAAATCAAAAAGCCTTTAAAAAAATGAAAAAAATGGAAGTATTATTTTCACAAGTGTAAATTTAGGGGGGAGGGTTTGAGACAGACTCAGCAAACTGGGGACCAAAGTGCTCTGGAGATCTAACACTCTGAACTCAGTTCATGAAGGCCTTGCTGATGAGCTGATTAACTGAATCAGGTGTGTTTAATGAGGCCGTGTGCTGAAGTCTGCAGTGTTTTGGCCCATAAGGACTGGAGTCTGTGATATAAATGATGATTTTGTGTATATTTAGATTATTACTGTCTCTATTAACCGCTTAAAATCTCAAGCTTATTATAAACTAAGGCTTATTATTCAGTAACTATACAGGGACTTCAATGCAAACTGGCTGAGCTGTTCTTAGGTTATAGAAGTGTGTAATAAAGCTGGTGGGCCCTGGTAATTGAAGGGGTTAATAGAATCAACCCTAAATCCAAATCCTTATTTTTAATCCTTACGCATAAACATGTTTTAGCATCGTCTTGAGAATCAACTGCACATATTATGTGTTTGGTTTTATTTTTGGCCCTCCACTGTTTTGCTGTGCCTTTTAACCTCTTCTGAGGGCCTCCTAGTGGCCATTCTGCATATTTTGTCCTTCTAGCCATTTCACCAACATGAATATTTTTAATTAATTTAATCAAATAAAACGTCTTTCCCTGTAACTCTGTGATTAACCCCTTAAAATCAGTCTTACTACATACTAGGGCTTATTAATCAGTAACTACAGGGACTTTAATACAAACTTAGGCTATAGAAGTGTGTAATAAAGCCATTTAAGGAGTTAAGGTCTTGGGTTTAAATGGATCATAACATAATCTTTGTCAATACCTAAGGTCCGAAAGCTTTAGAGACCCCTGCACTATTATTTTAGGATGTGAGTTGGCACGTTCACACAGATGCAGTGATGGCTGCCTGTCTCATTTTGTCCAGAGTGTCCCTTTAAAGCCCATGTGTCAAAAACAAGGCCCGTGGGCTTGACACAATCCGATCCAGCCTGCAAAAGTATTTTAATTTACTATTAATATTAGCCTGTTACACAATGCTCTGCACTACAGTCCCCAGCATGCACTGCAACCTAATGTCCTCTGACTCTCCTACCCCAACAGCAGTCTATGGGACAGCAGTTACCCCTCAATTCTACACCAGTCATATCACCAAACAAACTAACTGCAGTTCAACCAACATGAACACTTAACGTGAGCTCATCAGCTCAGAACCTGAGCCCAAGTCTTAATGAACTTGCAGCGAAGAGAGGACACCAGGTGTCCAGTTCAAGCAGACAGGTAGATTTAAAAGAGCACCTGGGGACGTTTACATTTAGAATATTTCAAGTACTCATGTAATATTTCAAGATCTACTACAAGTGCCTGTACTTTACTGCTGAAGATTTTGCATATTTTGAATAACCAATGGCCACATGCTGTAGGGTACTGGTCATAAGGCTTTATGACACCTACATAAGCTTGTAGCGACAACTGACATAACCCTACATACGTGTTTTTAAATGCTTACTCCAGTAGGTGTAATTCGCTATGAAGGTTACATTTGCCAGTTTTGATCAAAGTTAGCTGAAGGAGCATTTATGACAGATGACACCTATTGGAATAAGCTTTTATAAGCATTTATGTAGAGTCGTATCAGTTGTCATGACAAGCTTATGTAGGTGTCATGTAGCTTTATGAACAGGACCCTACAGTAAAGTGTTACCCATTTTTCTCTGGGCCACAGATTTGTTGAGGTTTTCTTATATGGCCCCTCTAGTCTGAGGGTTTGTCCTACCAGCCTAAACTGCTGTAGGCTAAATGGGAGGGGCCAAACTGCTGTAGGCTGAATGGGAGGGGCTAAACTGCTGTAGGCTGAATAGTGGGGCCAAACTGCTGTAGGCTGAATGGGTGGAGCTAAATTTCTATAGGCTGAATGGGTGGAGCTAAACTGCTGTAGGCTGAATAGTAGGGCCAAACTGCTGTAGGCTGAATGGGCGGAGCTAAACTGCAATAAGATGAATGGGCGTGGCTAAACAGCTGAACGGGTGGGGCCAAACTGCTGTAGGTTGAATGGGTGGAGCTAAACTGCTGCAGGCTTAATGGGTGGAGCTAAACTGTTGTAGGTTTAATGGGTGGAGCTAAACTGTTGTAGGCTTAATGGGTGGAGCTAAACTGCTGTAGGCTGAATGGGCGTAGCTAAACTGTTGTAGGCTTAATGGGTGGAGCTAAACTGCTGTAGGCTTAATGGGTGGAGCTAAACTGCTGTAGGCTTAATGGGTGGAGCTAAACTGTTGTAGGCTGAATGGGTGGAGCTAAACTGTTGTAGGCTTAATGGGTGGAGCTAAACTGCTGTAGGCTGAATGGGTGTAGCTAAACTGTTGTAGGCTTAATGGGTGGAGTTAAACTGCTGTAGGCTTAATGGGTGGAGCTAAACTGTTGTAGGCTTAATGGGTGGAGCTAAACTGCTGTAGGCTGAATGGGTGTAGCTAAACTGTTGTAGGCTTAATGGGTGGAGCTAAACTGCTGTAGGCTTAATGGGTGGAGCTAAACTGCTGTAGGCTTAATGGGTGGAGCTAAACTGTTGTAGGCTTAATGGGTGGAGCTAAACTGTTGTAGGCTTAATGGGTGGAGCTAAACTGTTGTAGGCTTAATGGGTGGAGCTAAACTGCTGTAGGCTTAATGGGTGGAGCTAAACTGTTGTAGGCTTAATGGGTGTAGCTAAACTGTTGTAGGCTGAATGGGAGGGGCTAAATTTCTATAGGCTGAATGAGTGGGACTAAACTACTGTAGGCTGAATGGGCAATGGTTCTTCAAGGGTTCTTTAGTAAAGAAAATGGTTCTATACCATATTGGTTCTATATTCTATATTGTTTCGATGTCAAGCTTGTAACAATAGAAGGACCTGTTTTGGTACTATATAGAACCATTTTCAAAAAAGGTTCTATATAGAACCATCTGCAGCACATTCTCCATTAATCTGAAGAACCATTTCAGCATGCAAATGGTTCTTTGAATGTTGATGGTTCTGTATAGAACCACTGTCTTCTAATGAACCATCTTTTTTAAGAGTGTGGAGAAGAGCTCCATCCAGACCGCACTAAGGCTTCTGCTAAGCTCAGAGGTGGAAAGTTCTGGAGCTGTTTATCTCACTGTGCTGCCACTGAGCTGATGTTCTCTGATGGGATCATGAACTCAGAAGAGTAGAGACATTTTGGATCCAAAGCTGCAGAAGATCTTCAAAGAAAGAACGACCTGAAACTCACCAGCCACCTCTGAAAGAACAGTTCACCAGGAAGAGGAACCCAGTCCTGGATCTGTTTAAAATTAAGGCCATTTGGTTTGACATTTTCTTTCCAAACACAATGAAGTGACTACATTTTTAAGCTTGGCACCAAAGTCCAAACACCACTACAGGCCTCTACTGTGACACATACGTTAAACCTATATGTATGCGTGGACTATCCCGCCATCTAGTGTTAGAAATATGGTAGTGCAGATAGAAATGGTTAATGCTTTAATCCAAACTGCACTCAAATAATGCAACAGATGAGCTGTTAAAGAGCTCAGATACCAGAATCATATATATATATATATATATATATATATATATATATATATATGTGTGTGTGTGTGTGTGTGTGTGTATAATCCTTGAGTGGGACTAAACAATTTTATTTATTATCTGGGAAACAGATCAGAATCAGAAAGAGCTGAATATCTCTTTTTAATTACATATATTGTTTTAATAGAAAATAATATTTACCAACACATCACTACGACACTTAATGCGTACATTAACAGCAGCAAAACAATAAAAAATAACACAAAAGTAAGATATGTTGCAATGAATACATAAAAACAAATAAATAAATAAATAAATAAATAAATAATAGTAAGCAGATATTGAGGGATTCAATATATGCTGCAAAGCTCCAGACATTTGAGGAAAGTACTGCTCTTCTTATCATTTACTATTTTTATTTTTAGAATTTTTTATTTATTTCTTTTTATCATTTCTATTTTAAACACCAAGGTTTTTTGGAACTGAATTTGAAAATTTGCTTTCATGAATAAAAAAAAAAAATAGAAAAAAAAAGTTCTGCTTTTACAGCGGAGTAATGCGTCATGTACAAAAACACGAAGCTCCTGCTGTGATTGGCCGAAGCAGGGACACTCGGTGCGTTCTGATTGGCTGCCGCGTCTTAGCCGCTGGTGCCATCACGAGAGCACTGCGGCTCTTTTCAGCGAGTCGGATCAATCGGCTCAGCTCTCCAGCATGAGTCGACTCCTTCGGTTCTCCACTCAACAGCACTGTCTGTTTTTTGATTAGCCAGGTTTACAGCATTATCTATCGTTTGTTCTTCAATAAAACCTTAGTCTGCTTTCTAATGAACGAAAATTGCGTTAAACGAATACAGTAAGATGTTAATAAATAGTCTGACTGGATGAACTCGACAGACAAGGAGAGTCAGAGTCAGAACTCAGAATAAATAGCGAGGCACACTCGGAAACACGGCTAAGACTGACACGAAAGCAGGTGCTGTAAATAACGGGAATATCGAGGAGCGGAATCATCTGTGCTGTTTTAATTAATAAATCCGGCTCCTCAACGCGAGTCGGCTCCCAACGTTCATCTAAAAGAGTCGACTCAAAGAACCGATTCAAAGAGTCGACCCAAAGAGCCGACTCTTTCTTGAACGACACGTCACTGCTTGCAGCGTCCTGATTGGCTGCCGCCGTTCGGCCCCAAAGCAAAAGGAAAAGAGAAGTTGGCTCTGGCGGAAGTGAGCAGGCGACGGGAAATGTGGCGGACCTAGCGCGGGATCAGCGGCTGTTTCTTCCTCCCCACGTTGTCGTTTCGGCTCCAGAGCAGAATGCCGGCCCCCCGGAGCTCGGCCCTGACCCCCGCCGCCCTGCTGTGGCTCTCTGCGGCGGCCGTGACCGCCGTTTTCAGCCCGGGGACGGACAGCGAGCTCACCTTTCTACTTCCGGCCGGACACACCGAGTGCTTCTTCCAGAGCGCCTCGAAGAACGGAACCCTGGAGGTGGAGTACCAGGTGAGCAGCTTCACTGGAACATCAGCAGGTGTGGGCTAAAGGACAGTGGTCAGCACCTGGCCAGTGCAGATCTCCTGGAGCTCCTTGAGCAGTGGTCATCAGCTCTGGAGATCCTGGAGGTCTGCACTGCTCAGGTCTCTTGTCTTGGTCTTGAGTCTAGGCAGACCTTCTGGACCTCCAGGGTGGCCTTAAGCAGTGGTCATCAACCCTGGACAGGACATCCTGGAGATCTGCCTTCCTGTAAGTTCCACCTCCAACCCCAATGTTCCACCACACGATGCGTCAGACAATTGTCTTCAGAGATCTTAGATTAGTTGAACAGGATGTGTTACATTTGGGTTGGAGGCAGAACCTGCAGGAAACAAGACCTCTACACACCTAAAAAGATGGTTCTTCAGGGGTTCTTTAGTAAAGGGAATGGTTCTATTTAGAACCGTGAGTTCCACGCTCTTAAAAAAAGATGTTTCTTCAAGGGATCTGTTGTGGAGAAAGTGGTTCTGTGTAGAACACTTAAAGAACGCTTTGCGTGGTTCTTTGCACTGTGAAATGGTTCTTCAGATTGATGGAGAATGTGTTGTATATGGTTCTGTACAGAATGTTTTTGAAAAGTGTTCTCCTATTGTCACTAGAACTGTCTGACATCATATCAATAGAAGGCTTTTTTTGGTGCTATAGAAATCCCTTGTCATAAAGGTTCTATATGGTTCTATATAGAACCATGTGCAACACATTCCATATAGAACCGTAACACATTCTCCATCCAGCTGATGAACTGTTTCACCATGCAAAGAACCCTTTTATCATGCAGAGCTTTTGCATGTCTTTGAATGTTCATGATTGTACATAGAACCGTTTTCTTTACTAAAGAACCCTTGAAGAACCATCTTTTTAAATAATGTTTATAGAACCATTTCATGCTTAAATGGTTCTTTGCATTGTGAAACGTGATGGAGAATGTGTTGTGTTTGGTTCTATATAGCATCAAAAAGGGTGTCAAACTTGTAAAAATAGAAGAACATTTTTGGTGCTACATAGAACCATTTTTCAGAAGGTTCTTTATGGAACCATATACAACACATTCTACATTAATCTGAAGAACCATTTCACCATGCAAAGAACTATTTAAGCATGAAATGGTTCGATATAGAGCTCATGGTTCTAAATAGAATTATTAGCTGTACCAAAGAACCCTTGGAGAACCATCATTTTAAGTATGTAGAACTCATGGTACTAAATAGAATCATTTCCTTTACTAAAGAACCCTTGAAGAACTATTTTTAAGTGCGCACTCCAGAATGAAGGTTGGACTGTTCTAGGTTGTTAAGCTGTGGTCAGCAGCTTCACAGACCTGTGGTCAGCATCTTTATTTTCAGGCTCCAGATCAATGACCCTCAGTCAGGTGAGCTTCAGGGTTCGGGGTCCGTGTTGACCGAGTTCCTTGGAGCAGGAGTTCTGATTTAGGATCAGGTTCCTCTTATTTAATTTGACTTTACTGACCAGAACAGATCTAGATCAGCGTCTGAGCAGCTCGTAAATACAGGCCACATCAATTATGGTAAGTAGGTCAGACCAGTGGTCAGCACATTCAGATTCAGATGTTAAACCAGTGACTTGTGGTCAGTAAGTCAATTTTCAGACTTTAGATCACTAACGTGTGGTCAGCACTAAACTGTGGTCAGTAGCTCCGCTTCAGAGGTTAGATCACTTAACTGTGGTCAGTAGGTCAGCTTTAGAGTACAGAACACTTAACTGTGGTCAGTAGATCAGCTTCAGAGTTCAGATCACTTAACTGTGGTCAGTCGGATCACTTAACTGTGGTCAGTAGATCAGCTTCAGAGTTCAGATCAGTTAACTGTGGTCAGTCGGATCACTTAACTGTGGTCAGTAGATCAGTTTCCGAGTTCAGATCACTTAACTGTGGTCAGTCAGATCACTTAACTGTGGTCAGTAGATCAGCTTCAGAGTTCAGATCAGTTAACTGTGGTCAGTTGGATCACTTAACTGTGGTCAGTAGATCAGTTTCATAGTTCAGATCACTTAACTGTGGTCAGTCGGATCACTTAACTGTGGTCAGTAGATCAGTTTTCATAGTTCAGATCACTTAACTGTGGTCAGACTGATCACTTAACTGTGGTCAGACTGATCACTTAACTGTGGTCAGACTGATCACTTAACTGTGGTCAGACTGATCACTTAACTGTGGTCAGTAGGTCAGTTTTAGAGTTCAGATCACTTAACTGTGGTCAGTCAGATCACTTAACTGTGGTCAGTAGGTCAGTTTCAGAGTTCAGAACACTTAACTGTGGTCAGTCAGATCACTTAACTGTGGTCAGTAGGTCAGTTTCAGAGTTCAGACCACTTAACTGTGGTCAGTAGGTCAACGTTAGAGTTCAGACCACTTAACTGTGGTCAGTAGGTCAGTTTTAGAGTTCAGACCACTTAACTGTGGTCAGTAGGTCAGTTTCAGAGTTCAGACCACTTAACTGTGGTCAGTAGGTCAGTTTCAGAGTTCAGACCACTTAACTGTGGTCAGTAGGTCAGTTTTAGAGTTCAGACCACTTAACTGTGGTCAGTAGGTCAGTTTCAGAGTTCAGACCACTTAACTGTGGTCAGTCAGGCCACTTAACTGTGGTCAGTAGGTCAGTTTTAGAGTTCAGAACACTTAACTGTGGTCAGTCAGACCACTTAACTGTGGTCAGTAGGTCAGTTTCAGGGCGTTATTTCTCAGAGCAGGGTTTCTTGGTAAACCTGAAGGCTGGTGGTCCGGTGTCCACAGTGATATCAGAATTGTATTGAAATCTGCAGATATTTGCCTAAACGTGATCATAATTAGACAGATCAGTGTTCCAGTGTGATGATGTGTTTGCTGAACTCCAGTGGAGCAGAGTGTTTCTATGACGCCGAGTCACGGAACTGAAATATCAGCACTTTATTCATTTCACTGCTTTAGTAACTGTACAGAAACACATTCTCACCTTCTAAAGAAAAACATCTCCAACGTGTGAACTTTACAGTAGAGGGCAAAAACCTCCTTCACTCTCAATGTAAGTTAATGGAAAGAAATTTATTTGAAGCCAATTTTGGAGCGTTTCTGTTTGTCCAGCCATCATGAAATTTTCACACAGCGTGAAAGACGGCGGCTGAGCTCAGATCATGCAGAAAACCCAAAATCAAATTTGGACAGTGATGAAACTTTCCATTCTTCTGTGATGTTAATCTAAGTTTAGTCCCCGTTTCCACATTTCTGAATGTAGATCAGCTTTGACAGATATGCACCTGAAAAACACTGCATATGAAAATCAGTCCAGTCTAGTAGGATTGTTTCTCCTCTGCTGCTGGACAGTCAAGACTTGCGGCCTGCCGTATTTTGCTAATTGAGAAATCCTGCGTTGTGAAACGTCCTCAGGCTGCGGCCTGCTGTCGTGTCTGTGGTCATGATGAGTCTTCGCGGAAAAGCTGTGCACCAGAGCAACGACTGTGACGGTGTCAGTAACAGTTGAGGTCGAACGATTCTGAATGTTTTTCTGATCCACACAGGAAAAAGTCATCTCTACTCTCGAAAAGGAGGTTGTAGTCCAGAAACGTTATCTTTCAGTCCATCTGCAGAGACATGTTGATAGGCTAACCTGTTTTTCTGCAGCGTTGTGTGTTTTTTAGACTGTAAGAACACGTCATGCCTTGAGTGAACTACGTGGAAATGTCTTAAATTTCCATTTTTTTTCCTCTACTGTCATGTTTTATGTCGAAAGCACTGACAGTCAAAAAGTAATGTAACCTTAACTGTATGTAGTATTATTTAGCAGTTGAAGGGGAGGAGAATTCCACCCTTTCTTCATAGCTCAGTGGCTGAGATGTCATTCAGAGAGGTTTGGTGTGAAATGGTTCAGATGTCTTCACAGTGGTGGTGATAGGAACCAGGGGTCGCCATGACTACAACACAAATATAGACATTTTATTTACTATCCAGAACCACCAGTGAACCTACACGAGTCTTCTGAGTTTATATGGAATGTTGATGATGGAAAATAGTGGAAAATCTGAAATAATAAGTTTTCTTTGGGGACTATTTTGCCTCACAGCGCCCTGCATGTATCCCTCCACCATGAATGGAGTTTAAGTTCTCTAAACTATCATAAAACAGTGTCTCAGTCATCAGGCAGTGAATTCATAACCATTTCATGTAGGAACTTTCTGTGAGGGAGCTTTTAGAGGTGGACGTCTGGTTCCTATCACCACCACTGTGAGCAGTTCTGACTCGGTAAGTTTATCTAGAACAGAGCGTTTCACACCAAACCACTCTGAATGACTCTGTTTACATCTTAACCACTTAATTATGCAGATACTTTGAGAAAATGTGAAATTTAAAACAAATGATGTAAACAATACAGTGATAATAGGACATAGTGAGCGTTTTTGGAGGCTTAGTGCTGATCGTCAAGTCCAGAATCAAAAAGAATCACTGAAAATGGACGGTTCAAATGAATCAGTTTGATCAGCTGACTCATTACTGGCAGTATGTACGTAGTCGAGTGTCCACATGTTTGCACAGCGGGCGTGAAGCAGCTCTGATGTTTGCATTCCGCTGCATGTCCGGGTTTAAACCCACCTCGCGCCATAACAACAGTGCATAAACGCTAATTAGCATCATTGATAGCTCATCATCAGGTTTCCCTGCAGGTGAATCAGGAGCGTTAAAGTAAATGAGGAAAGAAAACTCTGCAGTGCTGTGGACCTTCAGACCAAAGTCCAGCTCCTCCACTGTAATCAGCAGCCCACTGTTATCCGGCTCCTGTCCTGTAATGCTGAGCATCAGTATTTCTCCACGGTCTCCACTACCTGCATGTCCACTATCTGTCCAACAGTATCCAGACAGCTCTTTTAAAGGTTGGCCTTATTGCTGATACAGGAGTTCAGCTTGTGTGACCTCCATAGAAAAGCACTGACAACTGGAATGGGACACACTCTTAGAGCCTAAGGTCATCGTGGGTTAGAGGGGTATAAAGCCCCCCAGCATTGGGCTGTGGAGCAGTGGAACTGTGTTCTCTGGAGTGACGAAGCTCCATCCAATACCTTTGGGATGAGTTGGAGAGATCCAGGACTGACCATCCAACATCAGTATCTGAGCTCACTAATGCTCAATCAAATCCCCACAGCAATGTTCCAATGTTCCTCCTTCTTCCCAGAAGAGTAGAGGCTGTTACTGCAGCACAGACTCAGTGTTAACACCTTCATTTCAGAAGAAACGCTGGTGTCTACAAACTTTTGGACACTATGGTGTCCTCTAAATCACTGGTTCCTGTTCCAGGTGTATCTCATGTGTGGAACATATTTGTGTTTTGAATTATTGTTTTTCATAATCATGAAGTCATTTTGCCCTATAGGTGTGTAGTTTAATCAGGGGCGTCACCAGAGGTTCATGGAGGGGGGGGCTAAGCCTGTATTGGGGGGGTCTAGGGTGGCTAAGCCTGTACTGGGGGGGCCTGGGGGTGCTAAGCATGTATTCGGGGGGGGGTCTGGGGGGGCTAAGCCTGTGCTGGGGGGGGGGTCTGGGGGGCCTAAGCCTGTACTGGGGGGGTCTGGGGGGCATTTTCAAATGATGTCAAAAACTGAAAAACGTATATATACATTTTTCATATATACAGTATGTATATACACAGTTTCAGTCTGTATGTGATGTATTTACTATGTGTATCATGTAATCATGTATTATATGTTTATTTTAGCTACAATCTAAAATCACTCGACTTCACTCGCTCAATTTTAGTCAGTATTCTTGAAGTTCATCACAGTTTAGCACAAGTTACAAAGCTCTCTTCCAGCAGAGCTGTTAGCCGGCCTGCTAACGTTAGCTAAACTTAAGCTAGCTTAGATAGCAACTCACAGTTCTTCAGATTAAAACAGGAATTTGAGGTCATTCCACTTTTAAATTGGTCATTTAAAAAAAAAGGCCTTTTTTACTGACTTTATAATTTATTATTTTGAGCGCAAACATTCAAAAAACAGTGACTCGCTAGCTTAGCATAGCACATACCACCTAACTAGCTAACTGTGAGCAAGTGATGCTTATTTTTGTGTTAATATTTAACATTTACAAATTATAGGATTAGGATTGAGTAAATGTCTGATTGAAAACCGTTGGTATGTCAAATAACCTGAGCGTTAGGCTCTAAACGTGGTCTGAAGCCCTGATTTAAGATGTCTTTGCAGTGAAAAATTTAATTCTGTCCCAAAAAAGTCTTGATCTGAATGTTTTAATATGAAATGACTGCATTTGAATTGAAATCTTATAGAAATGCTTCCCCCACATGGTTCAGCTCGACAGTACAGTGGTCATGTGCTGTTCACTGCGACGGGTAATGAAATGCAGTGTGTTAATATGCGGTGTGTGTTGGTGTTTTGCAGGTCATTGCTGGGGCCGGTATGGACGTGGACTTCACCATCGTCTCCCCTCATGGCGTCCAGCTCATCTCCGAGTTCCGTCGCTCTGACGGCGTCCACATGTACGTCCTTCACCCCGTTGGTTCTGATTGGCTGTTTTCAATCATTGACGCTGTTTTTCATGCACAGACTGTTTTTCTCCTGTTACTTATAAAAATGGACCAAAGTACAGACCAAAGTCCGGCTTCAACAGTCCGGCTACTGCTGTTCTAGATAAGGGTCTCAAACCACATAATCAAGTCTATTAGAGATGCTGAGCACCTCCACACGCTTTGAGGCGAGTGCGTGGTGCTAACTGGTGGGGTATGAGCTTCCATTGCTTGGTAGCTACATTAGCCTCGTAGCTCCAGGGCCAAAGTAAAGGAGCAAACCTCAGACACTGAACACGTCTCAGCAGATCAGCTACAATGTGACAGTGTGTGAATATCGCTTTAATGCTCTCTGCTGATCTTTAGGGTGGAGCCCACCGAGGAGGGCGACTATCAGCTCTGCTTCGATAACAGCTTCAGCCGATTCTCGGAGAAGATGGTGTTCTTCGAGGTCATCCTTGAGAGCGCAGCCAATGACGCGGGAGCGGACGATGAGTGGGCGGGGCTTGGAGAGCCCGAGAACCTGTTAGAGTACAAACTGGAAGATATCAGGGTAAGAAATCATTCCTACAACAGCTCACCTTCTCATTCAGAAAGGTTCTGTGTATATATATATATATATATATATATGTGTATATATATGTGTATATATATGTGTGTATATATATATATATATATATATATCACTGTTGTCAGAACAAAATCTCCATTTTTGTCGTTTTCAGTTTTTGACTTACATTAAAAGTAGAGTATGTTTTTTCCTTCATTTCTTCATTTCCACCATTTTGGAGATACAAGGTTTTGCAGATATATATATATAAATATAATATATATTTGGTGTTGTGCCAAAGTCAGAGAGCACCAGTATAATTTTCAGTAGAAACATTCAGTACAAGTAATTAATTTTTGAGGAGATATTTCTGAGAAAATGATAGATGATCCACTTGCATTAGGAAGGAGAAAGTCAAAGTAAACTAAACAAGAGTTTCCAAAAACTGGAGTTCAAAAACTGATTAAAAGCTACAGAGAAAATGTGGCTCCTAACAACCACCTGGAAGAGCTGGTCGACCCCAAAACTGCCCCCATCAGATAAACAGCGCTTAAAGCTTTCATCTCTGAGAGAGAGGAGAAAATCAAGCTGATCAGATCTGAAAACATCCACAGGTGTTTCTGTCCATCCTTCCACTGTGAGAAGACGACTCAGCGCTGTGGGTCTGAAAGGATGTGTAGCTGATCAAGAAGAGCCTCACTGAGAAAAGGAGACGGACACATCAAACAAAGAAGCTGAACGATGGACTGACCACCCCAGAGTCCAGACCTCAACACCACTGAATGTGTTTGATTACTTCAGGAAACGATCAACCAGCTTCTGAGACTGAACTTTGGAGGCGTGTCTGCAGATTCTTTGAGGAGCTGAAAGTGAGACTCCTGAAAAGAATGGAAGCTGGAATGAAGGGAAAGAGTGACTCACTGACTCTCACAGCTGAGACAGAACAGTGACTCACTGACTCACTCAAACAGCTGAGAGAAGATATTAGATTTAGCTGTTGAGGCTGTTTTGATTGGATATTAAATAAATAAAGGGTCTCTGACTTTTGCACAGCACTGTACACCCTTAAAAAAAAAGAAGGTTCTTCAGGGGTTCTTTAGTAAAGACAGTGGTTCTATTTAGAACAATATATACTACATATGTACACATTTTATATAAATACACTCAAGTGTTCTTTCATTAAATCAGTGGTTCTATTTAGAACCAAGAGTTCTCTATAGAACCATTTCTTGCTTTAAATGGTTCTTTGCATAGTGAAATGGTTCTTCAGAGTGATGGAGAATGTGTTATATATGGTTCTATTTAGAACAATTTGCATGCCTAAATGGTTCTTTGTGTGGTGAAATGCTGCGATTTGTACAACCTCAAGCCTGTTACAATAGCAGAACCCTTTTTGGCGCTACATAGAACCATTTTCAAAAAGGTTCTATATAGAACCACCTACAGCACATTCTCAATCCATATCAAGAACCATAGCACCATGCAAAGAACCATTTAAGCATGAAATGGTTCTATGTAGAACTCTTGGTTCTAAATAGAACCATTGTCTTCACTGAAGAACCTTTAAAGAACCATCTTGTTGAGTGTATCTATAGTAAATGTCTGTGTTTAATTATATTTTATAGTAAAATATTTTAGAACTGAAAGTTTGTATAATTAACATGCGTAACGTCAACGTGTCCGTCTCTCCGTAGGAGTCGATGGACTCCGTTCACCGTCACCTGGAGCGCAGCCGGCAGATGCAGACGGTTCTGCGGGCGTTCGAGGCTCGAGACCGGAACCTCCTGGAGGACAACCTGTGGCGGGTCTCCTTCTGGTCCTGTACCACTCTGGTGGTCATGCTGGTGGTGGCCATCACTCAGGTTTACACGGTGCGCCGTCTCTTCGACGACAAGAGGAGGGTCAGGTCCTGAGGCCACGCCCCCGTACCGCTTATCAGAGCCAATGGGAACTGAGTATCGGACAGGAGCAGGCTTGGGAGGGTGCAGAGGAGAGGAGGAGCTTAGATGAGTGTAGAAAAACCTCTTATTTCCCAATCAGGACGGTGACCAGCAGCGCGTTAACGCAGCGAGATTCTATTCCAGGCGGTTTTGGGTGATTCGTGAGTCGGTTCTTAATGAAATGTTGAAACTGAAGAAACGATGGTGACAGTATAGCAGCTGTTCTAACAAAATGCTGATTTTTCAGAAGAAGGCAAAAAATTGAATGTGAATGTTTGAAGTTTGGCAGCGTTTCTGTTGGTTCATTCATCAAGAAATGTTCATACAATGTGAAGAACAGCTGGTGTTTACAAATGGTGTTTGTGTATATATATATATATATATATATATAAATAAAACGTTGTCAGAAGAAAACCTCGTATCTCCAAAATGGTAACTTTACAGGAGAAGCAAAAAACCTACTTTACTTTTAATGTAAGTCAATGGAACCAGAAATTTTTCCAAGTAGTTTTGGGTCGTTTCTTTTGGTCCATTCATCATGAAATTTACAGACAATATAAAGAGTAACAGACATTTTCAAATTATGTCAAAAACTGAAAAACGACAAAAATGGAGACGCGAGGTTTTCTTCCAACAACAGCGATATATATATATATATATATATATATATATATATATATATATATATATAGTGCTATGCAAAAGTTTTTAGGCACCTGGGAAAAAGCTAGAAAGCAAACAGATTTGGGCAGTAAATGCTTATTAGCTCAGTAAAACACTGATATTAGAATAAATACGAATAATATTAATGCAATAACTAGTAGATGATACAGTTAGTAGCTCAGCTACGTCTTTAAAATCAAACTACACCTGTTTCTTTTTACTGTATTTGTGTTCATTTGTATTCGTTTTAACGTTACCGGGTTTTTGCGCTGCTGAAATGGTTTTAAACAGTGCGTCTCGGTGCCCAAGAGTTCTGCACAGTACTGTACGTTTTTAAATGCAGGTTAATACGACAGAGATTATATATTTATTGCATTAAATTAGTTTGTATATAAATTTTCATATCAAACATTGTATTTCTTTTTTTTAATAACTTCTTTTTTTTACACCATTTCAAAGCTCCAGTTGTCCTTTTAAGGAAAAAAAAAGTTTTTACATAATGTGAATGGATCAAAACTGGGCGTGCCAAAGTTTTGGCGCCCCTAAAATTCCATGTTGTTGTTGAATTTGTAAGTGAATAAGTGAACCCGTCCTCTTAGAGACACACTCCTCTTCATTTTAACGCACTTAATGTTAGTTGCTGAGTGTGCAAAAGTTACAGCACAATTTCTATGGTTTGTTTTCATTTTTTCCCAGTATGTATAATTCGGTAAATCAACAGTAATGGTGCGTTAAAATGTGCAGAAGTGTGTCTCTGTAGAGGACGTGTTCACTTATTTACTTAGAAAATCACAACATGGAATCAGACCCGGAGTGCAACTTTTTCCCAATATTAGAATCTAATTACATTAACTTGTATTGACGCTCCGAACGTTTTTCCTTCTTCTGAAAAGTTGCCACCGTGGAGATACGAGGTTCTGCCCCCACAGCGACGATGCGAATAAAGCGCTTCTCCTCTGCCATGTTTGTGCCCAGTAAGATTAAACCAGGCCGGCCGAGCTCCGGTCTGGAGGCGTTGGGTTGAAGTGCCTTGCTCTCAGCTCACAGCAGCTGCTTTAGGATCAAACGTCTCTCCTTTGGTCATGATTTCTGACCGCTGGACTTACAGCCACTCCTCAAAGGCAGCGACACAGAGCGGCTGGAGAAATGTGAGGCTGGTACGACACTTTCACTTCCTCGGTTTACTCGTTTACTCACCCTGAACGGGCTCTGTGGGCCGCGGCTCGCTGGCTTTACCTCCAGCTGTTCAGATGAAGTTTGTTTAACCTTCCTCTTCGGTCGACCCTCAGAAAAGAGCAGAGCGCACTGAGCGTCAGTGACGTCCTGCGGGTCACTCCAGTCTTCCATTTCATCTGGAACGCTGCCGCTCACTGTTCACACCAGTAATAATTCATCAATAACGTAATAACTCCGCAAAGTAATGTAATAACAATGTAATGAACTTTGGTAGCTTTTTATCATCGATTCAGATATTTATCAGAATATTATTTACATTATCAGGCAGTTTATTACATTATTATTAGCTTTTTTGTTTGTTTTTTACACTGCCAGCCTCCTCAAAACAACAATAATATAATAAACTGCCTGATAACTTAATATTTTCACCAATAATCTGATAAATTATTACATTTTCCAGCAACTTTTGGACTTTTTTTTAAACGTTCCACCTTTATTATTAAAGTACTGTTAAAATATTATTAAATACTGCAGAAAAAAGACCCACTTGAATGTTGAACGCATTACATTAATGATTAGTTATTACATGATTGGTCGATCCAGGTTACAGTCATATGCAAAAGTTTGCGCACCCCTGGTAAAATTCCATGTTGATTTTCTGAGTGTGAATAAGTGAACGCACCCTCTACAGAGACACACTGAAATTTTTTATTTGCTGAATTTAACATTTTGAAAAAAACAATAAAACCTAAAATGTGGCCTGTGCAAAAGTTATGGCACATTTTATATTTTATGGTTTATTTATTTATATTTTTCACCAATATAAATTAAATTCAGCACATAAACAGCAACTGAGCATTAAAATAGAGCGTGTGTTTCAGAGCGTTCTCTGTAGAAACTGTGTCACGAATAACATGGAGTTCTGGGGGTTTTGAGGGGTTAAAACTTTGAAATATAATGTAATATATATTATAATGAATAACAGCAATATTATTTTTAATACATAATAAAAGTAATACACTCAGACAGGGAGTAATGAATGAATTACTCTCTGTGATAATAAAGAGTATATAGTGTATAATTATAATAGAATCCGTCAGTTTTTCTGCTTTGGTTTTAAGGACCTCTCGGTTCAGTCTGAGTTTGAGCGTCAGACAGTCCGTCACTTCAGCCAGGGATGATTTTTTTAGGTCATAAGACTCTTCAGTTTCTCATGGGGCTTTTTTCTTTTCTTGTCTTGCTCTGAAAACCTAAATCTGGCTCCTCGTTTCTCTGGTAATCTCAGTGGTCTTCCTTCGGCGCGGCCGTGAGCGATCACAGCTGAGCTGCTGTGTCTGAAATGAGCTTAATGTGATGAAGTGGACGTAAAGGAATGTTCTGTATATCTGTGTGCAAATGTCTGGTTTTTTTCTCAGAGATTTTTAAAAAATAAAATAGAAATTAACGACTTATGTTTGTGTCTGAGATTAAAATGATATATTAATGTACAGTTGTTCGGGCTTCTAATTGAATGACGTGTTTAAATAAGTGTCCTCTATATATACAGACACACACACATACACACACCGATCAGGCATAACACTGACCACCTCCTTGTTTCTACACTCATTGTCCATTTTATCAGCTCCACTTACTATATAGGTGCACTTTGTAGTTCTACAGTTACAGACTGTAGTCCATCTGTTTCTCTGATACTTTGTTAGCCCCCTTTTACCCTGTTCTTCAGTGGTCAGGACCCCCATGGACCCTCACAGAGCAGGTACTATTTGGGTGGTGGTGGTGTGTTAGTGTGTGTCGTGCTGGTATGAGTGGATCAGACTCAGCAGTGCTGCTGGAGTTTTAAACACCTCAGTGTCACTGCTGGACTGAGAATAGTCCACCAACCAAAAATATCCAGCCAACAGCGTCCTGTGGGCAGCGTCCTGTGACCACTGATGAAGGACTAGAGGATGACCGACACAAACTGTGCAGCAGCAGATGAGCTATCGTCTCTGACTTTACATCTACAGGGTGGACCGACAAGGTAGGAGTGTCTAATAGAGTGGACAGTGAGTGGACACAGTGTTTAAAAACTCCAGCAGCACTGCTGTGTCTGATCCACTCGTACCAGCACAACACACACCAACACACCACCACCACGTCAGTGTTACTGCAGTGCTGAGAATGATTCTCCATCCAAATAGTACCTGCTCTGTGAGGGTCCATGGGGGTCCTGACCACTGAAGAACAGGGTAAAAGGGGGCTAACAAAGTATCAGAGAAACAGATGGACTACAGTCTGTAACTGTAGAACTACAAAGTGCACCTATATAGTAAGTGGAGCTGATAAAATGGACAATGAGTGTAGAAACAAGGAGGTGGTCAGAATGTTGTGACTGATCGTTGTATTTCTATAAGTGACCCTTTTTAGTCCCACAACTGGGAAATTTCACCTCCACATTTTCACCCATCTGTGCAGTAAAACACCACATACACACTAGCGACCACACTTACCTGGAGCGGTGGGCAGCCCTATCCACAGCATCCAGGGAACAGTTGGGGGTTGGGTCCCTTGTTCAATATACATACACACATATATATATATATATATATATATATATATATATAAACAAACTGATAGATACATGGAGCATTAATCCTGAAGGACACTGAATTCAAATAAAGAGAATGAAGACAGGAACAAGTTTGATTCCCTTTTTTATTCAGTTCTTTGTCCCATTATTCAGTTTATCACTTTATTTAACTGCATCGTTCATCTCTCCACGAGGAATATCATATTAAAGCAGGCACTTATAAAGTCAGAACACATTATACACCATACAAAAGGCCAAAAACAAAGATAAAAAGAAAATAAAAACGGAATGACTGTAAAATAATAACCAGGAAAAGGCCACCGAATGCGCTGACTGTGTTTTAGTGTGTATCGTATCTTAATGTGGGGCCTATGGAAACAATGAAATGTGATGTAGTGAATTTGGGCAAATTCTGTCTACTGAATCTTTTCTATCACTAATAACTGATTTAGGGCATGAAGTGTTTGAATACATATGAGAAAAAGCACCAAAACATAAACAGAAACAAAGACAAGGCCCTGGATTTTGGTGTAGTGGGTTTGAACAGTGGCACTTTAAGGCACATCAACACGTCTTCTGTTAGCGTTTTAGCGTATCTGGTTTTAGACGTTCACAAAACTGAAATTCATACATAAAACAGTTTTGTTTCCTGCATAGATTTAGAGCACATGACGCGCAAAGTGCATATAAATGTACAGACGCGTTATAAAGTAATAATAAAGCTTTACAAACGGCGCCGGGAGAAATGGAGTGTTATTCTGAAGGCAGTTACGACGTTACGACCATCTGAGTCGCTTCCAGTTTAGATCGCATCATGTTAATTAGCTTCCAGGCAGAGTAGTGGCATAAAGGTATAAAGTATTAGCTACAAAATTAGGCACTAATATTAGAGTATATTAGAGTCAAACAAGAGTTAATAATCAAAAGCATTTTTTTGGTTAATACATATTTTAAAACAATGCTACTAAACTTATTCCACTCAGACATGGGAATCAGTTTTGTTATGAAATGGCCAGACATCACTAATCAAACTGGGAGAAGATATGTAGAAAGGTTAATGTTCAACATACATAAACACATACATTCTGTACGGCACTGTGCAAAAGTCAGAGACCCTTCGTTTATTTCATTTCCAGTCAAAACAGCCTCAACAGGTAAATCTAATATCTCCTCTCAGCTGTCTGAGTCTTCAGTGTTCAGTGAGTCTCTCTTCACCTTTATTCCAGCTTCCATTCTTTTCAGGAGTCTCACTTTCAGCTCCTCAAAGAATCTGCAGACACACCTCCAAAGTTCAGTCTTAGAAGCTGGTTGATCATTTTCTGAAGTGATCAAACACATTCAGTGGTGTTGAGGTCTGGACTCTGGGGTGGTCAGTCCATTGTTCAGCTTCTTTGTTTGATGTGTCCGTCTCCTTTTCTCAGTGAGGTTCTTCTTGATCAGCTACACATCCTTTCAGACCCACAGCGCTGAGTCGTCTTCTCACAGTGGAAGGATGGACAGAAACACCTGTGGATGTTTTCAGATCTGAAGCAGCTTGATTTTCTCCTCTCTCTCAGAGATGAAAGCTTTAAGTGCTGTTTATCTGATGGGGGCAGTTTTGGTGTCTACCAGCTCTTCCAGGTGGTTGTTAGGAGGAACATTTTCTCTGTAGCTTTTAATCAGTTTTTTGAACTCCAGTTTTGGGAACTCTTCTTTTTTTTCCTTTTTTCCGTGAAGCCCTGACGGCTGACATCCCGCATAAATTAAAATAATGCATGTCCACAACTTATTAAGGTGTGGGAACATGATAATGAAGTCGCGGCTATGACTTGGTAAGGCGTGGAAACGAGATTATGCCTTGCTAAGTCTTGGCCAATCTACAGAGCCCCGCCTGTGGCATCCTGTATAAATAAAAATAATGCGTGGCCACATCTTAGTAAGGCATGGGAATGAGATCCTAATGCATGGCCATGACTTAGTAATGCATGGGAATGAGATGATTAAGTCGTGGTCATTGTTTTTATTTATACAGGACGTCACCAGCGGGGCTCCGTACCAATCACATTCCCACACCTTACTTAGTCGTGGCCACGCATTAGGATCTCATTCTCACGCCTTACTAATTCGTGGCCACGCATTAGGATCTCATTCTCACACCTTACTTAGTCGTGGCCACTCATTAGGATCTCATTCTCACGCCTTACTAATTCGTGGCCACGCATTAGGATCTCATTCTCACACCTTACTTAGTCGTGGCCACGCATTAGGATCTCATTCTCACACCTTACTTAGTCGTGGCCACGCATTAGGATCTCATTCTCACGCCTTACTAATTCGTGGCCACGCATTAGGATCTCATTCTCACACCTTACTTAGTCGTGGCCACGCATTAGGATCTCATTCTCACGCCTTACTTAGTCGTGGCCACGCATTAGGATCTCATTCTCACACCTTACTTAGTCGTGGCCACGCATTAGGATCTCATTCTCACACCTTACTTAGTCGTGGCCACGCATTAGGATCTCATTCTCACGCCTTACTAATTCGTGGCCACGCATTAGGATCTCATTCTCACACCTTACTTAGTCGTGGCCACGCATTAGGATCTCATTCTCACGCCTTACTTAGTCGTGGCCACGCATTAGGATCTCATTCTCACGCCTTACTAATTCGTGGCCACGCATTAGGATCTCATTCTCACGCCTTACTAATTCGTGGCCACGCATTAGGATCTCATTCTCACGCCTTACTAATTCGTGGCCACGCATTATTATTATCTCTATCTAATCTCCTCACAAACATCTGAACATGAAGAGCCCGTATATTTTGCGTGTTTTGACTGGAAATTATGAAAATATAAGATGTTCTCTGAATTTGACGGCGCCGTACATATTTTCAAAAACTTGTTTTTGTTCCTTTTTCTCCCAAATTATGACACACTGACATTTTAAAGCTCTGTGAAATGTTTTAAAGGAACTCTTTCAAAACCATAAATAAAAAAAGAACAATTTTCATCAGTAAATTATGACAAATCAATTTATGACACAATCTGTGTGTGTTTCTGTTAGTATGATCATATACAGGTGGACACACACACTTCCCTGTGTTCAGCATGATAACACAGAGTGTTCCCGTTGCGTACGTGTTCACTCTAGTCCAGCAGAGACGGCTCAGATGGGCGGATGATAGTGGGCCTGTTAGGAGCTGCTGGAGGTCTTCTGTTAGAGAGACACAGAGATATAAGGGGGAGACGTTACTGTGTTCGTTTTCCAGTCCCTCTTACATTTCAGCTCTGTCTAGACATGAACAGCAGGTCTGGTGTCTGAAGCGCTTCCTTGGTTTAACACTGGAGCTACGAGGCTGAAGTAGCCAACAAGTAATGGAAGCCTATGGTTGGGTTTCCATTCAAACGTTTCGCATTTACGAAATTTCAGCAGAAAGAAAAGGAAATTAAGTCGTGTTTCCGTCCACTACAGGAAGTTTAGATGACGAAGGCTACCATGATTACGAGCTGCATCGAAACGAGCACGATAGAGATTTAACTCGGTTTTTGCCTTAAGTAGAATAATCTTAACAGCCATTTGCCATGTTTTCATGACTGTCTGCAGCTCAGAGACGCTGAGCAGGACGAGCAGTTGCCCTCCTAATGAGGGCTGAAATCTGGGAACCCAAACAAACCAGACGTTTTTCAAACATTCATTTCAGAATGTGGAAAGCGACCTTCAAACAGCTCTGCACCATGATTGGACCATCTGTACGGCCAATCATTTCTCACTTACAGCTCGATACTTCATTGTTTATATATTTAAAAAAACACTTTTCCTTCACCCTTTTTTGAATTTCAGCTTTAGCGATATTCTAACTTTTCCACCTCGTCCTAGCGTAAAACTCTTTTTGCGATATTTGGGTGTTTTTCCAAATTTCAGGCTCTTTTTTTTGCGCATTTTCAATTTTTTTTAAAACTGGTGGATGGAAAACCCACTTATGTAGAAACTGAAGATGAAATCAAAATCTTACTTTAGGTGTTTGTTTATCTTTTGAAGCTAAAACAAAGCTTGTTTCTCCTCCTTTGTACCAGCAACTGATTATGGAGACGTCATTTACATGCACACACCTTTATACTGTTTACTCACATTAGACACTGATTTATTTTGATTTATCACTAATTGTCAGTCAATTACTCACCTCTGTGTTCTTTACAAAAGAGCAGCTTTGTCCTTATTGACTATGCGCACGCTAATTCATTAGTATAAGTTTCTTGATTTTTCTGTTGTATGTTTTTAATGTACGATATATTTTTGTGGGAACGATTTGTTATGTTTTGCTGTCTATTTTGTCAGGCCTGTAACAGAGACTTTAAATCTGAGTGATTTTTTTGGTTAATTACAGGTAATAACAATGATAACAATAATAAGATTAATAATACAGACCATTAAGCATGTTGCTACTGCATGCCTACATTACACTCTCGCCTCAAAGCGTGTGGAGCTGTTCAGTGTCTCTAATGGTCTTGATTATGTGGTTTCTGACACTGTTTGACTCACTGTTATCTATAAACATGGACTACAGTTATCATAAAGCTAAAAACAGCAGCTTCAGACTGAATTCTGAATTTTGTCCATATTTAATTTACTTGGCTGTATTCCTCGTTTAAAATGATATCAACATATCTTCTGATTCTTTTCTGGCAAATATCAAAGTCACACTGGAGTCTTTAAACTGGTAAAATGAACTGCTGCAAACAATGATCTGGTATCAAGAACCTTTGCTGTCCTTTTTAATGTATGTTTCAAGTACGTCTGCTGTTTGTGGTGGTAACTGTCAGCGTGGTTTATCTGAGCTTTTACTCCAGCCCAATTTAACCCCTACGCATTAGCATATCTTAGTGTATAACAGTATTTTACCAAAGTACAGACAAAGCCGAATTAATCAAATAGCATGAATTTTGCACATAACACAAACACCAATTTGTGTAATCAGACTGAGACCATTTAACCCTGTAAGACTTAACCATTTAACAATATTTTTTGCAGGTAGGGGGTATTTAAAGTAAAACAAATCCAGCCTTACACATTCTTTCGGTTCTGAAACACTAAGACCTACCTGGGAATTCCCGGCGGCAGTGATGGAGGCACTCTGGCGGGTCGTGAGGGGATCTGTGGTGGGGGAGCTTGAACGGGCTCCAGAGTCCCACTGCCATACGCATTCACGGGGGGAGGACCCGGACGAGAGGGAACAGGAGGAGCACCGAACGAAGGCACGGGATTGGCTGGAGGCGGGCCGGGAGTGGGCCCACGAACAGCAGGAGGACGACCAGGAGGGGGCGCTGATGCTGCAGGCTTACGGACAGCAGGAGGGCTGAGAGAGTGAGGGTGGGTGAGAGAGTGAGGGGGGTTGGGAACAGTAAAGATAGAGCTAATCAAGATTCACCTTTTTAGCAAGAAGTACACATAAAGTAACTCAGTGAGGTGCTGAACCACCATAAGCCTCCAGATCAGCCTCAATCACGTCTCGTCATACACGTGACAAGTCTCTGGAACGGCTCTGGAGGGACGGAACACTCTTTCCCAAAAGATATTCCAAGAGATAAAAGACATTCCCACAGTCGGTGTTTTGATGCTGGTGGTGGAGACCGAAATGTCCCCTCAGCTGGAGATCTGGCGACTGAAGGCCAGAGCGCATAATTCACATCTTTATTCTTAGCAAACTGTCCACTGGCTGGGGGCACTGACCACCCCCATCAAGAGAGAAATGTTACAACATTGGATAAAGGTGATCAGTCACTACTGACTTGCGCTGACCCTTCCTTCCATAAGAAGAGTGGATCTGAACCATGCTGAGCAAAGTGCCCCCCCTTGCTGTGGAGGTCAGTCATACAGGCCTGTACTGTACTATTGGTGTACACTGCATATGCTCTCTCCCACTTGGAGAACATGGTGAAGGACGACTCGTCACTGTTTTCCTCATCTCTGTAGACAAGTGCAGACGCTGTTTACACCACTAACCTCTCAGAGGGTCTTTGTAATGAGGGGTTTACACACCGCAGGTCTACTATAATATCCCTTTATATGTACGCTCCCATGCAAAAACTGGACTAAGACGAAAACGGCAAAACATCAAGCTTTTAGTGATCTTATAAACAAATCATTAACACACACACACACACACACACACACACACACACACACACATACACACACTTTCCAAACTGCTTATCCTTTTGGGTCGCAGGGCGAGCTGGAGCCTATCCCAGCAGTCACTGAGCGAAAGACCGGACACACCCTGGACAGGTCACAGGACAACACTGAAAAACATTGCTGAGCTAGTTTGTGTTTAATGTGAGCCCAAATATTCTCTATAGAGTTTAAATCTGGACGCTGACACCATCCTTTAAAACATATTTTGGGCTTGGCTCGTTTTTTTGTACAGGAGTGTAGGAGGGTCACTGTTTTTGCTGATACAGTCTGATCATGTCCTGCATTGACGTTCTTAGTCCAGAACAGCTGCTCTTACATATCGCACCAAGTTTCCAGCCCTGTTTAGTCACTCAGTGCGTTTACATGCACTTAATAATCCGATAACTGCAGAAAATCTGATTGTTTCAGTAATCTGATCAACACGTTTACATGCACAAGAGTAATCAGATAATGGGAAACTCTGGGTCTACATGAGTCAGACAGTAATCAGATTTCTGCTTTACAACCAGCCAATAAACTCACAGAAGATGATGTGATACAAACGTAACGTAAACCTCAAACTACATGAGCAGCTTTTTTAAAACATGAAACACTTTACCTGAAAATATGAATCATGAAAATATTTAAATCCCTTATTTTGTTTTTGATTTCAGAGTCGCTCCAAAAGTGTTTTGCTGCGTCTCGCGGCGACGCTGCTCGCTTATTTCCGGTACCGCCGTCTGTTTTCGCACATGCACAGACTGAGAAATCCGAAAGAAATCAGAGTAAGAGTTTACAGCACTGAGAAATCTGATTACTGAGCTAAAATCCAGCCTCTTTATTGGATTTCTTAATCAGATTTCTAGAGTATGGTGTTTACATGGTCATTTGAATTATCAGATAACTGCAGAAATGCAGAAATCACTGTTCCAGCTAAAACAGTGGTCAAGCTCCTACCATCCATGCCCCAGTAATGAACCCTCTTAGCTATCGTCCTGTTGACGCCTTTATCAAGGGGTGGGCGATATGGTAAAAATACAATGCCATGATACAGCAGGAAATTATTACAATAAATGATACATCAGTGACAACATTTTTTATTGTCGGCATCAGTTAATTATACCTAATTATACACTTCCTGTAATGAAACATGTAGCTGTCCAGTTATTGAAGTAGTGAAGATAGAAAAGAAAGCATGTTGCGACGTTATGATGTAACTTATCACAACAGTAATATACACTGTTACGCTGCCCAGCCATAACTGAGGTCAGCTGGACCTGCTCTGCATCTATCTATATACCTGCTGCAGAGGATGGCAGGACGTTAAATCCTTAATTGTGTTAATCGTGTATCTGCACTCCTGACGTTTCTCCACTCGTTTGTTCGGGTTCTTCCTTTCCTTTGTCGCCTGTCTGTATGTGGTTGTGTACGTGTACATACCTGGGTTCTCTCTGCAGCCAGGTGTCGTCCACAGGTGGAGGTAGAGGCGTGGAGATGGTGGTGGTGCTGATGTCCCCGATGATGCTGAGCGCCTCTCTGAGGGCGTGATACATCCTCAGCATCTCGTCCCTCCTCTGAGCCTGATCAGCGCTCTCCTCCATCAGGCTGTTCTGATCCGCGGAGGAGTACAGATACGCCAGCAGCTCCGAGTGGATGAACTCCTTCGCCTGGGGGTGAGAGAAGAGAGAGAGGAGATGGAGGACGATAAAGACAGAGAAACCTTTTCACTACATGGTTATTCATATATATATCAACAGAATTACGTTATTAACGTGCTCGGAGTGGATCAGGAGGTGTGAGGGACTCACGCTGTTGATCATGAGGTGCATGATGGTTTTGGGCATGAGGTCGCGGATGCTCTTGTTGACGATGCCGATGTAGGAGTCCACCAGGTTCCGGATGGTCTCCACCTGCCTCTCCAGCTGGGGGTCCATGGAGAACGTGTCGGCCGGAGCACTTTCGTCGTTCTCCACCTGAGAGAAAGGGTACAGGTGAGCGGATGAACATCTGAGGGGATGAACAGGTGAGCGAATGAAGAGAGAAATCAAGAGGTGAGGGAATGAAGAAGTGAGGGAATGAACGGGTGAGTGGATGAAGAGGTGAGAGAAGAAAGGGGTGAGCAGATGAAGAGGTCAGGGTTGTTTCCAGAGTTTAAACCTTAAATCTCACTCAAAGGACTACTGCAGCACCACTGTAGGGCAGTAGCCGTGTATATGACGGATGTAACAATGTTAAAATTTTTAATTTTAGTGTTCCTGTAAAGAGCAAGACTATGAAATATGATACAGTAAATGTGTGATTAAGTGAGGTGTTGAACCACCACAAGCCTCCAGAACAGCTTCAATCACTTTCCTGTGTTTTATTTGATATATATACTGAATATGAGGGATTGTTGTCCCGTACTTCTGTTTTATGGGGTATAATCACTGAATATGAGGGATTGTTGTCCCGTACTTCTGTTTTATGGGGTATAATCACTGAATATGAGGGATTGTTGTCCCGTACTTCTGTTTTATGGGGTATAATCACTGAATATGAGGGATTGTTGTCCCGTACTTCTGTTTTATGGGGTATAATCACTGAATATGAGGGATTGTTGTCCCGTACTTCTGTTTTATGGGGTATAATCACTGAATATGAGGGATTGTTGTCCCGTACTTCTGTTTTATGGGGTATAATCACTGAATATGAGGGATTGTTGTCCCGTACTTCTGTTTTATGGGGTATAATCACTGAATATGAGGGATTGTTGTCCCGTACTTCTGTTTTATGGGGTATAATCACTGAATATGAGGGACTGTTGTCCCGTACTTCTGTTTTATGGGGTATAATCACTGAATATGAGGGACTGTTGTCCCGTACTTCTGTTTTATGGGGTATAATCACTGAATATGAGGGACTGTTGTCCCGTACTTCTGTTTTATGGGGTATAATCACTGAATATGAGGGATTGTTGTCCTGTACTTCTGTTTTATGGGGTATAATCACTGAATATGAGGGACTGTTGTCCCGTACTTCTGTTTTATGGGGTATAATCACTGAATATGAGGGATTGTTGTCCCGTACTTCTGTTTTATGGGGTATAATCACTGAATATGAGGGATTGTTGTCCTGTACTTCTGTTTTATGGGGTATAATCACTGAATATGAGGGATTGTTGTCCTGTACTTCTGTTTTATGGGGTATAATCACTGATTATGAGGGATTTTTGCACTTTGTCTCCAGCTATTTCTGACACACACCTGGTCTTTCTCAGGATACACTCCTGCCCGCAGGAACGAGGCTTTCCAGCTGTCCACGTCCTCCTGAGAGTCGCACGCCAGCTCAATCTGACGCAGGTCCTTATACACATTCCTGATCACAAACACAAACGAATCAATTGTGATCCATTATGAGAGCAGTTATAAACAAAGCGCTGCGTACAGAAAGATAACGGGTCACACTCGAACACAAACCCACCTCTGCTCAGTGTTGAAGATGGCGAAGGTGTGTTTGGTGGACATGAAGCCTTTCTCCACGTCTCTGATCTTCAGGTTATCCAGGGGGAGCATGTACTTCTTCTCCTTCTCCTAAAAATAACCACACACACTCTGTTTGTAATGAAATGCCAGTTAACAGTGGGCGATCCAGCAAAATGATACCATCACGATACTTGAAGACATTTTATGATACACAAAACCACTGGTTGTCATTGTTTGCAGGTAGAGCTGGGCCATATGATTAAATGTAATACCATGATACTTCAGGAGGTTTTCAAGATACATGATGTATCACAATATTTATTTTTTAAGCAATAGAACACAGAGGGAGTGTGTTATCGTGAAATAACATCACGGCTGTGATTTGGTCGCCGTAGATCATCACAGCCGTGATGTTATTGGTGATAACACACTCCTCGAGGGTTCTATTGCTTTTATACAACAGTTAAATAAATACAGTAATAAATTAATAAACTGGGTCGTGAACGCGGCGTTTAATATGTTTTAATGTTCGCAGTTCCTTCACCAAATTATAGTTCCTTAACGAGCAGCTTGTTGCTGCGTCAGAGTAACGAGCTCCGCCCACTCGCTGCACAGCCGGCAGTTCGTTCTCCAGCTCCTTACACTAAATTCCCAAACTGTCATCACCACTGAGCAGCTTTTCGGTCGGCAGCTGTGACAGAAGAGCAGCTAAACAACCTGGAATCAGCCAGAAATGAACCCAACACCATTCGCCAAACGTGTAGTCTGATCTTCAGAGTCTGACCAAATCAGACTGAGCCATAAAACTGACCCAATATCAGGTTTAGCACAGTTTTGTCAGTTTTTGCCAGATCAGTATTAATGTTGTTTTGTTCCAGCCAGTCTGTAAAGCATCTTACAGCCCATTTAGTTTGGCGAATGGTGTTGGGTTAATTTCTGGCTGATTCCAGGTTGTTCAGCTGTTCTTCTGTCACAGCTGCCGACTGAAAAGCTGCTCAGTGGTGATGACAGTTTGGGAATTTAGTGTCGTCTCATCTTCAGAGTCTGACCAAATCGGCTGTCGGTAAAATGTGATCTTAAAAGTGTCCATTTTCTGTTTGTGGCAAAGTAAGAAGTAAAAACGTTCAAATGTCTTGAGCGTCTCCAACAGCTGTCAGAGTCATGGCTTAGCAACGGCGTCTCAGCGGAGTGATACAGTGTTTGTGAAAAAGCTGTGATGTTATGGTGAAATAACAGCACAGTTAGAACGCTTCCCAACCAATCAGCTCGCGTGGCTGGAACTATCTGTTGTATCATTTCGGACATCTGATATGTTGGAACAGACAAAGTAGAGCAACATTTTTAAAATACAATCAAAAACTACTCATCTAAGGATTTGTGTTCAACACTTCACACACTTCGCTGCACCAAACCCAGTTAAACAGGCTGATTATTATCTATTTGTAATCAAAAGTGCATTTGGAAAGTGTTTTTAGGTACTGATGACACCCACAGTGACGGTGACACTGTCACATTGCCAGGCCTATTTGCAGGCTCTCTACAATGAGTCTAAACCTGTCTTTATTATTATTTTATGATTCGATTAGTTGTTTAGTGCTCTAAAAGTACTAAGCAATCGCTCACCTCTTCGTCCTTGTACCAGGACAGAGACTCCGCAGTGAGGACGAACCAGTAGTCTCTAGAGCCGCCCTTCATTATGCTGATGTTGATGGTCAGCCAGCCTCGTCTGATCACCTGCACAGAGGAGGAGAGAGAAACACAACAGTCAGCATACTTTATCCACAAACAATCACCTTTATGTGTCCATTACTGCTCTTTCAGGCTGTTCAACAGGAAATGCAGGATCAGGTTTAATTCAACATTAAATTAAAAATCACACTGAAGATGAAATGAGTGGTGTTAGAGGAGAGAAGTGCAGTAGAGCTAACAGTGTTTAAACTGAGCTGAAAGCTGCTCAAACAGGAACGTTTTCAGGCTGATTTAAATTGTCCAGTGTCGGGGCTCTTCTAATGCTCTCTGTCCACTGGGTCCATTTAAGAGCAGCATAGTATCTAAACGCTGCTTCTACGTTTTTAGTCTTCACCTTCAGCAGGACTAACTGACCAGTTCCTAATGATCTGAGAGTTCTGCTCGGCTCATATCGCTGCAGCAGATCATTCAGATCATCGTGCTCCAGCACCATTAAGACATTTATAGAGCAGTAACAGCTGTTTAAAGTCTGTTCTGGAACAGACTGGTAGCCAGTGTAAGCTGTTTGATTGTCTTTTTTGGGAGTCCAGTTCGGAGACCATTACAGTGATCAATCCTGCTAGAAATAAAGGCGTGGATGAGTTTCTCCAGCTCTGCTTTAGTCAGAAAATCTCTGATCTTGGTGACGTTCTCAAACAAATTTTTTGTATAATTAAGTTGTTGAGATGTAGATAAAGTCATTCAGTCGTTTGGTGTGAAATGCTCCATTTTAGACAAACCTACAGACTCTTTTACAGTGGTGGTGATAGGAACCAGGGGTCACCATGACTACAACACAAACATAGACATTTTATTTACTATCCAAAACCACCAGTGAACCTACACGAGTCTTCTGAGTTTATATATCACTGCTGTCGGAACAAAACCTCGTATCTCCAAAATCATAACTCTACAGGAGAAGAAAAAAACCTACTTTACTTCGAATGCAAGTCAATGGAACCAGACTTTTTCCAAGTCATTTTGGGCCGTTTCTGTTGGTTTATTCATCATGAAATTTACACACAATGTAAAGGGCAACAGGCATTTTCAGATTATCAAAAAACTGAAAAACAAATAATATTTAAGATTTGAGATATTTAAGATAATAGATACGTTTTTTAGGCCAACATATTGTCAAATCTATCATAAAGCAACATCTCAGACATGTAGCATAAAATTACAACCATTTCATGTCGTATCTTTCTGCGAGGGAGCTTTTAGAGGTGGACGTCTGGTTCCCATCACCACCACTGTGAACAGTTCTGACTCGGTAAGTTTCTCTAGAACAGAGTTTCACAACAAACCACTCTGAATGACTCTGACTACATTTTAACCCACTAATTATAGAGACTTTTTGAATAATCAGTGGAATTTATCACCCCTTTAAGGTGATAAAAAGCTGATTTAGTAACTGCAACTGATAAAACTGAGATCAGAGTCCATCAGTGCACCAAGGTTACATGCTAGTTCTTTAGTTCTAGATCTAGATCTTTAGTTATCTAACACTGTGGAGGAGATAAGCTGCAGTTTTGTGTCATTTTGTAAGTCCTAAGACTGACTGTGAGCTCTGATCAGTGATACTGGTGGTGTGTGTTGTACCTGATTGGGCATGGCTCTCTTCTTCGTCACATTGGCGCTCTGCTGGGCACTGACCACATAAAACAGACAAATACATCAGACATCATCTACAAATGAACTGGACACATGACTGATCAGGGTCAAACGTGAACGACGACGTCACTCACTTGGCAAAACCAATGAAGTCCTCATGGTTGGTGTTGATGTAGGAAAGCTCAATGTCAATCAACAGCATCACCTACAACACATACAGTTTAAAAAACACATTAAACCCAAACCTGTAACACTCACAGCTACTATTCTTATACAGCGTGACATGGATGAAGAAGCCCATCCAGCGAAAGACCCTCCTTTATTTTGATGGGGCCAAATCTAATCTCGACACTCTTACTGACTACATTCCATCTGGATCCCTGCATCTCTGAGATTTCTCTATTTTTGTTTGTCATTAGAAAACAGTGATCTGTGCACTTGAGCTTGTACAATTAGTTCAAAATATGTTATCATTGAAGGCTTGTGGCACATCTGTTGATTTATTTTTTCTTTCTAAGTGAAACAAAGTATGAAATTAGTCCTTTGGGGTAAGAACCGCCCCACCCACCCACCCAACACAAGGAAAAAAGCCCCCTCTAGCATTCACTCCTAAAAATGATAGTTCTTCAAGGTTTTTAATACTAAAGACAATGGGATTTAAGGGTTTTCTGTATTGTAAAGAGGTTCTTCAGATTGATGGAGGATGTGCTGTGATGGAGAATGGTTCTTTTTAAAAAGGGTTCTTCTACTGTTACAAGCTAACAAAAGCAGAACCCTTTTCTGTGCTACATAGATTTTCAATAAGTTTCTATATAGATACTATAAGTAACGCTTTACATCAATCCGAAGAACCATTTCATGATGCAAAGAATCATTTAATCATGCAAAGAGTTTTTTGAGTGTTTTTTGAGTGGTTCTATTTACATTCTATACAGAACCATTTTCTTCACTAAAGAAACCTTTTTAAAGTGTGTACTACCTCTAAGATAGTATTTGGTTAAATTTTTCTCATAAAGGTACAAAGTTTCACTGTCACCTTGAATCAGTAAACATTTTTAATCGTCAAAGGGGGGGTGAGGTGGGGGGTTGAGGTGGGGGGTTGTACGTGAATGCTAGTGCTTTGTTTAAATTATTATTATTATTGTTGTGATAATACTAAAATTTTCATTAAATTAATTTTCATGAGTGTTTATAAGATCATTACGCAATTACTATAACCACAATTTGTCTTTCTATTTTACTGAAATTTGTTATATATTATAATACCACATTATTACATTACATTATTACCTTTACTGTAATGAACTGTAATGAAGTGGTCTCTTGAAGACAAACTGCTAGAGGCTTCAGTTTCATTTTAAAATATGCGTTTGTGTTGTGTTGATAAATATGTGATCAACAATACAGCTTTAAAAAACTGCAAAGTCTAGAAATGATCCGAAGTATAAATTATAGATTCTGTAAAACTTTAATGACGAACTGATGTGGAATTTACAGGATTTGCAAGAGGCCCTTTTAAAGCTGTTCCTTTTTATGTCATAAAAAAACCAGAACTGTGCTGTTTCAGTTCATTTCTAACTGTGTGCACATCTGAACATCATCATTCTGTACATCATAAACTGATTTGATTTGTATAAACAGGAAATGTTCTTAAGGTGGACATTTTCCCCAATTTTCTCCAAATTCCACCTTATATCATCATTAACCTCACATCTGCAAAACCTTCACCTGCTTGTTTAGTAGCCAAGATTTTAGTCCAGTTTATGGACAATTCCTACTGGTGCGTTCTTGAGGAAGTGTTTGCATAATGTAAAGGGAGTACATATATCTATTTATCAGTGCAATAAGCAAACCCTAATATTAGAATAAACAAAAAATATAGCTGCAAGCGGTGATTTGCGGGGTCCAAGCACGCTTTGTAAGTTCGCCCAACATTGCTTTTTTGGCCACGACCCTCTTTGGCTGCATGTCGGGAAAGATTCATACATATATAAGAACTTTAATTGTCATTGAAAAATTTTACGGCTTTCAAATGCAGCTTTTTATGTTAAAATACTGCAGTAAATGGACCTTATCTTTCATATGGCTGCTGTCGGAAGAAAATCTCATATCTCTATTTTTCAGTTTTTGACATAATTTGAAAATGCCTGTTACTCTTTACATTGTGTGTAAACTTCATGATGAATGGACCAGAAGAAACAGCCCAAAATGACTTGGAAAGAAGTCTGGTTCCATTGACTTACATTAAAAGTAAAGTATATTTTTTCCTTCTCCTGTAAAATTACCATTTTGGAGATATGACGACAACGAAATGTTCATAATTAATGTGCATGTGTTTTTTGTCGTCTACTTATTGGAAATGGTCATTTTGTTATGTGTTGAATTTGACTCATGAGACAATCAGACGGGGTACAAATGAGCTGATTTGGTGATTTTGGCTGCCAGTTACTTTAAAATGCTGCTGTAGTTGGACTTCATCTTTGGTCACTTTGTGCTTGGACCCCTTATAAACAGCTGTGATTGTTCTAAGTTTGAGTGTGTTCGTTTAACCACTTCCAGATCTCCAGTATCTCCCAGTATTTAATGATTGTTTTACAACAAAAACGCTGTTCATAAGAGCTGAGATATGTTCATAACTAGGTTATGTGTACAGTAAACACCTTTACCCCCCACGTACCTGGTCTTTGGTCTTGCTCTCTCTCTCTCTGACGTATGTGGTCACTATTCTTTCGGTTTCCTCTCTCAGTCGTGGATAAGAACCCAGCTGTCAGGGATAAACACACAAACGCAGCTGCAGCAGAAAACAACGTCCCGCTATAGTACACTATACTGTAATACACACTCTTAAAAAAGACGGTTCTTCGTGGGAATGGTTCTATATAGAACCATGAACACTCAAAGAATCCTTTACATAATGAAAGGGTTCTTTGCATTGTGAAATGGTTCTTCAGATTGATGGAGAATGTGCTGTAGGTTCTATACAGAACCTTTTTGAAAAGCAACAAAAACGGTTCTGCTATTGTAATGATGTCCAGCCTAGTAAGTAACAATAGAAGAACCCATTTTGGCACTATATAAACCTTTTCAAAAAGGGTTCTATATGGCACCGAAAAGTGTTCTGCTATTGTTACGATGTCAAGCCTGTAACAATAGAAGAACTCCTTTGGGTGCAACATAGAACCCTTTTCAAAAAGGTTCTATACAGAATCATATAAAACACATTCTCCATCAATCTTAAGAACCATTTCACAATGCAAAGAATCCTTTAATTATGCAAAGGGCTCTCTGAGTGTTCATGGTTCTATAAAGAACCATTTTATTTGCTAAAGAACCCTTGAAGAACCATCTTTTTTGATGTGTACAAACTGCTGCTGGAACAGCAGATTCTCTCTCAGACACCCAGACCAGCACAAACTCAGTACTGACAGTGAATAACACACACAGGTTACACAGTCAGCGCTGCACAATGTAAGATCAATCAATCATTTTAATCAAAATGAAATATCAGTTGTTACACACGTTACAATTGCAGTGCGATCAGAGCTGAAGGTTTCAGGGTTCCCACACTATTTGAGGGCAGTTTCTATGAGTTATATGGATGGTTCTACTGAACGAGTTCGAAGTCAGAGCTGAAACACATTTGGGCTTCTAACTGATCTGGACTTTAGACTAAAATCCTTTTGCTTTGAGTGACATTTTACCTTAATTATTTTATTTTATAAAAGCAAATGACCGAATTTTCCATTTTGTCCTTACCACACCTATCATAACTCTACCAAACTGCACCAAATGTTTCAGTAGTGACTGTTTCGGGGGTGACAAGTTTAGCTCATTTTGAGCCTAGAAACACAGCCAGTACATGACCAGCAAACATAGCTTTGAACAGCTGTTTACACAGGAAATCATCATAATTCTGGTAAAATACAAAAAAGTTTACTTATCTGCAGAAAATCTGTGTTTCGGTAGTGACGATTCTTAATGTTCCACACTGACTTACAGACTTCAAAACAATGGGATCTACCTGCTCACCATGTGGCCATGAGGGACAGGGATGCAGCCTCACTTCCTGCTCTAAAATGCAGGGGTGTGGCTAAAACAAGGCTCCGCCTACAGACTAAAACTCTGTTTCGGGAGTGACATAAAAACAGGTTTTTTATTTAAAAATTAAACTCATGAAAAATCCAAATCTTTCAGCTTAACTTTAAAACAAAACAAAAATATATTCATTTATCTTTTAAATATAAAGTATTATTTGTTCAAGTGTAAATTTAGGGGTTAGGGTTTGGGACAGACACCTCCCATTATGAACTACCCTATAAATGATGATGATGTGTATATTTAGCTTATTACTGTCTCTATTAATGTCCTGGGTTTAAATCGATTCAGGCATAATCCAAACCTTCTTCTAGTTCTTCAACTAGGCAGAATCTGATCAGCTACAATATTGAAATGTTACATGATGCTATAAGCTACTATGTGTTCGTGTAGCATCAGTCTGTCAGATGCTCTGATGCAACATTAATAAATCCTTCTAAATACAATATTACAGTGTTCCAAACTACAACAGGTATGGATGGATGCAAACTGGGCATTAGCAGCTAAAAATATGCAAGAAACAACATGTTACAGTAAGAAATATTGGAGACTAAAAGGCCCAGATTTACACTTTTCCAGGACATTTCATCAGTTTTCCTACTCTCCTATTGTTTTCAGGCTTACTGGGATATGTAGGAACCCTGCTTTCACACACACACACACACACACACACACATATTATATATCTATATATATATATATATATATATATATATATATATATATTCCCAAAATGGAAATTATATTATATTATACTATATTTTAATGAAGTACATTATATTACTACACCACATTACTAGGTCATTTTATACGAAAATCATGTTATATTACACTTTGAGCACAGCACACTGTTTAATTTGATACAGAGATCATATATAGTCCAATATATCAATAGAGGCCAATTACGCAATAGCAACTAACTCAGAGTACACTGTGCAGCCCTGCTGTGAACACAAATAACACAACACTGCAGAGAACCAACACGTCACACAGCAGGTGTGGTAATGCAGGTGATTTATGGATCAACAGGTGTGCAGCATGCAGGTGTTCAGAGGTCAGGCATGCCCATGCAGGCGTTAATAAAGGCAGCGAGATTAGGTCTGATAGTGGACGTGTAGGGAGTCTGTTAAAGAATCTGAACTACCAAATTTACCTCCTACACCAAACACAGATCAGCCAAGACAGAAGTACAGACAAAATCCAGACTTCTAGATGGAGCTCCCACTGTTTTAGCAATGCTAAGTCCATGTTTATACAGTGCCCTCCACAAATATTGGCACCTCTGGTAAACATGAGCCAAACAGGCCATAAAAAAAACATTCTTTATTGATTATCCTTCTTTTCTTTTTCGTTTAGAATATCTAACTTTTATTTGAAGTAAAATGACTAAAAGAAAAAAACTAAATCTTATCATGAAATCAGAATTTTTCTTAAATCAATTTGTGCCACAGTTGTTGGCACCACTTCATTTAACACTTTGTGCAGCTTCCCTTTACAAAGATAGCAGCTCTTAATGCTTAATGAGACTGGAGACCTCATGGCAAGCGAACTGAGACCATTCCTCCATACAGAAGCTCTCCAGATTCAGAGGACCACTTATGGACACTCCTCTTCAGCTCATCCCACAGGTTCTCTAAAGCCTTGGGTTCACTGCATGACTTTTACAGGCTGAACAGATAATAAAAGAGCGTCTCACACTGTCAGATTATTTGGGCAACTGAAACATTGGGGATCCACACTACTCAACTTTTCAGATGTTGCTGAACTGAATGGAGCTCACTGAACTCACTGAACTCGCGCAAACTCTTGCGTTCTCCTGTTACTAGGATGACGCTCAGAGTCAAGGTGAAAAAAATAAACGTTTGATGAACTCCGACTGGTCGGGAGGCGGTAAATCTGAGTCAGCGCCCCTCAAACATGACTCGACTCTCTCTCCGTTGACTCTCACTGACCCAAAAATCTGCAGACTAGAGCCGACCAGCTCAGACTCAGCCAGACTGAGAATCAGGGCTAAAATTGGGGAACATGTCGTATAGCAGGCTTAAGGGGGTCAGGTCAGCAGACTGGGGTGGTCATGACAAAACCTTGATTCAGTGGTCAGTAGGCCATTTTTGTGATGATTCTGAGGTGTGCGTTGTTTTTTTTGCAGTTCAACAACCTTTTGTCTCCCATCATTTTTGTATTAGCCAGTCTCATGGTGATGGATGACTGAGGGGACTGAGGGGATTTAGCCTGTGTGTCACCTCATATTTATACCGCAGTGAAACAGGAAGTCATGGCTGACCGCTTAAGAGTTCCCAATCACACAGGTGAACTTTAAAATATAAAATATGAATGTGAACATACTTCAGCTGGATTTGATTCTTAGGAATTTCTAGGAGTGCCACACATAGATTTGAGAAAAATATCCTTTTTCATGCCAAAAATTTCATCATATATATAAAGATTATATATATAATAAAGATTTTTGTTAATATTTTGAATGAAAGATCAAAAGGACCAGCAATAAAGAATGTCTTTACAGCCTGTGTTGCTCATGTTTACCAGGGGTGGCAATAATTGTTAAGGGCACTGTAGATAACTGTCAATAAGTGTCTAAAACCACATGATCAAGTTTATTCGTGGTTACTGAACAACACACGGTTTGGGACAAATCTGTGATAACGTAGCAATGCAGTTAGCACCAAGCTAATGGGTTTGGTATAAACTTCCATCACTAACCTACATCAGCCTCGTAGCTCCAGTGCACAACTTAAGAAGCAACACCAAGCATGTCTTGGCTGACTGTTTAAATTTGGATATGAAGTATTAGAGAAAACTAATGAACTGAATGTTAGCAGAGCAGAGGGTCACATTAGGAGGAGAAAAAAAAAAAAGAGTAATAAATAAAAATCAAAATAAGGGTTATAAGGAAGAGGGGGGCCACATGTTGACTTTGCTGGGGATAGAAATGTGTGAAGTTACCTGAACAACTGAAGGGACTGAAGCAATAGAGAAAAATAATAATAAAATATTGAAGCGTTTCATTGGAGAAGGTTAAATCAATCAGTAGGGGTGGTGCTATTTGATTGGAACACATGACAGGAGGTGGGATTTGGGTTTGGCGGGGGGGAATCACTGCGTGAGTGAAGCTGCAAGAACGACACGTAAACAACAAGCAAATGAATATCAGCACTCACACACTAACTACCTATCTCTGTCTACCCCTCTATGACAGCAGATGGTAAAAATAAGCTGTATGTATATTTAGTATCCACCCGTCATGCTCATCTCTACTCGCTGATAAAGCTGTACGTCCATCCACTTTATGAAAAAACCTCCTTGTAGCTCCACCATGTTGGTGAACAGTTAGAGACTGTGATCCAGGGGCATTCAACAGGGATGCACGGTGATATCGGCATCATACTGGTACCAGCAGATGTTCTCTAAACCAAAATGTGTCTTATATGTGATGATTTACTGCAACACCAGAAGAGCAGAGTGTTCAGGTGACGCTGGGTTACTGAAATATAATATCTGCATTTTATTCATTTTGACTCTACAGAAATTAAAGTTATATCGCTTTGTAACGTCAAACCAGGTGGATTTACATTTTAGGATGTTGTCACTGGATTTCGGCATTAGCCGGAAAATCCCACATCGGCAGGTCCCTAATATTTAATTCTTATCCTGCCGAGTTTTGTGATTTCAGTGTTCAGTTCATCTGTTAATTGTAGGGATGTGTTAAGGGACTCATACTCAGTTATTCAGAGTACTGAAATCAATATTTGGGCACTCATTATGTTTCATCACAGGAAGTCGGAGAAATTATACAGGCTAAAGGCCCATTTATGCTCAACATTAATTATGGATACAGACACGGACGGAGCCCTTCATTTGTACCCTTGTTCATTTCGTCTGTATTTGTGTTCATTCTCTGAAAGCTTACGGATAAGGACGAAATGAAGCAGTACCACCGGAGGCCATCAGGGGGCAGTGTAGCCAACAGTTCATGAGACAATGCCAATTTCTCTCCTTTGTAATACAGGGTGACTCTAAAAGATTCATCCAATTTCAAAGCACCACATTTTTACATTATTTTTACCTAGCTCCTACACCGCTGCCATGTTTGCTGTCAGGAACTTTGACTCTGGACTGCCCTCTAGTGGATGTACTGCTTAACATCCATGCCAATGTAAAGGACGCATGGAAGTATGTGGGCAGTGACGGTTACATTGTTTGAAACGGATGTAAAGGGAGTATAAATGAGCCTTAACAGTTCAGTCAAAGGACAACTGAACGTATTATCTTTGAATGAGTCAAACTGACCCCAATGTTTAACGTCTCTAAATTGTTTTGCAAAGAAAGTTCTGAGTAAATCTGAGGATAACAGGAGGGTTAAGTTACTGAGCGGGCAGACACAGTGCAGCTGGCTCTGCCACAGCTTTAGAGTTAACTAGGCTAACTACTCTAGCTGTTAGCTAGATGTAACCTAGTTCCAGAAACAATGGGAATGTAATTGTCTGATAAACTAACATGTCAATTTTAGTTTATTTTCTTCCTCAGTTAACCAATTATCCTGTTCGGGATACTTGGATCTCAAAATTAGTTGGAATGCAAATTCATAGCTATTTTCTAAGTTTTCCATTTATGGCTCTGTACGCAGAACAGCAGGACTTTAGATCTAGTTCAGGCAGAAATAGGAAGCCACCGGAGTCAACGCTGCGGAGGAGTGCCGAGTAAACCTCGCTGTACTGTCAAGTTTGCGACGTGAGCCAAGAATGACAACTGGTCATCCAAAACTACAGCAAGACTTTATGCACTTTCAGACCAGTGGCACCAGAAAGATCTTAAGGAAGATGAAAATGATGTTCAGGAGCTCAGTTTTACTGGGATTCAGACGAGTGGGCTGCTATTCTTAATGGGAGATCAACCAGACATGTCAAGATGCTAATGGAAATCTGGATTCTGAGTTCTGATCTACATTCGGTTTGTGTGACCGTGACCATCATCAATTAGACGAAATCTGAGTTGAGTCCTCTGACTCAGCACTGCTATCCGAATACCAGGTGGGAAGAAGATGATTTGTTAAGCATATTCAACAAAGCTGTGGCAGCCAACTGATGATACTACATTGCCAAGAGACTATAAAAGAGTATGGAAGGAAAGGAGAAGTGGACCTAGCACTGTGCCTTGAGGGACACCACAGGAGAGTCTGCACAGACCCACTGTAGGTCCTCTCCATGTCACTTGATAAAAGCAATCCTCCAGATAGGACTCAACTAATGCCATGCTGAGCCAGTGGCTGGTGAGGAGGGTCAGGTGGTTGACTATATTGATGGATGCAGAGTGGTCAAAAAGACCTCTACGTTGTCACTGCAATACTGAGAATAGCCCACCACCCAAATCAGCGGTGTCCAATCTTATCCGCAGAGGGCCGGTGTGACTGCAGGTTTTCACTTCAACTAAGCAGGAGGTCACCTGATGAAACGTCTGAAGACTAAGACCAACTTATTAAACAAGTAGAATCAGGTGTCCTTCAGCTTGTTTGGAGTGAAAACCTGCAGCCATACCAGCTCTTTGCTAATAAGACTGGACACCCCTGACCCAAACACAACCTGGGTCAACAATCCAGTGGTCAGAAACTGTCTAAAAATGAATAGAGAGGTCTGATAAATTGTGCATCAATAACTGGACTACAGTCTGTAGTTGTTCACCTAAATAGTGGCGGTGAAAAGTAGGTGGAACTCAAGGTGGCCACTGTGTGACCTTACAAGGTAGATGTTTCTAATAAAGTGGATGGCAAGTAGCATCTCTACACATGTTGCTATATTCTGTTTGTTTTTTCCCCATCGTTACCTTCTCTGTACACTTGTGGATGAGTGTGGACAGCTCGGACACGACCAGGTCCACGCATTTGAGACACGGCTCCTTCAGCTTAATGACCTGCTTTTTCACTATGGCTTCAAACGCCAGGTCAGGAGTAAACAAGCCTGTCCTGAGGCATCATGGGAAAGTGGGGTGGGGCAAGGTGAGGGTTGTTTTTATATCGGGGAGGAACGAGACAATACAGGGGATAAAAGTGGGATGTACAAGTGTTGGTATTGGCCAGGGGGATGGGATTATACAAAAAAAGATAAAATAAAAAGAAAGAAACAAGAGAACAGAGAGAATAAAGAGAGACAGAAAAAGAGCACATGACTTAGTTTTCACAACAAACACTCTCACATCAGACAAGCCCCGAATTTCTCAATGTCTCACCTACACTACTCAAGTAAACTGGAGTAACGATCAAGGTAAAAGTAAGCGAGAATAACGTAAAAGACAATCAGCAGTAAAAAAGGAAGAATTTATCTGAAAACAAATTCAGTCTGTAAGGTAAAGCAATCATGTGTGAATAATTATAAGGTCTCAGTGTTAAATTTGACAATAAAAAGAACTTTCAGGGGAGGAGCAGCAGTTTTAAAGTAAAGACCAGATTCAATATGCCAAACACTGCACTGACACTTATATAATAGACCAATGCTCACACTTAATCATAGAATTACCCACTTCTGTGTGACATGAATGTAGGTGGAGTAAGAGAAGTTAGAAGCTTGCCTTCAGTTGAGGCCAGAGTCAACACGTTAAACTGGCCTTGTCCACATGCTGTGGTCACTGAGGGGTCGAGCCCAGCATGCTCACTCAGAGACATGACGAGACAGTGAAGGGAAAAGGGGGCTTTCTGTCAATCTCTGGCAATAACAAATCAATAATGATTTCATTTCTAGACCACCAACAAATCCTTTCTGCATATTTCAGATCAAATTTCAACCCAATATTACATAAACTCAGATGTCGCCGCAAATAAGAGCCCTTTCATATTCAGAAATAGATCGGAGCCAGTTTATATGCAGCCTGGCCACTTCTTATTTCCCTCGTTGTATCAAAAACAGGACTACAAAACAGCAGAGGGATGGCATTACTGCTACTGAGCGCTGATTGGTTGGCATTACTGCTACTGAGTGCTGATTGGTTGGCATTACTGCTACTGAGTGCTGATTGGTTGGCGAGCGGAGCAGCGCATTGGCTGTTCGCGCTCACTGACATTATGAACGTAAATGAGGCGCCATTTTAAACTCCTATAATTCGAGTTTAAAAGCCCTTAAAAATGTAACAGCAGCGTTAAAATGTTTTTCTGCTGTTCTGTGTTCAGGAAATTAATGAATTCTTTTACATTCAAAATGTTTAAGCATTTATAAACTATGATTTTGCTCAAATGCTCCATCTTAACCTAATCATTTTGGACTCACTCAGGAGCGCCCTCTAGTGTCTGAGAAACCCAGAAAATATTATAGAGTGGGAATTCTCCTCTCTACAAGTTCTCTGAATACATTTCTAGAGGTCCACCAAATAATGAGGTTGAAGCAGTTAGTCTCCCACCTTGCTAGTATCCGTCAACCTTTTTGTTTTGAATAGTTCCCCAATTTCTTTATCCTGGGATCTGTCCCACTCATCTGAATATCAATCACTACAATAAACATAGCAAACCCAGCTCCACACAGAGATTGAGCAGACTGGCCCTCTTTTCCCAGCCTGTTTTGCCGCCCTGTCACAGCGCCCCCTCTGGCCGGGAGGAGCCACGGCAGCATGCGGTACCTTGCTGGTGCACTGCCTCACTGTGTTGATGAGCTCCTGGATGACCAGGTCAATGCATTTCAGACACGGCTCCTTCAGCTTAATAATCTGCTTTTTAACTATAGCCTCAAACGCCAGGTCAGGAGTAAACAAGCCCGTCCTGAACGACACAAGCAAACATCGAAGACGGACATGGAGAAGAAAATAAAGATCATGGAGAAAAAAATGATTGTGAGGAAGACAGACAAAAGAAAAGAACGAAAACAAGGTAATATGTGATTTGAAAAGTCTAGGGATGCACCAAAAGCCCCCGAAAATGGCACAAAAAGCAGTGCATTCAGGTTTGGAGGAAAGAGGCAAAACATTTTGGAGAAAAGGGCAAAACATTTTGCCGGTCAATACACAGATGGGTTCAAACAGCTTGAGCAGCAGATCAACAGTAAAACCTGCAGCTGCCTTTTATATGGTCTTTAAATTACACGCTTTTCATCATTAACTGATTCAATGAAATTCTTTAATGGAAATCTCATAAATAATACTGAGTAAAGGCCAATTAACAGTCCAGGCAATGAGTACCACTCTACAAAAAATGACTAAATTTGAGACTAAATTCGTGTCTGCTTGTCTGCTTCTGTTGCACACATCAAAAACATACATCTGATGCGGTGCGGACACTGTCGCACACTCTGACTGGAGAGAAACTCAAAGTTCTACATTCTGGAGTGTTGCCGTGGTCACGGTGTGCAGCTGTGCTACAAATTGGCCTTAAATCTAAATCTTTTGGTAACTTTTGGTTTTCAAAGTTACTGCAAACATATACATTGGTTAGATCCTGCTGGTGTGGGTTCACGACTGTTTCTTCTCTAAATGATGAACGCTAAATCGACTTGACGCTAGTAGCATTAATAACTTCAGACTGCTAGACGGGAGCTCCAAAGCCACGTCCACATGCTTTTTATATTTAAAAAATATATGAATTCAGTTTAAGATGTCTTGGAGAAGCCATGAATTCATTAAAGTTTTTATAATCTTACAACTTTTAATATTTAATATTATATAGCAAGCTGTTAAAAAAAAAAAATTAAAAATCAAATTTGTCCTCCAGTTCTCTCAGTTCTCTTACCCAACACGGTGAAAACTGCCTTTGAAATATGGTCAGCATTATTACGTTAACTCTGAAGCATAAATAAAAAGGCAAATTATATTTAAAGGAATGCTTTTTCAGTTTCCAGCAAAGTGTATCCTGAATTTCTGTTTTAGATACGGTTGAGATTTTTCGTTTTGGTGCATCACTGGAAGAATCAATTGAAAATGAGTCAAAAGACAAAGAAGAGACACCATGTATGATTCAAAAATACAACTACAGTGATATTTAGGAGTGATAACGCAGTACAGGCTGAGAGGATGGAGCTCAGCACGTCCTGAAAGCAGCACATGATCACACAGACTGAGGAGATTAACTGAGAGCAGTCAGTCACTGTTTACTTGCCTCACGCCGTGTATGTTCTTAATGGCATAGCTGATCTCCCTCCTCAGCTCCTTCTCATCAAACTCCATCTAAAAACACACAAACAGGCTTGTTTAGAGGCCGCAGGTCTCTGCAGAGATAACAAAAGCACGTTCTAGATTCATATGAATTATTTCTGATCCGTACACTCTTAAAAAGGATGGCTCTTCAGGGTTCTTCAGTAAAGAAAATGGTTCTATATACAACCATGAACACTCAAAGAACCCTTTGCATGATTTAAGGGTTTTTTGCATCGTTCAATGGTTCTTTAGATTGATGGAGAATGTGCTGTATATGGTTTTACATATAGAACCTTTTTGAAAAGAGTTCTCTGTAGAGGGTTCTTCTATTGTTACAAGCTTGACATTGTAACATGTATGTCTATGTAGGACCATCCACAGCACATCCTGCATCAATCTGAAGAACGCTTTGCATGATTTAAGGGTTCTTTGCATCGTGAAAGTGTTCTTCAGATCGACGGAGAATGTGCTGTAGAGTTCTATACAGCACCCAAAGAGTGTTCTTCTATTGTTACAAGCTTGACACCATAATAGTACAAGAACCCTTTTTGGTGCTATATAGAACTCTCTTCATAAAGGTTCCATATGTAGAACCATCTACAGCACATCCTCCATCAATCTGAGCATCACTTTCACAAGCCAAAGAACGCTTAAATCATGCAAAGGGTTCTCTGAGTGTTCATGGTTCTATACTAAACCATTTTCTTTACTAAAGAACCCTTGAAGAACCTCTTTTTAAATGTGTAGCTCATTGAAACAGGTGGAGAAATTGTTTGAGAAGTGAAGGTAAACTTTTTATTTTATTGTCAACAGAATCTGATGAAACGTTACTGTCGTATGCAAAGTCTTGTTTTGTGGAAAGAAAAAAAAACACAATTTTCATTTTTACTGTTTGTCATTTTTTAGCATGGAAACCCTCAAACTTATCCAGCAAACTATAAACGTCCACATTAATATTTATTAATATTTATTTATTTATTTATTTTTTACTGTTTTTGCTTGAATGTTTTCATGGAATCCATGACGTGACTTTGACTTACCAGCCCTTGGATGAGTCTGCTTGGACATAATAATCAAATGTAATTAATTATGTAAATGTGTAGCTATTTGGTACGCAATTTTTAATAGTTATGTGATTATACAGTTAAGTAATTACACCTGAATAACATTAATAACTCCTGACTCCACAAACTGTTTGTTCTCTATCAAAACAACAAATCCTAGTCATTACCTTCACCAGCTCGAAGGGGAAGCGCTCGTGGAAGATGCGGTTGATTCGAGCTCCTCCGGAAAGTTCCAGAGTGTCCACCTGATCACCTGACCCCTCGATTCGCTTCTCAAAATCCACTCCGAACTGCTGCACCATCCTGAACAGACACAGAGACGTCATTCTGCAAATGGGACAAATCTGCGCTGTTTTGAGAAAATGTCATCACATCATTTATTTACTGATATATATTGATATAATTATATTATAATTATTATTACAATTATTATCGGATCGTTTCCATTTGGAAACAGCTGTGACCACTTCATGAAAAATAAATGAGGGATGTACCGATACGGTGTTTGTGGGCCGATGCTCATCTCTCGATATGTTTTAATGACATATCTGTTAACCCCTGGAACCCCAAGCCCTCATTTTGCCCGCAAAGTTGTTGACTTCTAGCCTTCATAACTTCAGAACGGTTTAATTAAGAGACATGATACACATATCAGAACATTCAGCAGATCAGATCGAGCTAGCATGATGTCACTGAGCTGTGACGTCAGCATCAGTGAGCAATTTGACTTGGAAAATCACCTAAAATCCTGATATTATTGCTCAGATTTTTGTCCTTCAAATTCCAACAAAGGGTTAAAACAGCGGCATGATTTACACATCAGATCACTCATCAGACTCTGCCTCACCATCCAGAGTGTTTTCATCCACCTGTGACCGTCCATCAGCCAGAGATCCAGCTCCAAAATCACCCAAACCCCACTCACTACTGTTATATTACATCTCTGCTTTTAGCCTTCATATTATAAACAAGGTCAAAAACAGTGACATGATTTACACACCAGAACACTCAGAGGAACCTGACCTCACTAGCCAGAGTGAGAGAAACCAGCTCCAATATCACACAACCCAGAAATACAACTCAAACACACAGCCAGATCACTGTAAAAGCTGCTATTAGCTCTCTGCTCTAGCCTTCATACGGCAACAAAGGGGTTAAAGCCAAAACATAAACATTTTATTAAACGCAGATATTGGGACTAGATCCACCCGGATCAGCATTACAGAAATAAAATCAATAAAACGCTGATATTTCAGTGCAGTAACCCAAACATTCTGCTCTTCTGGAGTTCAAACACATCTCAAATGTCAGTTTGAAATATCAGCCAAATCTCAATGTCTGTACAAGATCGATATTGTTTTCATGCAAATATCTGCCCAAAATGATATCCGATATGAATCCGATATCATTGTGCTTTAACTGACGTTGATAAGCCGTGAAATGCTCCCATAGTTTGTTATGGGCATTTTAAGTTTATATTTACAGAGACTGACCCTGAGGTCCATGTACTCACTGCAGCAGCGCTTTAGTTTTGCGTGTAGGATCATCTGGTTTGAAGTTCTTGTACTCCTCCACCTCCTTCTCCAGAGACAGCAACTGACTCTGCAGTTTGGACCGGAGTCCAGGCAGAGTGTCCCTGATGTGGTTGGTCAGTTGCTGGAATTAAAAGAGAAATAAAACACAAGAATGAATTTGTGTGTACGCATGGTTTTAATGTCATGTGCAACAGAGCAACTTCACTGTAAACTAAAACTCCCCTGTAAACATACACTGGGCTTTATCTTATACACGCATATCATCACTGTCGGAACAAAACCGTGTTTTTCCACATCTTCATTTTTCGAAATGATCTGAAAATACTAGCTGTTATTCACAGTGGTCCAAATGGTCCAAAACTGCTTGGGAAAAATCTCTTAACATTTGATTGTCATTGTTTTTCTTTTCTTTTTATTATTTATTTATTTATTACTTCTGTTGTTCATTTGAGTTTAATAAGACTGCTAGTTGAGAACAGATCATCATATCAGTAGGTAAAACACTGTTTAACTAAGGCTGAGCGTCACTACACGACTTTTAAAATCTTAACAGGTCTCTAAAACGGAGAACATCACAAACTTAACGTCAGTTAACGTCGCAGAATTCCTTGTCTTTGTCGTGAGGCGCTCAGACTAGACGAAAAGGCAAAGAGCGAGAATAACACACATAAGTTTGGGCTACGAATAAGAACTCAAACTCCCAGAATTCCTCAGATCACACGACACAATCAGAGCTGAACTTACTGAACCTGTATGGGCTTTTATGCGCAGTGAAAGCTCAAACCGGGGATTAGTATGTGGTGAGAAGCGCTGATTCAGTGAGAGGTGGAGAAATATTTCACTATAAACTGGCAGCTGAGCTGTAAAGACAGCGACCTGACGACTGGTCAACATTATAAACATGATATCGGCTCTTATCTGCCTGTGTTTTACACGCAGCTCCTCTGTCTCCGCTCTGCTGTTCAGGCGTCTCTTCTCCTGTTTCTCCACTCTTCCAGCTCTCTGATTGGCTGTTGTTTGAATCACTCGTTGAGTAAATCGCCGACCTTCTCTCACTGCAGGACTCGTGAACATTTTGACTGCAAACATGTTTGATAATATCGGAGGGTCTCTAATCACTCCAGAGCAGATTGGAGGGCTAAAGATTCACTCGTTTCTCCTCTCACACTACCAGATCATCCGCACAGTCAGTCGCTTCTGATTGAGCTCCCGACCTGGAGAATTGCTTCAGATTGTGAAAATTTGTCGCAAAGGGCAAATCTGGGTTAAAACCTGGCAAAGAATCGTGCAGTGTAGGCCCAGCTTTAAACTACTGGAGTATAAAATGTGCAATATAAACATAAGATTAGCTCTGACTGTCCAGTCGTGGTACCTGGTTGAGAGTTTTTTGCAGGTGAGGTGTCCCCATTCTTTCTGCCATGTGTCTGTAAGCAGGATGGGACAGGAAGAATTTCCTCTCGGCTGCCAGGGCAGCACGGATGTCCTTCCGACCATCAATGTCCTTCTGACTGCGGTTCACTACACCGATATATCCTACACAAACACAGACACAAACAAATCAATAACTTTTAAACACTTTTTCAAAGCATGTCAAGGTGAAAACTGTGTCACTGGAATAAAAGAGTGGGAAGGGACGCTATGCAGATTCACAAATATCAGTGACCAAAACTATCACAGTACTGGGTATTATCATGGTATTTTTAATGGCCCTGTAGCACAACCTGTGCTACCCCAGGCTCAGGAAGGACGCTGCAGGCAGGGTTCAAGGTTGCAGTGGCCATTAACTTTAATTATCACTCCAAAGTCCCTCAGTGATGTGCGGGATTGTACACACTCCTGCCTTCCTGCCGGCTCTCGAGGCCAACATCGGGGCTCGGGCCACGGGCGCCTGCCACAGGCCCATTTCATGAAAATTGCTTTTTTAGTAAAACATACTGTTCACTCTAAAGTCTATACAGCCCATATACGGAAAGTAAGCTGCAAAAACTGAGCACAGTTTTTGTGATGTCACATTTACACACAGTCCTACACAAACGTTTGAACATTTCTGGTCAAATTACATGTTTTTGTTGATTTTCTAGGTGAAAATAAGTTAAGACATCCTCTACAGGGGACAAACATGTTGGAAAAAAATAAAACACTAAATATAGAATGTGTCGTACCTTTTGCGCAGACCACATTTTATTTATTTTATATTCAGCAAGTAATCGTGTATTAAAATGTGTTCACTTATTTACATTTTAGAAAATCAACAACACATAGAATTTGTCCAGGGGCGCCCAGACTGTTTTTGGATCATAAAGGCACTCAGATGTTATAAGTAGAGCTCAACAGGAAACTATAAGTAAAACTCAGAATATGGTTCTTTTAAAATAAGCTGTAAATCCTTAAAACAGACACTGAAAGCACGTCACCACAGCTGTACTACTAATACACTGTTAACTGATGTGTTGTTGTGGTGTGATTTTCAGGGAGACCGTAGCAGTAGAGCTGTGTTTACGTCCACCCGCACTTTTCTGAATCGATGATCATTAGATTTTGAAACCGTATGATCATATTTGGGTTTTTTAACGCGGTACATCATTAAATAAACAGCAACCATAGCTGTACGTGTATCACACCTCGGCGCAGCGGCAGCAGCTTGTTCTCCAGGATGTCTCTGGCGTCGGTGCCTTCGTCCATCAGGTCCAGTTTGGTGATCACACCGATGGTGCGCAGACCTGCGGGTGAGAAGATCAGGAGGTTACGGTCACTCAGGGTCTCTGCAAAATCTTTAAAATCTAAATCATACATGCTTGTAAGCGAGAACCCCTGCCTTTGATAGGAAAGGGCTGTCTGATTGACATGTACAACAACCAATCACAGGCTGCTTAGCGTGAGAAACCTTTGTGGAGTACTGGCTGGCAAACGCACAAGGATATCTCGTTTACAAACACACATTATTTTAATCGTAATTTATCGCTTCTCAAGTCGTCCTCGTGATATCGTCAGCTTTATCGAACATCGCATTTTATGTCAATATCATGCAGCCTTACTGCTACCAACAGGTTCAAACTATATTCAGGAACGACTTCATAAAACAGGCTAGCATGAATGTTTCCTGTGTCAGCAACTACATCTCACTCTGAAAAGCTCGTCTATAGGAGAAGCAACTGACTGCTACTAGTATTTATCTTGAAAAACATTTTTCTGTTCCTCAACAGGCTGGCAAAAAGGTGCACGGATACCCAGAGCCAGTTTAAACTCTCACTGTCTGTGCTGACATGCAAAGAGTTCTGCCAATCTGATTGAATACATTCCCATTATAGATTGAGACTGAGGTGTTTATTCTCACTCTACTCAACAACCTGATGAAAATCTCCATTTTCATGCTCACTACAAGTAATCTGATCCAGAATTACACACATGCGTAGAGAACCACTTAGTGTAGACGTTACTATGACAACCAGCATCACGTGAGTCCAGTCAGAGTGAGATGAGCAGCAGTGAGCAGCGCTTGTGTTTTTAATTACTTTAAAATGATGTCAGACTCAGGAAAACGTCCTTCACATGTGCTTATTAAAGAAGGCCGAGGGGAAGACGTCGTGTTCTGAGCCACATAAGCTGGACGTCCGTCCCACCGCCGTCTTTTAAAGATCAGAGCATAAACTTCTCCTCTGCAGACCAGTTTCTGCTCCGCCATGTTGAACGGTATAAACTCTCACTATGACGTGACGAACATGATCAGAACGGACTTAAACTTTCCGATAGGGAATGTAATCAGATACAGGCGTTTACACAGATATTATTCTTCTATTTAACTGATTATTTACAGGATTACCCACCTCGATCAGTCGGATAGAAACTGTATTATGAACGGCCTCAGTCGGACTCGTCGGATTGAGGTGTAAACATGAACGTGTTCTATTCCGATTGAGCTATTAGTCTGATTATTAATGGATTATTAGGCTGCAGGTAAACATGGCTAGTGAGAGGAGAGATTGTGGGAGCTGTGGTGATTTTAGTATGCATCAGCATTCACATCAGACAGTCTGTGTATTTCTGTGTGCAGAGTGTCTGAGACTGAAACTCACTGAAATACAGCAAAAACTCTTCTGCATTGAAAATCTCACACTGCAAACCACAGCATCTGCTGCCCCAGACCCTATTAGCCAACTGCTAACAAAGAATGCCTCATGGTATGACGACTAGTCAACTCGAGTGACCAGTTGACTAGTGAAACTTCACAGTCATGCAACTCCTAATACAGTCTGAGGACCTTACCTTGTGGGTCGACCTCCTTGGCGATTTTGAGTGCATCCGAGTTGGCCAGGTCAGTGTTAGCTGGAGTTACGGCCAGAATCAGACAACTCTCCTTAGTGACGAACTGCAGCAGCATGTCCCTGAGCACAACAGAGAAAAACACACCGGCTCACTCAGGACAAAGGGCTTTCAGCACTGGAGCGGCACCAAATTAAAAAACATGGACTATGACGGTTTCTGAATCCGGGTTAAACACTCCATCTAAACCAATCAGCTCACAGACCCACTTTGACTTAACCAACCCTATGAGAGAACACCTCAGAATGAACCAATCACCTGATCTGGAACTCTATATCGGGGGGCTGGTCCCCCACCGCCACCTTCGTCATGCCAGGAAGATCAATGAGAGTCAGATTCAGCACTGAGAGAGAGAGAGAGAGAGAGAGAGAGAGAGAGAGAGAGAGAATGAATTATTAAGCATTATGTTTACAATGAAAATTTAAGTTTACAACGATCAATATTACTGACGTTACACAGTCATATGAACAGCTAACATTTTGTTTTCTAAATGACAGTAAAGGTCTTTACACACCAGTCGTGAGTCGTTCATGTGGCTAATTCAGACAACAGTAAACTAACTTCAGCATGTCTTTAACTAAAATCTTGCAAATTAAATGTGATTTTTCACACAGCAAAAAGGCAACGTTATTTTATACACCCTCTGTATGATTTTTGAGAACGTTCTCTAGTGACACTGACTGTTTGACCAATCACAATCATCTCTGGTGTTGGCATGGCGACAACCAAGATGAAACAGCAGCTGTGTTCCTGCAAAAAGAACTTTTTCACAAATGCTAAAAGGATCAGAATCTCCAAAGCTGCTCAAATGAAGCTCAAACTGGGCTCAAATATTCAGTTACAGCCTGTGTGGAAGCACTCAGAGTTTCAGCTTCTGACTGAAGCAATGAGACTCTCCACACTCTCACTTTCCCAAAATGGACCTTAGCCCAGTGTCACTGTTTGCTTGTCCTGTGGGAAGCAAAGGAGATCTAACTTGCACTTGGAGACATTCAGTCTGTTTTTTCTGTGGAGTGGAATCTCCAAAATCTATGAAGCCCTGCTGGTGACATCACGTATAAATTAAAATAATGTGCCATATTAACATGTGAGAATATGTGAGATATTTGAGATACAATTTGGCCAAAATTCCTAAAAAAAAGTGCCCAAATATTTCGCATTTCTGTGACACTCGGTCTGTAACAGCCTTAAGTTAACACCCTCTGTGTGTGCATTCTTTTTGTTGCTTTGGCAAAAGCTGCTAATTAGAATCAGTTCCAATAACCAGAATCAGGTTCAATAACCAGGGTGTTTCGTAGTTGTCTGCAGTTTGATGGTGTAGTTTAACTGATGGTAACTGATGGTAAACAACGTCCATAAATCATTTCACAAAAAAAGAACCGAACTGAACCCCATAGCTGAGAACTGCAACTAAACCGGTCTGATTTAAGGCCTATTTAATGCTGTATCTCTACTACCAAAGGTTTTATTAGCCCTTAAAGCTTACAAAAAAAAATCTAACTTATCCAGTACCCACTGCTACTCCAAACATACTCATTTATAAAATGCTGACTGGCTGTGCATTCCAGAGGCAGCATTCACAAATGAACATCCCACAGCTAAAAACAGCAGCTGAATAATGTTTATAGATAACAGTGAGTCATACAGTGTCAAAACCCACATAATCAAGTCTACTAGAGAGACTGAACAACTCAGTGAAAACATTAAAATAATTCATATAAAACTTGAACCATTTTCTGACAGTATAATGAATGAAGGACACATTTGGTAAATATGTGTTTCAGTGCTCTAATATGAGACAACAAATTTAGTCTTCAGGCCAAGTGCAGTCCAAAAGCATGCTAACTAGCTAGCATGCTCTAGCATTCAATAATTCAAAATGTAGTAAATGTGATTATTTATATGCTAAAAAGTGCTATTTAAACATCTGAAAATGTGCCAAATTTGATTATTTAAAAAAAAAAATTCAGAATTTGCTAAATTTGATTATTTAATCATTTGAAAACAACAGAATTGTTCACTTATTCAATACATTAAATAAATATAATAAAAAAATAGCTTTTAATTTTAGGTTTTTTTTTTTACCCTGTCTATATGAGGCCCAAGCAGCTAACAGGTAATGCAAGCTTATACCCATTAATTAACAACTGCATATATCAACACACAGGAACAAAAGTACACAGCACAGCTAAAAACAGCAGCAGTCGTCTTGAATCTAGTCCATGTTTATAGATAACAGTGAGTCACACAGGGTCAGAAACCACAGAAACCACAGAATCAGGTCTCCAGAGATGCTGAACACAGTCTGAGACGAGTGTGTTACCATGAGGGGAGTAGACCCGCAGGTTGATGGGAATGGGAGAGATTCCTTTATTAGATCCTGTGATACGGTCCGTTTCGGCCTCGATCTCCAACCGAACCTCGTCAAAATCAACAAACTTCTTTCCTTTACAGTGAAGGAACTCCGCGTATTCTAGAGAGAGAGAGAGAGAGAGAGAGGGAGAGAGAGCGAGAGAGAGGGAGAGAGAGAGAGAGAGAGAGAGAGGGAGAGAGAGAACAGTGTCATTTTATAAACAGTGATATAAGTTAGACTGGAGCAAATGTCACAATATTCTAAACAAGTGCTGATATTAGCAGTCCAGATCACACAGACACCCTGAATCAGAGTCAGGCCCGAGACTCTGTAGCGGCCGAGTCCGAGTCAGGACCGATTATTATTTATCAATATTTGTGTCTCATTTGTCTAATTTGGTTCTCTTTCTCTACTTTTAGGAATTCTGATGAAGTTTTAGGCCACATTTATACAGAAATATAGAAAATTCTAAAGGCTTCACAGACTTTCGAGCACCACTGAAGGACGTGGCGAAGGGAAGCTGAACACCCACATCAAACACACACTGGTCTCTCCTCATCTCCCACCACATTCACTGTGAACCCGAGACCAAGACAGGCTGCGTCGTATCATCTTGACTCGGTTTTTGGTTGAGTACCGTCTCTTGCTTTGTTTTGTCTCAGAAGCATCGCCTGTTTTTATGTTCGTCCCTGTTAAATATCTCTCCACTCTGTAAACCCAGACTCTCTGGCCCATCTCACCCCTCGCCCCTACCACTTTACCCTTAGCCCTCTGTTTTGCGCGTTCACGTCTAGGGGTAGGGTGTCCTGACTGTTGTTGAGATAGAAGGGTAGGATGAAGTGTTGGGGCTGCATGACCCTCCAAACGGAGGTTTTTCAGAGACTCCAAACAGAGAGTTATGAGAAAAAAAGAAAAGACCGGCAAGATGGAGAACAAGAGACCAAAGAAACCCACAAATGTGAGAATTTTCTGTTAAATTATTCCGATAACCACTGTTTTATCTTAATGTCACATCCTTCATATCACTGAAGAATTAGGGGTAGGCAATAATAAATAATTGCCCCCCTCTTTGAAGATATGATATATGATTCCCTAAATGTAACTAAAGCCCAGCAGTGAGGAGCTGAACTTCACCCTCCTCTGCTGTCACTGCAGACTGGCAGCAGCGCTGGTAGCTGTTAATGAAGTGATGCTCTTTTTATTTGAGGTTTGTCCCATTTCAGAGGGAAGATCTCAACCACTACCCCTGTAACTCAGTTCTAAGGGGTTAGGGATGACACCTGAAGGTGACATTCGTTTTAACTGCTGACTGGCTACGCAACGGTTTACCTAAGATGTGGTTTAAGTGCTGCCGATGCTTAAACGGGTTTCTCTGCTGTTACTGCGGTGGATAAATGGAGCGCCGCTCATCTCTCAGTGTTTATCGCTGGCGTGTCGCTATGGAATCTTATGGAATTATATAGCTGTAGCTGATGGAAACACTGATTCATTTGCAATTACTTATAGAGACTTTTTCTTACTTTTATTTTGAAACTAACAAGTCCCCATATGTGGCCGATGCTGGTTTACTTCGCGGCCGACATCTGACAGTACACAGCGATGCGAGTGTGGCGCAGCGTGTATGTCTGTACCTGCTTTGTTGTTGATCAGCTGGAGGATGAGGGGTCTGCGAGTGACGATTCCTGAACCGCGGGGGAGAAAATCCCTGAAACACACGAGAGAGAGAGAGAGAGAGAGAGAGAGAGAGAGAGAGAGAGAGAGAGACAGAGAGATCAGGAGGGCTGGAAGATCAATCGGTTTCATAAAGAAATCGCAGTTTAAGACCAAATGGCAATTTCCAAATCGCAAGAGCTGCAATTTTGTTTAATTATAGCCTACAATCTTCAGAGGTTCTTCAAGGTTCTTAAAAAAGATGGTTCTTTAGTAAAGACAATCATTCTATGTAGAACCATAACTACTCAAAGGAGTCTTTGTATGCTTAAATGGTTCTTTGCATGGTGTAGAAATGGTGGAGAATGTGCTGTATACGGTTATATATACAGCACCTTTTTGAAAGGGGTTCTATATAGCACCAAAAAGGGTTCTGCCATTGTTATGATGTTCTTGTCACAGTAGAAATTGAACCTAATAAGACTTTGTGAAATGCTTGTAGATGAGTTAGACAAATCAGAGGCAAGCAAACCTCCATGTGTTGTGACATCACAACCACAGCTTACTGGCAGTTTGGACAATACGTTCAGGGGTCGAGCCTGAAGCCAAAAAAGTTTGATATTCTTGTCTTCTTGGCCAAAATCAAACAGGCCTGAACCTCAATCTATAAAAAATGTGCAATGCAGTGCCAGTGTGAAAAGCTATACTGATTATATAGGAGCATACTGTGCAATTACTGCTGCAGTGCCAGTGGGCAATGCTACACTGATAAATATAGGAGTGTACTGCACAGTTACCGCCGCTGTGCCAGTGTGAAAGCCTACACTGAATAATATAGGAGCATACTGCGCAGCTACCGCCACGGTGCCAGTGTGAAAGCCTACACTGAATAATATAGGAGCATACTGCGCAGCTACCACCACGGTGCCAATGCGAAACACTACAGTGATCAATATAGGAGCGTACTGCGCAGTTACCACCGCAGTGCCAATGTGAAACACTACACTGATTAATATAGGAGCATACTGCGCAGTTACCACCTCGGTGTCGGTGTGAAAGACTACACTGATTGATACAGGAGCATACCGCGCAGTTACCACTGCAGTGCCAGTGTAAAAGGCTATACTGATTATATGGGAGCGTACTGCGCAGTTACCACTACAGTGCCAGTGTGAAGGCTACAGTGATTAATATAGGAGCGTACTGTGTGGTTACCACCGCGGTGCCAGTATGAAAGACTACACTGATTAATATAGGAACATACTGCGCAGTTATCAATGCAGTGCCAGGGTAAAAGGCTACACTGATTAATATAGGAGCGTACTGCATGGTTACCATCACGGTGCCGGTGTGAAAGACTACACTGGATAATATAGGAGCGTACTGCGCAGTTACCGCTGCAGTGCCAGTGTGAAAGACTACACTGATTAATATAGGAGCATACTGCGCAGTTATCAACGCAGTGCCAGGGTAAAAGGCTACACTGATTAATATAGGAGTGTACTGCATGGTTACCACTGCGGTGCCAGTGTGAAAGACTACACTGATTAATATAGAAACATACTGCGCAGTTACATGCACGTGCCAGTGTGAAAAGGCTACACTGATTAATATAGGAGTGTACTGCATGGTTACCACTGCGGTGCCAGTGTGAAAGACTACACTGATTAATATAGGAGCGTACTGCGCAGTTACCGCCACAGTGCCAGTGTGAAAGGCTACAGTGATTAGTATTGGAGCATACTGCGCAGCTACTGCCACTGTGCCCGTGTGAAAGGCTACACTGATTAATAGTGCTAATTTGACAGACTACACTGATTAATGTGAGAGTGTACTGCATGGCTACCGCCATGGTGCCAATGTGAAAAACTACACTGATTAAGATAGCAGTGTACTGCGCAGTTACCGCCACGGTGCCAGTGTAAAAGGCAGCATAATTTAATTTAGGAGCGTACTGTGCAGTTTCCCACTGCGGTGCCGGTGTGAAAGGCTACACTGATTAATAAAGGAGCGTACTGTGCAGTGTCAGTGTGAAAGGCTACATTGATTAATATCAGAGTGTACTGCGCAGTTGCCACCGCGGTGCCAGTGTGAAAGGCTACATAATTTAATAAAAGGAGCGTACTGCGCAGTTTCCCACTGCGGTGTCAGTGTGAAAGGCTACACTGATTAATAAAGGAGCGTACTGCGTAGTTTCCCACTGCGGTGCCAGTGTGAAATGCTACATAATTTAATATAGGAGCATACTGCGCAGTTTCCCACCGCGGTGCCAGTGGAAAAGGCTACACTGATTAATAAAGGAGCGTACTGCACAGTTTCCCACTGCGGTGCCAGTGTGAAAGGCTACCCTGATTAATACAGGAGCGTACTGCACAGTTTCCCACTGCGGTGCCAGTGTGAAAGGCTACCCTGATTAATACAGGAGCGTACTGCACAGTTTCCCACTGCGGTGCCAGTGTGAAAGGCTACCCTGATTAATATAGGAGCGTACTGCGCAGTTTCCCACTGCGGTGCCAGTGTGAAAGGCTACCCTGATTAATAAAGGAGTGTATTGCGGCTGGTGTGGTTACCGTGTCTGATGCTAAATGGACTTGAGGACGGACATCAGTCTGGTCTGGACGGACATTTTTAACAGACACTGGCTGAATCAGATGTGAACGTCAGGTTCGGACAAGTGGAGCTCTAAACTGGACCACCGGACTGAGACTAATAGGACAATGACATCCTCTACAGAGAGAGGAAGTGAAACATGAAAGATGAACCGTTTCAGATCCTCCCTTCCTGTTCAGTGAAGTTATTCCCACTGCTGTGTACAAAAATCTCAACACACTGAAGGCCTGACGTGCTGAGATGTTTGTGCGAGTTTCAGGCTCAGTTTGGTCATGTTTTACTCACGTCTTACGAACAAAACCTGGGGTGACTCTAGAACCAATAGTCACAATTCTAGAAAATGGTAGTATGGTTCTGCCCTTTTCTCTAGAACTTTTCAAAACAAACTGACGTGGCAGCATCTACACATTCCCCACGTTCAGGTCCACAGATGATGAAATCTCTTATGTCTTATATTAACAATATACAGTGAATGATATAAAACTACAGCGAGGATAGTTGGTGCTGTTACCTGCCCACGAAGTTCTCCAGTACAGAGCTCTTCCCTGCACTCTGTCCGCCCACCACGGCGATCTGAGGCAGGTCCAGGTTACAGCTCTGCCCGATGGAGCTGAACGCGTCCTGCAGCTTATTGATTAAAGGGATGAGCTCCTCCATTCCCCGGTTCCCCATGACTGCTGGAGAGGAGAAAAACACATGAATAAGCAGTGAAGAAATGTCCAAAACCATCATAGTTAAAAGTATAATATGAATTGTGCCGTCCCACTTTATATTAAGTGTCTCTAATAACTGTGTAGTTACACATGAATAACATATGCAACAACACTGTAACTACTGATATTTAGTCACTGTTACAGATGGATTACAGAAGTACAGCCTATGTAATTACACATGTGTATCAACTTCAGTTTTGCCTCATGTAATTACACAAGGACAGTTATATAGGTACTGTGTAATAATGGAGTGGTTATATGTGTATTAAACTGCTGGTCCAGTCTGATTACAACTGTAATTATATTCATGTTATTACCATTGTGTAATTACATGAGAGAGAATAGGCTGTTACAATACACTTGTGTAACTACATGAGGTGTATGTCTGTAATCCATCTGTAACAGTGTCTAAATCATTAGTATGTTGTTCACATGTAACTACACACTTATTAGAGACGCTTAATATAAAGTGGGACCAATTGTTTTAGGTCAAAGGTTAAATACGAGAGTGCAAGAGCTGCGACAGCTGTGATTTTAAACACATTTTATATACTGCATTATCAACACTGTTGACTTGGACTGTTTACATTTCCTAACTACAGCTGTTTTGTCTCTGAGCACAAATCTGAAAACAGAAGTCAAACAGATTAATTTTCTCTTTGTACATCCTTTAGTCTTTGGGTTTAAGTGAGGAAATTTAACCCTATAACACAGAACCTGTGAGCTGCCTGTTTTACAAGTCCGACCAATCAGAAGCAGCCAAAGACCCACGTGCAGTGACATCACAACCAAACAAGCAGCAATCAAGCCTCGAGCTAGAAAACGTGGATATTCTGGTCGCCGTTGCCAAAATAACAGACACGAACCTCAATTTAAATACAACCAAAAAGACAGTAGTCGCAGTTTAAATCAGTCACAACGCTGACCAGAAAAATCGCAATTAGATATTTTAGCAGTTTGTCTTACATGTATGTGTTATGGCTAATAAAGTGATTGTGATTGAGATACGTACACACACACATATATATATATATATATATATATATATATATATACATACGCTGTCGGAACAAAACCTCGTATCTCCAAAATGGTAGGTAGAAGGAAAAAACATACTTCACTTTTAATGTAAGTCAATGGAACCAGACATTTTTCCAAGTCATTGATCATGAAATTTACACACAATATAAAGAAAAACAGACATTTTCAAATTATGTCAAAACTGAAAAACGACAAAGTGGGGATACAAGGTTTTGTTCCGACTGCACAGCAGCAATACATATACTTATGTGTGTGTATATATATATATATATATATACACATACATACATATATATATATTTTATTTTTTTATTTTTGTATTTTTTTTTACACACATACCTATATATACACATACATACATACATAATGTTCAGATCGTAAAACTTCAGATCGTCTTGAATCAGTTTAGTAAAACACATGAAAAAGAATGAGTAAATAAACAGTAAGCAGCTGTTCTGTAGCTGTGAGTTCTGTCTGATTAGCATTTACAGCATTGTGTAACGTTCCTTTAGAGTCATTCTGCAGAGAACAAAACAGTCTAATCAAAACAAGCTGCATCAGGTCATGGTCATGTGTAGCACAGCAGTACTCAAGACACACTGACTCATTATCTTAAATACCATCACTGTCCTGAAAAAGACAAGCATCTCCAAAATGGTATCTTTACAAGAGAAGGCAAAAACCTCCGCAGCCTAATCCAAGGTAATTTTATTCAGAGTGAATTTTGGAGCGTTTTCTATTGGTCCATTCATCATTCTTCTATTGGTCCATTCATCATTACGTTTTCATACAGTGTGAAATATATGGCTGCCATGGTCAAATGGGAAAAATCTGTTTGGGGAAAATTTTCTTATTTTAAATTTCAGCACTACTGTCATCGAAAATGCACCAATAAGGGAATCGTGTGCTGATGATGACACTGTTTCCCCACATACAGACTACAGCTGGGCTGCCCCACCAAGAAAACTGACCGGAATCCACAACATTTTTGGTTCCATTTGAACAATTTCCAAACAAATATTTATTCTGGTGTGAATAAATAGCGCCACACTTTGCGTAATACGAAATGGATATCCGTATATTACAATATTTTTCGCCCACGCCCTGAAAAACGAAAAAAGGAGGTTAGGGAACGAGCCTTGTGACCGGAAGGGTCGCCGGTTTGATCCCCTCAGCTGACAGTACGTGACTGAAGGGCCCTTGAGCAAGACACCTAACCCCCAACTGCTCCCCGGGCGCCGCGGGATAGGGCTGCCCACCACTCCGGGCAAGTGTGCTCACTGCCCCCTAGTGTGTGGGTTCACTAGTGTGTATGTGGTTTCACTGCACGGATGGGTTTAAATGCAGAGGTCTAATTCTAATTGGCTAAAAGGTTCATTTCATTCATTCATTCTCCTTGGACAGCAACAATATGTATCGGTGAGGATATGTGCATGAAAAATATCATATCTCTACAGTGTTTCTCACAGGTCTGAAATCATTTTCCATGTCATTGGGGTGCAGCAGATGTCCTTTACACTGTGTGGGAATTTCATAATGATTGGACCAATAGAAAAGCTCCAAAAGCACTGGGAATAAAATATCTTTATATTAACTTACATTAAAATTAAAGAACGTTTACGCCCTCTACTGTAAACTTATTGTTTTGGAGACATTTGTTTTTCTTTGCAACGATATGCATTTATAGAAGTGTAGAAACTGGCACTAAATCCATCTGGATCACCATTTCAGAGAGATATTCATTTGTAAAGGATTACAAATGTAGTAAAATTAATAAATGCAGATATTTTAGATATTTTAGCACAGTAACCCAGCGTCAGCTAAACACTCAGCTCTTTATGAGTTCAATAAACACATCATCAGAGACTGATTTGACATATGGCTCAAATACAACCATCTGTCTGATATCGATAATGTTTTATCGGCCGATACTGATATGATATCGATATCATCGTGCACCCCTAGCCCTGCCTGGGTCCCATCAGGGAGTGTTTGCTGCGGTGGAGGATATGGGAATCACTTCCTATGAATAAAAATCCCCAAAAAACAATGAAAACACTACAGTATATCGGAAGTTACACAACATCGCTTATTGTAAACAAACCAAAACTCACCGGTGATGATTTAGAAACGTTTATCTTCACTTTTAGTCCCAAATTCTTGAGTGTTTGTCTGAAAACACAGCGTAAGATCGACTATTCAGCGTTACTGAGGCATGGAAATACTCTTTAAATGGTTTAAATACAGAACAACACCTTAAATGTGGGTTTTAAACAGACTGACCTGATAGAAGGTGCAGTTAGACCCCCAGCCGGTGTCCAGTAACGCAGATTAACCACAACAACAGAGCCGTTAAACCAGCCAACGACGGGCGGTTCACACCCAAACCGACGCGGTTAAAGTCCGGTATAGAGCTCCGTTATGAAGGAGCGGCTGTTCAGCGGGAGTTTATCATGTCTGTCCCGAGCTGAACGGAGATAAATCAGCCAGCTAATTTACTCTGAAACACTAACGCGGCTGGACGGAGCGAAAAAACAGAAACAACTTCTATCCGGTCAGGCGACCGACACTGACTCTCACAAACCCCGCCCTCTTCAGCCGAACGCGCGCGGCCATTGGCCAACACAGCTATCCGTCAGAAGAAGACGGCGTCGTCATTGGAGGAGGGTTGATGTAGCCGGAAGCTCGATCCATCCAGTTGCGTTGGCACTCAGATATTTTAGGAAAATATGACTAAAAGTCTCAAAGCAGTAAAAACACAAAACTAAATAAAGCAAAAGCTTTAAAAATGAATCCAGAAATATTTTTATTATTTTTTTTCACAAAAAAGCTGTCAAGGTGATTAGAATGAAAGAAAAACTCTGTATATATTTTCATATTTAAAAATAATATGTGCTCTATATGTGATATTTAAAATACATGTATGTATTTAACTATATTTAACTGTGACGTTTCTGAATATTTAAATATATGCAAAAATATGTAGTTTTTTTAAAAATATGTGCATAAATGGTATGCAATAATTTTTCATCAGAGAAGACTTTAATTTTCATTTATATGTGAAACACATATGAAAATATATTACAAACCTGACACACATTGTGAAAAGTGATTCCACTGCATAGGAAAAAAAGTCCTCTAGTAACACGACCACATGATACTACACAAGAATAAGACAGCATTACAGGAATATTATACAGAGTTTCTTATTACTACAGTACAGTTTTATTTATTTATTTTATTTTGTTTTGTTTCATTTATTTATTTATTTTTAATTTATTTTATTTATTTATTTATTTTTTTTTGGTAAGTGAAATATTTCAAAAGACGTAACAAAACATGATTTCGATTTCATGTTTTTTTCATAGATGTTTTCTTTCTACACAAAAATGTACAGCCCTGGATTTTGTCGTGCTTTTGAAACAGCTCCTTAATTCATGCATTTAAAACTTCTCAGGTCAGTAACTACGAGTCTTCGCCTCTCTCTCTCTCTCTCTCTCTCTCTCTCTCCCTCTCTCTCTCCCTCTCTCTCTGTCTCTCTCTCTCCCTCTCTCTCTCTCCCTCTCTCTCTGTCTCTCCACCCCCCCCTCTCTCTCTCTCTCTCTCTCTCTCTCTCTCTCTCTCTTTCTCTCAGTTCAGTTCAGTTCAATAAGCTTTATTGGCATGACCATATTTAGTTACAGTATTGCCAAAGCATCATCAAAAAAGAACAAGAAAAATGAACATTTAGAACAGAGGATACAAACTCTTAATTTCATTTGATGTAAAAATAATTATGAAAGAATCACATAAAAGAACAGTAAAGATAGTCGTTTGGAATTAAGTTGTAAAGAAATTCAGAGGAAAAGAAAAAAAAACAAAAAACAAAAAAAACAAAACAAGAAAATTAATAAATAAATATTAGAAATTTAAATAGATACATAAAGATTACAAACAGGGCAGTTTTTGATATTGTGTGTGTGTGTGTGTGTGTGTGTGGTGTGTGTGTGTGTGTGTGTGTGTGTCTGTGTTTTTGTGTGTGTGTGTGTGTTTGGGTGGGTCACTCACTGTCCCTCATATTGTGGCAGGCAGATATATATTGTGCTGCTAAGGCGCTGCTCTCTCTCCTCTCTCCTAGCAGGATGGGCAGCTTCTCATCATTGCTGAGGGGCTAAATTGGGGGTGAATTTTCTCAAATTTATTAAAGTATATTTTCCGTATTGTTTGTATTTGTTACACTCAGTGAGGAAGTGCAGCTCTGTCTCTACAGTGTTACTGTTGCACTGCTGGCAGAGTCTCTGCTCTTTAGGCAGCCAGGATCTCTTATAGCGGCCGGTCTGCACGGCCAGGCTGTGGTCACTGAGTCTGTACTTTGTCAGCGTGGTTCTGTGTTTAGTGTCAGTCACTGTGTTCAGGTACTCCGCTACAGTGTACTGACGTTTTAGGGCCAGATAGCACTGCATTGTGCTCTGTGTGTGTCTGTGTTTCAGTGGGTGATGTAGTTTTGTTTTTGGAGTGTTATAATGTGGTTTGGTCTGATGGTCTCTCTCTCTCTCTCTCTCTCTCTCTCTCTCTCTCTCTCTCTCTCTCTCTCTCTGCGTCTGTTATTCTGTGTCTCTGTCTTGTTTCTCTCCTTTGCCACTGTGACCTGAAATAGGCTACATTTCATTGATTTAATCAATACTATGCATAGAATTAGGTGGAAGGACTTCATTTATTTACTATGAATATTTGAATGTTTTCTTTCTGAAATTCTTCGCTTTGAATTCACTGCTTTTTTGACTTTAAAAAGGCAAACGTCCTTCTAATAGCAGGGTGCAACCTGAAGGAGGCGCTGCCTCTACTGAACTACCAGAAATTGACAAACGTAACGTTCAGCCAGTCACATCAGACCTCATACGCTGTAAGCCAATCATATCAGACCTGGGGGCGGGGCTCTGTCCACGCACTGCAAAGTGACCGTTAGTCGAGCTGTAGAGAGGATTTTGGGCTAAAAGCGCTAAAATAAACTTTAGACTTTATTCAAAATCTGTAATATACGGAGTGAAACAGCGTAAAACAGTGAATATCTCCACCTACAGTGCGGATCTGTGGCACATTATGGTCAGCATGTCTGCGTTTTACACGGCTGTTAACTCTGTCTAGCTAACTTTAGTTAGCTTTGGGTTTAAGTGAGGTAAATAAACGAGGCTAGGCTAACGCTAACGTTAGCAAACTAGCTGACAAGCTAGTTTAACCTCACTTCATAGTGAGTGCGAGAGTGTAAACAAACAAGAGGGACAGAAATAACGTCACTGACAGCTCTTTACCGTCTTTGTTTTCAGATTTCTCTTTTGTCAAATGTTGCTGTTTAAACTAAGTTAATGTCAGTAAAAGGGAACGAGACTGAATTAGCTTCCTGTTCTCCAGACTCTTGTTCGAATTTTCCCGCCGTGAGGCGCCAGAATGAAACTGCTGCAGCATTTGAGGTGGAAAATTCAACCAAGAAGCTTCAGCTTTGTGTGAAAAGGTGATCACACAGTTTTATATCCCTCGATTCCACAGATAGACGGAAGAGTGGATGGAAGTCGAGAGGCGGCAGCTCCATCAGAGGTCAGTCAGAAGAGAAGATTTTTACCAGTAAAAAAAAAAAAGGATTACATTAATTGATCATTATTTCCTCGAGTTCTTGAAAATCTAGTTTAATAAATGAATATATTACTACACACAGGAAGAGGGAGAGAGAGAGAAGCCGAAGGAGACTGACAGAGCTGAGGGAGCAGATCTAATGGAGGTCAGTGATTAAGAAGAACGTGAGGGAGAGGTAAATAAGCTTTTAGTTACAATTAACACTGAATTTAATAGAACTTAAATGAGAAAATATAATATTTGTCACCATGACCATGAAATTTCACCTCTGAGCTTATTAAACCTGCCTACAGAGCAAAATCACACTCTTTCTGAGTCTAAACGGATCTATAATCTGTGTATTTGAATATCATATTCAGGATCTTGCAGTTTATCTAAGAGAGAGGAGACAGCATTGCTTGACTTAAGTACCTTTGCTTGATCTGCAGCTTTACACTGTTCAGACTGCCTGTCTCTGTAGGCCAAACAATAATAACTCAACTCCTGCACATCTGTAAGAAGAGAAGATGCCGCTGGAAAACAGTAACATAGTCCAAGAAGGCTGTTTTTCAGGAAGAATAGGCAGATCACATTCTTCTTCCCCATTATAATAAAATCTACCAGCTTATTTTATTCTTTTGAAACGTTGTAGTTTTAACCTAAGAACCCAATTTCACCCCTGGCCAGTAGGGGGTGCAGTGCACCTACTACTCCCCCTCAAACTCTGCCTACACTGCAAACTTCAATTTGTTGACTTTACACACTTAAAAACTATGTTTCTTCAAGGGTTCTTTAGTAAAGAAAGTGATTTTATATAGAACCATGGACACTCAAAGAACCCCTTGCATGATTAAAGGGTTCTTTGCACTGGGAAAGGGTTCTTCAGAGTAATGGAGAATGTGCTGTAGATGGTTCTATATAGAACCTTTTGGAAAAGGGTTGTATGTTGCACCAAACAGGGTTCGGCTATTGTTACAAGCCAAAGAACCCTTTTTTGGTACTATGCAAGAGTGTAACAAGCCTTACATTGTGATTAATAGAAGACCCCATTTGGTGCTAGGATAACTTTAGTCAGCCTAGTAAGGTTAACTTCACGTATAATTACTGCAAATAATGTTGCTTTAGTCAGTAAAACTGTTGACAGTTTCTCGTTGCAGATTAAAGGTATCGGAAAAACCAGCTGGAGTGATTATAAATGAATCCATTCGTCTCCAACTTCTCTTCATCTTGAATCTTCCTGTTCTTTGCTGTTTTGTTAACTACTAACTTGGCAAGATTGATAGTGACCAGCAGTCTGTGTGTTGAATGGGAGTGCTGGGAGTGATTTGTTGTGAAGCATAGTATATAAAGATGTATTCCATTAATATTCAAATCAGTTCATGGTTTTTGTCACTGTAGGTGACCTCAGCATATTAGCATGGCATGAAGTGACTGATAGGGTTAGCTAGCTAACTTGCATGATGGTTAGCATGAGAGTCGCACCTGAATAGGAATGTTGCACATAAACATTTGCTTTAATTAGTAGTTCAGTTGCAACCGAATAGAAATTCTAAAGCAGCTGAAATATATAAAGTTATGTTTATTTCTTTCACATGAGACTTTAAAGTTTACATGTGTCTGTAATGAGCCTCAGCAAATACTGTTTAATACAGTTCGGACTACAGTAAATGTTTGTGAATTTAACATATATTGTCATTTAATACATTTACACAGTCTAAGTAATTGTTCTCTGAATACAGAAGGTACCATTAACTCTCTAGAAGTACATAAATGTTATATAAGAGAATTGCATAAATCCTACAAGCACTTCTAATTTAAACGTTATTTAATTCATTCAGGTTTACTGAATCTGATGGAGAAACATAAATTATTATACAATTTTTGGCATTGGATTTATATATTTAAATTGAATGGAAAATTGACGTGTAATTAAAATACATAAGTTTTAACTTTTGGGCTTAAATATTTTTTTGAGTGTAGGCAAAGGTAGGCAGCCTAATAAATAGATATACTGTATGTCTGATGTTACATGACCTGTTCCAAAATAAAAGCGCTATTTGGTGTAGTCTTCCACTGTGAAAAACTGTTGTTACAAGCTTGACATCGTAACAATAACAGAACCCTTTTTGGCGCTAAGTAGAACCTTTTCACATTCTTTAGCATGTTCTCCATCAGTCTGAAGAACCCTTTCATGGTGCAAAGAACCATTTAATCATGCAAAGTGTTCTCTGAGTGTTCATAGTTTTATATAGAACCACTGTCTGTATGAAAGAACCCTTGAAGAACCAGTTTCTTTAAGAGTGTAACACAGACAGAAATTTCAGGCACTCACACATTTTCTCCCTTGCAATCTCTCTCTTTGTCTCACTCTCTCTCTCTCTCTCTCTTTGTCTCTCTCTGTCTCTCTCTCAGTGTTTTTGAGTAGTTTGAGTGGGTGAACATGCCCGTGTGTAACATTATTTGGTTTGGGGTTAGTTAAAAAATATTTGGGCCCTGGAAGTCCATGTCAGGTAACGCCCATGGCTGAAATTACTCTTATGAATAGATTGGCTGTATTATTGGCCGTATTATGGTTTGTGGAAAACAAAACAAAAACGTGGCCAATGGTCAATACCTATCGTAAAAAAAAACAAATGCCCCACTTTGTTTCTCATGCTGCATCACCTTTGCGCAGTAGCAGCCACACCCGCACACATGCAGATTTTGCCGCTTCTCTCAAGCGGTATGCCACTAGAATTGTGTACAGTATATAGTCCAGTGACGTGTTTTAATTACTAAACCTGAAATTGGGCTCAAGCAGAATGTTCTTGGTGCTGTTGGTCAGGTCGGGTCAGGTTCCTGCAGAATGTTCTTGGGCTGAAATCAGGTGTAGACCAAAATTTTAAGCTCGTTTAAAGCAGCATTATGTTAGTATGGAAAAAAAAAAACACAGTAAAACATGGCGAGCTGCCGCAAGGCTGCAAGTCGCCCAGTAAAAGTCAGAGGTAACGGGAGGGATTTGGCAGGAGTTTTTCAGATCACGTCACATGACTTCACACGCACAGGCTCAAAAAGAAGGTCCAACTCTATACTTAGATCTCAAATGCAGAATCAGCATTATACTGATGAAGATGTGATGACAACAGTAGATAATTCACTCACATCCCCAGAAGACACGTCCTTCACCAGGTTTAGACAGGGTTCACTTTGAATTCTCTCTCAACGCACTCGCAAAAGTGAAATTAATCCATTTGTGGGGGTTCGAAGCACAACCAACGTTACAAAATGTTCTTCCGCACATTGTGTGCAATTACATATTTCTACCAGAGATCTCTCCAAATCCCCAAATCCTGCATAGAGTTGCTTTAAGGCTCTTATACTGAGTTTTTCAAAATGTTTTTAATCCAAATGATCCATGTTTTCTTTGTTGGTTTACAATAATTTGCCATACTTAAGATACATCTGGTTTATTTAGAGGCAAACAATATCATGTAATGACATGTAAATATCTGCGACAGCATTAGAGACAGTGGTATTTTGGGAATAAAGCTGAAGGTCATCCATTTTAAATCAGCTCTGTACAAAGAAAAGCATCACAGAAACCTTTACATCTTGCACACATACATACATGCACATATAAGCACTTACATCTAGTAAAGCCCTAGTTGAGCAGGATTAGTTTTAGTTGGAAGGTGCTATAGTTTAAGTGATTATGAGATTTTAATCCAGTATGAATCTGCGGTGTTAGCTAATAATTCCGGGGCATCAAACCTGGATATCTTGTGGTAATAGTCCTGTTCGGATTACCCTCACAGTATCGGAATAACAAATTCTGCTAATAGATAACGGCACCTGTGTTTTGTTGGCGACTGGAAGGCTAACTGCTAACATGGCTCAGTTCCCATATTTTCCTGTTCAAAACAGGACTGTATTCCACAACATTTTTGCTTATTGCGTATTGGAAGGAGAAGGAAAATGAAACATCTATAAAGTATCTCTCACAGGGCAGTGAGATTTCTGTCCTGTTGGGGGGCTATTTGTTAAGTCAAATGACCCCACTTTACTAGCCTAATGCTATTCTCTCTGGTACTCTGGAGCTAGTTTTTGTTGTTTGTTTGGACCTGTTTTTTTATCCCATATGAATCAGGCAGTCAAATCCAGAGAAATTATATTACAGGATCTCCTCTGATGAAGCTGGGCCTACACAACAGCCCAATTTTAACCCCATCTTACTGAATACAGGATAATAAGAGCCTTCTTTATAATATCGTCTGCAAAAGTTTGAACACCCCCTGGTCAAATGATGTTTTGTTGATTTTTTTTATGTATAAAATAACATCCTTTACAGACAAATCTTAGTGCACAACTTCTATTAATTTGTTTACTGTACTGGAATTTTTTTTTTAATAAAATAACAAATATGCCATAACCTTTGCACAGGCCACATTTCCCCAAAATGATAAATCCAGAAAATATATAAAAATGTGTACTAAAATTTGCAGAAAAATGCCATATATGAGTTTGTTCCCTGCAGAGAAAATGCACAGAACATGTCATCTAATTGGGGAGGACAAACCTTTGCATACAACTGTATTACATGTGGATTCAGATGTAAAGGAACTCTCTTTACAGTTTCAGGTCAGCTACCAGTTTGGAGTAAAATGTTTTTCAGCGGTCACTGTAACTGTAATATCTGCATTTCTCAACTGTTTATTCATCCATCATTTTCGTTACAGTTCTTGTGTGAGCAAAAAGGTACAAGGTTTGGTCCAGTTTGGCTTTGTTTGTGTCATAATGATGGGGCAAGATCAGGAGTTTTGAGTGCCTTTTCGTGGCTCAAATTCATGTGTGTACTCAGCTTAAAACAAGTCCAGCTTGAATAGGCCTAGTGCACTTTTTTTATTGAGATATTTCTGTTTCTTCTATCGGGCAGAGAGACACTGAAGAGACATAAGCACCCATTTCATAATAAACCCCAAAGCCTGCATAGAGAGGCTCGGTAAATGGTAGAACACAGCGGAAAGAATGTATGTCCGTCAGTTCGTTTTGTCCATTGATGCTGTAGAAGGCCAGATAGCCAGCCGGCCAGTCCAGATACACTCCCACTCTCTTGGAGGTGGCGATGCGTGTTTCAGTGCTTTGCTTGTTGTGAGTGAAGGAATAGCCATATTGAGTGCAGATCAGGCTCCAGGACTTCAAGCTGCTTCCAAAGCCATAGGAATCATCCTTGTTTTTCTCTTTTCTTTCGATTTCTTTATACGCCACTGCTATTTCACCCCACTCCTCCCACTCTGCCTCCCAGTAGCAGCGTCCAGTAAGGCTCTCCCTGCACAGCACCTGGGCATGACGCTGGCTCTCAAACCGCTCTGGATGCTCCGGATACATCTGGTCTTCCATCACACGTTCTACTCTTCTGCAGTCCTCAGACAGGGAGATGTTCTTGTGTGCCGTGTTGGGGTCCAGAGTGAGCTCACAGGCGTCTGTACACAAGAAAAAGTGATAAGGGTCTCCCAGTCAAAAGTTTGGCAACACGTAACAGAACCGGATAAGATCCGAACTCTGATTCAGGGGTTCTGATTGGTGTTCAGATCCCTGTTTGGGCAATAAAGCCAGTGTTTGGAAAGACTCTTGAAAACTACTAAATACACTAAATTTTTCTCTAGAATCTCTTGATAAGAGTGAATGTGAATTCAGTTAAGTTTAATTCATGTTCATGTTGCCCTTCTTTCCCCTCTCCCCCAAAATATTGGTGAATAGGCCAGTTTTCAGGCCAGATTTCGGACAGAATTTTGTATCAGGTTACAGTTGAGTTCATGCAGAATGTTCTTGATGCTGTTGGCCAAGTCTGTTCAGGTTATGGAAGAATGTTCTTCGTCTATGTTCAGGTGTAGACCAAATTTTCAAGTTTGTTCAAAGCTCTAATGCCAAGTTTTTCAAAACATTTTTAATCAAAACAATCATGTTTTCTTTGTTGGTTCACAATAGTTTACCATGTCAAAGATGAATTTGTTTTATTTAGAGGAAAATATTCACATCTGTAGTGACTTTGAAACACCTTCTGAATAAAGTCAAAGGCCACGCTAATTTTATCCTTGTTGTAATGTCGGCACTCAGCAGCACTCAAACCTTTCAGGTGTTTAAACCACCTTCAAATCAAAAGAGTTTCAATATGTGCTTTTAACAATAATTTGGGGAAGAAAAATAATAATGAAAAATGAATAAAAGTATTACTTAGGCAAAATTTTCTTTTCATAACAAAGGAAGATATTTGATGAATATAAAGCTGAAGCTTAATATACACAAAATATCAGATGAGATTTTGGATTGCTTAATTGAAAAGTAACAGTGAGAAATTCAAAATTCAAAAAGAAGCTGAGGTGACCTCAAACTTTTGACAGGTTCTGTATGTATGGATGTTTAAGTGCGTACAATGTGGGTGCTGGTATACATACATTTTCTTGGACCTGGTGAAATTCTTATCTTTCCTCCATGGTCCACACTAAAAGGAAAAATACAAGATCAATTCAGCTGGTTACAAACTGTACAGTTTATAATCAATATGTAGCACATAGTCAAATGTACTAACCGACAAATCAGTCCAACTTTGCTTTTTTCACAGTAGCCATAAAAAGCATTTTTCACCTGATCTGGAGATCCCTCAGTTGAACTATATGCAAGATTTTTTTGCTTCAAAGACATTGCTTGAATATGTTTTGATGGAATTGTGAATGATTTACAAAGCCAGAAACAAACTGTTTTTAAAGAAGTGTCTCTATTGTGTTTAAATGCTGTTTATTTATTGTGTCAGTTGTCCAGGATCGTTTGATATGAAGAAAGCTGCAGGTGTCTGTTTTAACTCAGCATGGCCATCTTTGTGGAGAGTTGTGAATAGTTTTTCACAGCAGGTGGTTTTCACTCCTCTCCAAAGAGAGACAACAGTGTCCTAGTTCATCTGACAATAGAGTAACAGGGAGAAGATACTTTATTTTACAACCCCAATTCCAAAAATGTTGGGATGCTGTGTAAAATGTAAATAAATGTAAATAAAAACTGAATGCAATGATTTGCAAATCTCATAGACCCATATTTTATTTAGAATAGAACATAGAAAACATTCCAGATGTTGAAAGTGAGACATTTTATCATTTCATAAAAAACATTAACTCATTTAGAACTTGATGGCAGCAACGCATCTCAAAAAATTTGGGACAGGGCCGTGTCTACCATTATGTATCATCCCCTCTTCTTTTAACAACAGTCTGTAAAAAAGTAGAAGTAAAGTAAATAAAGTGAGGAGACCAATTGCTGGAGTTTTGACAGAGGAATGTTGTCCCATTCCTGTCTGATGTGGAATTCTAGCTGCTCAACAGTCCTGGATCTTTTTTGCCAGATTTTTCGTTTCATGATGTGCCAAATGTTTCCTATTGGTGAAAGGTCTGGACTTGGTTCAGCTCCTGGACTTGACCACAGAACATTTTCCATTCTGCCTTTAAATGAGCTTTGGCCCAGAGAAGACGGTGGTGTTTCTGGATCGTATTGACATATGATTTCTGGAAGTGTGCCTGAGCCCATGCAGTGATTTCCAGTACAGAATCATGCCTGTTTTTAATGCGGTGCCACCTGAGGGCCTGAAGATCACAAGCATCCAGTATTGACCAGTGGCCTTGTCACTTGCATACAGGGATTTCTCCAGGTTCTCTAAATCTTTTGATGATCCAATGTAGATGGTGGGATTTCCAAAGTCTTTGCAATTTTACATCGAGAAAAAATTTTCTGAAATTGTTCCACAATTTTTAGACGCAGTTTTTTGCAGATTGGTGAACCTCAGCCCATCTTTGGTTCTCAGAGACTCTTCCTCTCTAAAATGCTCTTTCAACATCTGATATGTGTTCTGTGTTCTATTAAGAATAAAATATGGGTCTGTTGCAAATCATTGCATTCTGTTTTTATTTACATTTATTTACATTTTACACAGCATCCCAACTTTTTTGGGATTACGGTCATATTATTTAAAATAAATAAACAGTGGTCACTATGAGGACTGCAGAAATAGACTAGCACTATTATAAGGATTTTTTGTGTGTAATGAACGGTGTTTAACTATATTTTAGATTTTTTTTGGCCAAAAGACGTCACAAAGAATTTGTATTTGCAGTAGAAAACATGTTATTGAACAGAGTATAGTTCAAAAGTTTGGAATCAATGTTTTTATTATTAAGAACTTATTATTATTAAGAACTTATTATTAAGAAATAAAATGAATGTCCAGAAAGCCTCAGATTTAAAAAGTGATGACAAAACTTCACTGATCAGGAAACTATTCATAGTAGTTTCATGACACAAAATGAATATAATTAGATAGTAGTTTATAATTTCATGATATTTGCTCTTTTATCGTAACTTCTTCACAAAATACTACAAATTGTGCATCAGCCATTGGTTTACATTTTCCTATTTAGTTTACAACATTTCAGTCTACAGTAACAATTATTAATGGAGTGATTCCAGAGAGAGAGAGACTGGAAAAATAAAAAAAATGTTCCAGCTTCTTCACAACCCTTTTTTTTCTTACCTGATCTTTTCCAGTTTGCAGTGTGGGTCATCACGTAGATCAAAGAGCATCTTCTCTCCTGACTCTCCTGGGTAATTATAGCTCAGATCCAGCTCTCTCAGGTGGGAGGGATTTGATTTCAAAGCTGAGGCCAGAGCAGAACAGCCTTTCACTGTGACTACACACAGAGATAATCTATAGAAATAAAGCAAAAAGAGAAATAGTTATGCGCAACATAAAGAACTATCATACAGTGTACTTGTCATCATCAGAGCCTCAGAAAGTCCATTAGCCTTTTTTTCTGCAGTTTTGCTTTCTTCCCATTATACAGCCAGAAAGAAATAGTTACCGCAGTATTTCCAGTTTACAGTGGGGTTTCTCCAAAGCAGTAGAGAGCAGCTTCACTCCTCTATCCTTAAGTTCATTATAACTCAGGTCCAGCTCCTTCAATGCTGAAGAATCTGAGCTGAGAGCTGATGCTAAATTTTCACAGCACTTCCTAGTAAGATTACAGCAACGCAGCCTATGAGACAAGGTGTTGAAAAGTAGAGAGATGCATTAACACATTAGCATTATAAGAATATACACCAACTACAATTAATAATAGTATAAAATGAATTGTGGGTATGTTTAAAACTTTGAAACTTGTATAACAGTTACAGTCACCAGCAGTACACTATTTGTTATAGGTGGATGCCAACCTAAGTATCTCCAATTTACAGCAAGAATCCTTCAATCCGTCCGAAAGTATATTCATTGCTGAATCCTGCAGGTCATTGTTACTCAGATCCAGCTCTCTTAGTGGTATTGAAGAGCTAAGAACAGTGGGCAGCACTCTGCAGCTTTCTATACTGAGATGACAGTGATCCAACCTTGTAACAGACACAAAATATTAATGTACATCTGTTTCTCATTTCATATTATAAATGTAATAGAGGTAGTGTTTGAGCACTGTGTTTTTGTTTTGTTTTGCCTCAGTATATTACAGTAGGTAGAAAGGTTGTCAACTTTGGTGAAGTGAATGGAGTGAGTTGTTCAGGTGGCTGGAGTGAGATATGTTATACTGCTTATAACACTGATTTGAACCACAGCTTATAGTCAGTAGGATGTAGACCTGTTGTTTGCACTGTTAGCAGTCATTAGCATGTAATGTTCAGGAACCCCAAGCAAGCCCACATTTTGATCTAATCCAGCTCCAAGCACACTTGAACCAAGCCATTAAGTACACCGAAAACCTGGTACAGGTGAGTTTGGGTTAAGCTGGGTGTACGCTACACGACTTTTAAAGTCTTTCTAAAACAAAAAGCATTGTAAACTTTAGGTCAGTCTGTCACAGAATTTCTTGTGTTGTGTTTTTGTTATCTTTTGTCACTAGATGATTAGGCAAAGCGAGAGTATAACACACATTATTAGTTTCAGCTATGAATAAGTACTCAAAATCTCAGATTTCCTCAGAGATCACATCATGCAAACAAAGCTGAACTTAATGGACCGGACCTGTTTAATATGGGATTGAGAAATGCTGATATCACATTGAGAACTGAAGAAATATTTCACTACAAACTGGCAACTGACTTTTTATCGTAAAGAGAGTGATGACTTCTGGATCCATGCATTATAAACATGATATTGGCTCTTATCTGTCTGTGTTTTACATGCAGCTCATTACAAACTTACAAACATGTTTGATAATATTAGAGGGTCTCCAGTGCTCAATCGGAGAGCTAAAGAATCACTTATCTCTCCTCTCACACTACCAGACCATCCACACCATCAGTCGCTTCCAATTGAGCTCCTGACCTGAAAAATCACTTCAGATTGTTGAAATTTTGGGGCAAACTGGGGTTAAAATTGAGTAAAAAATCATGTAGTGTAGGCCCAGCCTTAGAGTGTATTTTTAAATCAGCATAATTCTCTGTGTCTTGTGGTTTGGAAGTAAGAAAGAATCCTTGGCACTCCAAATTTCTAAAGGCAATCTTGTACCACTTCACTCTCTTGTGTGTAAGATAGTGACATAAAAGGGGGGTGATGATATAAGCCACTCAAATGTCAAAACAGTTGCTTGTTCTGATTCCACAGTTTGGTTGCCCATTCACTTCATTTTGTTTCACAGCATTACAGCTTGAGAAAAGACCCAAAAGTAGTCTCATGCCAAAACCATCACAGTTACCAATTATGAAAATTTGACCAAATGTTTAAGGAATAATTTTGCAAAAAATCAAACTTACAAACTTACATTACAAACTTGCTGTAAATATAGTTATCAAAAGTGTTGTCAACATTCAGTCTTCAGGTTGGTTGCTGCTAATGTTTAGTCATGTAACATACTTTTTAACATATTCCATGTTTATAGATAATAATGTGTCATACAGTGTCAGAAACCACATAATCAAATCTATTAGAAATTACCAAACCACTCTACAGTTTAAGGCAAGTGTGCGATGATTTAAGCATGCAGTTAGCATCATGCACAATTTGTTATTCTAAGTTCATTTCAAGTTCAATAAATGCAGCTGAAAAGCAGAACTTACAAAGCTTGTCTAGTATGTTTCACCACAGCCAACAGCCTCATCAGTGCTTCATCTGATATTGCATATTTCTTCAGCTCAAACGTCTCTTGAGTTTCCTCTGACATCAATAGCACAAAGACAAGAGCTGACCACTGCGCAGATGAAAGAGACTGTCTGGAAAGATCTCCAGAGCTCAAGTAGTTCTGGACTGTCGCCATTAGGGAGTCGTCTTTGAGTTCACTCAGGCAGTGGAAGAGATTGATGCACCTTTCTGAAGATTTTGACTCCCTGATTTTCCTTTTGATGTAGTCAGTTGTCTCTTTTAGATTTTCTTCTCTGATTTTCAACTGGGGTTTTAGACTCTTCAGGAGTCTCTGATTGGACTGCAATGAAAGGCCCAGAAGGAAACGGAGGAAAAGGTCCAGGTGTCCATTCTCACTCTGCACAGCCTCATTCACTGCTGTCTTGTGGAGATCCACAAGATTGTGTTTTAGCATCCATTTTATTTTTTCCAGAAAATTTGGAAGGAATGGGTTCCAATTGCTACTAAATGTGAGGAACACGTACAAGGCAGCAAGAAACTCCTGAAAACTCAAATGTACAAAACTGAAGACCATCTCATCCTTTCTGAAGATCTGCGTACAAACACCTGAGTACACCAAAGCTTGATCAACATCAATGTTGCAGTCTTTTAGGTCACTCTCATAGAATATGAGTTGTCCCTTTTCCAGTTGAAGAAATGCTAATTTTGCAAGCTTTAGAATGTCCAGAGGTACTACTCTGTTTCTCTGGTATGTTGAAAACTCTTGTTTGTTTGTCATCCTTTGGTATTTCTCAGTCATCTGTGTTGTCTGGAAGAGTAGAAAACGCGTATACATTTCTGTCAGAGTTGTAGGGGCATGCTCCATGTCTTTACTATCTGTCAGCATTTGCAGAAGCACAGAAGTCGCAATCCAGCAGAAGACTGGTATATGGCACAGAATGTGGAGACTCCTTGATGACTTGATATGTGAGATGATTCTGCTGGCTTTATCCTGATCTTTGATCCTTTTCCTGATGTACTCCTCTTTCTGCTGGTCTGTGAAGCCACGTATTTCTGTGATAGGGTCAAAGTACCTACGAGGTATCTGGTTGACCGCTGCAGGTCGAGAGGTTATCCAGATGAGAGCTGAGGGAAGCAACTCTCCTTTGATGAGGTTCGTTATCAACTTATCAATGGGAGTCTTGTCTGTTACATTAGATAATTTTTTTTGATCAAAATCTAATGGAATTCTGCTTTCATCCAGACCATCTAGTATAATAGCAACTCTACATTTACCACTAAACATCTCATTCTCTTTCAGGTCACAAAGTTCACGATGGAAGTACAGAATAAGCTCCCGCAGAGTGTAATGTTCATCTTTGATCAGGTTCAGCTCTCGAAAGGGAAGGAAAAAAATTAAATCTATATCCTGGTTGGATTTTTCTTCAGCCCAGTCAAGGATGAACTTGTGCACGGAGACTGTCTTCCCAACTCCAGCAATTCCAACTGTCAGAACTTTTGTGCCATTTTTAATTTCCCCAGACTGGACTTTAAAAATGTCACTGAACTGGATCGGAGTTTCATCTGTTCTGGGATTAAAGGTCTCGACTTGTCTCACTTCATGCTGATTGTACACCCCTCCAGTACGGCCTTCAATCACATAAAGTTCTGTGAAGATGTCGTTCAAGAACACGTGATCACCTTCCTCTGCTGTCCCTTCATACAGCTTTTCAAACTTGGCTATGAAACTGTTTTTCAGCCTCTTTTTCATGGAATGATTCTCTTCATCTGTCGTGAGATGTGAGAAAAATAAAATGTAAAGGTCAGCTCAAGAAAGTCATCAGATAACCAGAATTGCAGCATATATAGATATAGAGAAGGTTCAACGGGCATTGTACAGCCTTTAATCACATAAAGTTCTGTGAAGATGCTGTTTAACAAAACAAGATCACCATCTGTTGATGTCCCAATATAGAGTTTTCCAAATTTTTTCATGAAACAAGTTTAAAGCTCTTCTTTATTGATATAGTGATTCTTATCTGTCGGTACATATAGAAATAAAATGTAAACGTTCAGTCATTACAATATAATTTTAATTGATTAGGGAAAACATAAAAGTAGTTGAATGGTTTTAAAACTAATTCTGTTTAAACAATCCTCTCATTCTCTTGGTGATCATTTTCAAAAAGTTCTTGACTCCTTGATAATATTCTTTGGAACATTTACATATTTGTTTGGTAGATGCATGAAGTACCTCCAGTGAGAACTTGGTCACTTGCAGAATCCTCTATTTGATCTATGTTGGTGTTGGAAGTGGGTGAAGTCTGGGCTGGAGGAGAGGGAGTATATTCAGAACTTTATTAAACATTACACACAGTGAGGCATAAAAATGGGCCAAGCCTCTAACCCTGCCACAGAGTACCAACTTTTTCTACAGAAAGGTTTGCTTCCCATTATTAAAGAATTATTTCCAAAGGATGACCAATCAGAAGTAATGTTTCAGCAGGATAAAAATTCTGCATACACAGCACAAGTCTACCAAGAAATAGCTGGAGAAATGGTATATTAGTTTCAATCATCCAAATGTTTTCTGCTGCTGACCAATTGTGGGACGCCATTAAAACCGCATGGAACAAAACTGACATGTCAAGTGTAAAAAGCTGCCTGCAAGTTTACCCAAAACAGTATGTGTCCACTTGCACTTTTTTCTCACTGCCACACTAGATCTCTCCGTTTGCTACTGGTGGGCGTTTTGTTATGTGAAATGGACAATGAGCATAGAAACAAGGACATAATATTATGCCTGATCTGTATATTTGGGCCAGTAAACAATCTGACACACTGTTTGCTGTTGCACAGAAGCTTTCAATGAGACTAAAATATAGACTTATCTTTTTTTAGAATTTTCAGAATGCAGCAGTCATCCACACAAGCTAGAAAGGCAGCATGCTCAATCTCACAAACAAGCTAACTAGCTAGAATGTTATGTTTGCCATTCCTGACAACAATCAGTTTACACATTTCACTGCACTGCTAACCATCATGCACTGCGTGATGCAGCAGAGCTCTCCATTGAAATGAACAGGAAGCTGCGAGCTGAAGTTGCAAGTGGACACGTACTGCAAGACTTCATTACTCAAAAAAATAGAGGGAAAAAAGGAAAACATATGCTAACTTATACTAACTTATGTTGCACGTTACTTCAGTTTTTACTTGTTTGTTTACTTTTTTATTGCTAAATTTGAAATACTAAATTTCATGCATTTTTTTGGTGTTGCTAGGCCCATTCTGTCTGCCCCAGACAGTATGTTAACCTAGTACAAAAAAGATACTTCCATTGTTAATTCTGTTCCTCTTTATTACTAACACTACGTCTCAGTGCTGTTATTGTGTTTGGTGTGAAAATAATGTGATCTATAAAAGCCAAAGTTAGGTAGAGTTTTGTTGCTTGTCTTATAAACAACATGGTGCTTGGTTTCATAGAGTTAATTACAAGCCCATAAGAGGGAAAGAAATCAGTACCTTCATGGTACTGACCTAATTACTTCAATACTACAGAGATAAAAAGTGTAGGTTGTTCAATACTGAATTTCAGTAGCTAAGTAGTCAGTCTTAGCATTAATGAGCCAATATGCAAGCTGTTGCTAAATTATGACTAAAATTAAATGTAATATGACTAATATGTCAGTAATTATCAACCAACACTCTCAAAGACTTTAAATGAGTTACCTGTTTTTGAAGAATTAAAATTCATTGTAACTGGTCCATGAAACACACTTGCTTGGAACGTAGGAGCGTTGACGCTTCCTCCAGGCTGAGCTGTAACCGTGGAAACCATCTCAGCTGGAGTTATGTGGGCTAAGAGCAAGAGAGAGACTTTAAGACCATTACTGAAGCATTCCAGTACTAGAAGATACTTGTGTCAGTCCAATATATATGAGGAAAGAGAAATTAACTGAGGAGGAGAAGCATATAGAAAGATTAGCAACAACAAATTACGTATTGCATCACAACATATTACTCCTTTTCTAATGCTGGACATGGGTCCAACAGTGTTCATTAGAAGAATTACACAGAAAATAGCTGCAACTTATGCAGATCTTAACAGTAGTGGGACTAAAACAGCATTTAATAACAACATGTATTAGCACCACATCAGATTCACTCTTATCAACTACTGGTTTGCAGTAAACAGAAAGAGCAAAAAGTATTTATAACTTTCAAACACAAAAATACAACATGACATATATGCTAAATGCTGCTAAAGTACTTTAGTTCCTGCAGAAATACTCCCTAAATATATTAATGTCTCAGATACATGTTACCTTCGGTGTGATTGTTAGCAGCCAAAGGCTGAGCCGTGCCCCTGCTGGAGCTGGAAGATGCTTCAGCTGAAATAGAGGAACAAAGGGGCAATGATATTAAATGATATTATTATTAAATAATTTCTGCATTGATAATGATCAAGCAAAAGGGAAGACAGATATTTAATTATTGGTGCCCTTGGTAAAAATGAGTAAAAGGTTGAAAAATGTCTTTGTGGATAAGTTACTCAGTCTCAGAAAATTGAGTTGAAAAATTGAGACAAAAATCTAACCTTTAAGTGAAGTAAGCAAAATCTAAGAAAACCATGTATCACAATTATTGCATTCATTCAATTCATATTGAATTCTTGCATTTAGTATGTTGTTAGTTTGCCCAATAATAGCAGTGAATCTTTGTCCACAATGCTTAATGGGGGCAGTCATGGGCTGGAGGTCAAGGATCCAGCCTTGTGACCGGAAGGTCACTGGTTCGATCTCCTGAGCCAACAGTACGTGACGAGAATATTTCCAGATTCTTCAAGGTCCTCTCTTGTGGACTCTTCAGCTCACCCCACACGTTTTTAATGGGGTGAAGGCCAGGGAACTGGGATTTGGACATATGTTTGGTAGTGTTACTTTAATTAAAGGTCAGATCTTGCTTGTATGTTCTGTGTTGCAGTGGTGCTTGAAAGTTTGTGAACCCTTTAGAATTTTCTATATTTCTGCATAAATTTGACCTAAAACTTCATCAGATTTTCACACAAGTCCTAAAAGTAGATAATAAGAACCAAATTAAACAAATAAGACATAAATACTAGACTTAGTAATTTATTTATTGAGGAAAATGCTTCTGTGTTACATATCTGTGAGTGGCAAAAGTATGTGAACCTTTAGGATTAGCAGACAATTTGAAGGTGAAATTAAAGTCAGGTATTTTCAATCAATGGGATGGCAATCAGGTGTGAGTGCCAACCCTGTTTTATTTAAAGAACAGGGATCTGTCATAGTCTGATCTTCACAACACATGTTTGAGGAAGTGTATTATGACATGAACAAAGGAGATTTCTGAGGACCTCAGAAGAAGAATTGTTGATGCTGATCAGGCTGGAAAAGGTTACCAAGACCATTATTACGCTCCCTAGGAGTGGTCGACCAGCAAAGATCACACCAAGAGCGAGGCGTGGAATAGTCCGCGAGGTCACAAAAGAACCCAAGGTAACTTCTAAGCTACAGGCCTGTCTCACAGTGGCTAATGTTAATGTTCATGATTCCTCCATCAGAAGAACAATGAACAACAATGGTGTGCATGGCAGGGTTGCAAGGAGATGCTGCTGCTCTCCAAAAAGAACCTTGCTGCCCATCTGCAGTTTGCTAAAAGTCACATGGACAAGCCAGAAGGCTACTGGAACAATGTTTTGTGGGTGGAAGAGACGAGCATAAATCTTTTTGGTTTAAATGAGAAGCATTATGTATGGAGAAAGGTAAACACTGCAAATTCTAAAGGAAAACATCAGGACATCTGTCTGTGAGCTGAAACTCGAGAACGTGGGTCATACAACGACCCTAAGAACAAAAGTTGTTCTACCAAAGACTGATTAAAGAGAATAAAGTTAAAATTTTGGAATGGCCAAGTCAAAGTCCTGACCTTGGTCCTATAGAAATGCTGTGGAAGAACCTGAAGCAGCAGTTCATGGGAGGAAACCCAACAACAGAACAAAGCTGTTTTGAATGGAGGAATGGGGTAAAATTCCACCAAGCTGATGTGCAGGAATAATCAACAGTTACCAGAAACCTTTAGTTGCAGTTACTGATGCACAAGCGGGTCACACCAGATACTGGAAGCAAAGGTTCACATACTTTGCTACTCCCAGATATGTAATATTGAATCATTTTCCTCAATAAATAAAGACCAAGTCTAATATTTTTTCTCATTTGTTTAATTTGGTTCTCTTTATCTACTATTAGGACTAGTATGAAAATCTGATGAAGTTTTAGGTCAAATTTATGCAGAAATATAGAAAATAAGAAAGCGTTTACAAACGTTCAAGCACCACTGCAGATTGAGCTAATTGACAGAAGATATTTTTAATAACATTTTTTACCCATCTTAAACACAGATGCTGGTAACTACGGAGCAGATTATAGATCCTTTTTATTGCTGTTAATTTATGCGTGGAAATCCAAATTTCCCTTTTTAGGATTTCCTTTTCTATCAGATCATCCAAAACCCCTGCAGCAGCTCTGGATCAGCTGCCATCTTTTTCATCTGAAATCAAGATGAACAGAATTACATGGTTAAAAAAATTAAGAAGTAAAATTACATCCACTAGCAACAATTTCACCAGTAATTCACTGTATTATAAAAGTACAGTACTTTACTCCATTTTGAAATAAAGTTGATTCCTGTGTTTGCACCTGGTTTTTTCCCACACACCTGTATCTCTAATCTGGCTGAACATGTAAAATATAGGTCAAACACCACAGATATATCCATGGGTCATTTGCAAAACAAGTCGGCTCTATTAAGTAAACTTTGGGAGACAAATCATCTTGAAGAGACATTTTCTGTTTGTGTTTGTAGATTAAGACAGAATAATTGGATAGATCAAGATCATTGGGTAGTAATGTTTGGAATATTCTGGCTCTGCCTCTCCATGGTCCCTCATTATCCACAACACCTATTTGTCGTATGTTTGTCTCTGTTGTAAATGACAGATAATATCACAAATTTGGCTAATTAAGAAGAGATATTTGGGAGCTGAAAAAGCCAACTCTAATTTGTGAGCTCAGTCAATCGATCTGATTTACTAAAACGATGCCCATCACTACCAGCTAGCTTGTGGTAGAAAATGCTTCAATGCTAACGTTACATAGATAAGAGAACAATCACTCTTTTTTTTGCAATGGTTTAGCACTGTTTATCAATCACCAGTATCAATAAATCAGTTGTTAAGACTACAAAGATGGCAGTAACCAAATATTTATTAATTATTACAGGATGAACTAGTTCACTGAAGTAAGAAAAGCAATTTATTTGTCTTACAAAAGCAAGATATAAAATTCATTCAAACCTAATTATCTTTGGGGTAGCAGTAACATGTTAAAACAAACAAGCAAACAAAGGGTTCTGTGAAAATAGCTGTAGATAAAAGTAGAAGATAATTTAAAATTAAAGGGGATGCTGCAATATTCAGAGAAAGGCTGCTCATGACTGAACACAGTATCATTCACTGTCCAAACCACTCTGTAAATAAGAGCTAATAAATGTAAAATAAGACATTTTAATGTATTTGACAAGAAAGCTTACCTATATGTTTCAGAATGGAAAGGATGTTTTAAAGCAACTTGCTATATTTAAGGAGTACAGTAGATCACTGCACTACATAAGTTTGTTACATTGAAGCTAAAGCCTATCAGATGTCAGATTTCTCTTTTAATAGAGCTGCTCAAATAAAATGCTGATTTGAGTGGTGCTAGTTTAAAAACCTGGGACACATTCAGTCTTAAAACATGCACCATTTTGCTACAGTGTCCAGGTTGAATGTCACGTTTCGTTGAGATGGTTCAAAATGGTGGGCAGTGGGCTTTGAGGTGCGTTTTCTGATGTGTTCAATAAGCAGCAATGTGTATATAAATCCCGCTGTATTAATAAGGCAGCTACTGATGATGTCAGAAGATGTATTTTAAAGTATTTCGCATATTTAAACCTGTTTTATCTAATATATCTTTGAAAAGAACACCAAAAACAGTCTTCTCAGCTCCCATAGTTGCGAAACTTGTGTGACACAACAGAGTGTTCAACACATCACTATTTCCATTATAATGTTTTGCTATGTTTTGTTGGGGCTGAAGGCAGACCTGGGGTTTCTAACACATGAAAGGTGTTATAAGAGTTGGGGAAAAACACTGCAACTGCACCAATGTTTTCACTTACAAACTCCAAATTTCTCTAATTTCTTGTCTTCACATTAAGGTTTGCTACAGGATTTATATTGACATCACTGTATATTGTGCTGAGAAAAGCTAAAAATACCCAGAATAGCAATGTGATGACACACCTTTAGACCCATTTTCTTTGTGTTTATGAAAATATTGATTTTAAAATGGAAAGCAGTATTACCTTTTCTAGAGTCTTCGAGAAATTCCAGGTAGATCCTTCTTCACATGAATGGCCATTTACTGAGCTCCACTACGAAACCACATTTGTGTTAATATTCCATTTTTTCACAGTGAAATGTGTAATTTAGAACACGTTTGATCACACACACTTGGCATGCTTCTGGAGTTCGAGTTGAATAATGAGCTGGCAGCATCTTCCTGCTTGAACAATGTGAACTGAACTACAGGAACTGGTCATGTGAAAGTGTATCTGAACCTGACTAAACAAAATTGGCATGTTTCTGCATGCCCTTTCTAATGGTTGTGAGTGCAGAGTGTTCCGGGCTGGCAGGGCTGGCAGGTTTGCCCTCTTTGGCAGCAGTTCAAGAATAAAACTATTCCTGCCCAACAGGAAAAATTAGTCCAACAATTCAAGGCTTGCCGATTTTACTCCTGATACCTTGTGACTGCAGATCAAAATAGATAATCTGAATGAAAGAAAACTACATTTTGACAGAACAACAAGCTGTTTATTTTGGTCATTTCCATTTAATCAAGTAAACAACAGATCGGACATGCAGAGTGTTGTAAGGCAAATTAGTCCCCAACATTTTTTTTTTCCACTATTTCACCATCATCAACATTCCATAAAACAACTAAGAAGACCCATGTAGGTTCACTGATAGAAAATAAAATGGCTATATTTGTGTGTACTCAGTGTGACTCCCCCTTTGCAATAAAGGAAATCTAATCCGGCAAGTTTCTCAATAATGAACCATTTTACAACAAACCGCTCTAAATGACTTCGTTTACATTGCTTTATAAAAAAGTAAAGAATGGGAATTAGGTATAAAGACCTAGATGCAAAAAACAGAAGTCATCAACATAGTAAACTATCAAGCTCATGCACAGTATTAGTTTGTTAAGAGCAACTTTGTCTGCCATAATTTTATGCAAACAAGAGAAACTGTGTTTACAGAATGATGATATCCTGAAACTGAGCTGGAACATATTGACTGGTTAGACAGGAACTGCGCTGCAAAACAATAAAACACAGCAAATACCCTTACCTGCTGGATAAGTAGATCACAACACAGCTCAGTACTAGTACTAAAGTGCAACTACTCTCAGTATACACTTTATAGAACCGATGAGACTGAGCTGGTTTGTTGACTTATGGACTTTGTGTGTGTACATTTTAATCCTATGTCATATGCCAGAAGTAATTTAGCAAACAGATAAGAAAATGCATCACAGCTCAAAGGTCAGCATAGAGGTGTAGGGCTCAGCTCAACATCATGATGAATCATGAAGTAAAGCATAAGGTTTTTAAATAATTTATTAAAAAAATATTTAAGTCTTTTAGATTAACAAATATTAACATGTAGTGATTTTTGTTTTTGTTTTTTGTTTGTCCTGAGAAATAGGGCATTATAAGTTGTTCTAATGGCACCATTTGGATACATCTTCATAATTTCTTGAGCCGGGAAAGCAGGTGGAAGAGATGTGCTTGATCTGTTTGGGATCCCCAAACGGTCTACATGTTCTCTTCTTGCTCCCAACACACCTGAACCAACCAGTCACAACATGATTACCTGGACTGTGTTCAGCCCCAACAAAACACAGCGATTTTATTAGAATCAGTTGTGTGCGTTGCCTTTTTAATATAGCAGGGTTTATATACAGGTCACTGCTGATTGGATAACACCTCTGTCATGCCCATCAAATGAGAGAAAATGTACCTCAAAGCCCGCTGCACACATTGTCTCATACTGTTTTGACAAAAAATGTCATTCAACCTGGGAACTGTAGCAAAACGGTGTACAATATTTTGAAATTGAAGGTGCTCCTGGTATGGGTGTACCAGGGCAGGTGTGGCAGATTGTTGTTGGATCTAGGTTCTGCAGGAAGGTACGTCTCCAGGACCAGGGTTAGAGACCACTGGTAACGGTTTGTGAATGGTTCTAGGCCATACCATTCTAGGTAGAACCGTTATATGGCATATAAGAAATTCTATATTATGCAGAGATTCTTTAAGTTAATACAGACATTTTGAGAGGAAGTACAATAAGCAGCAGACAACTAAAATTTTTCAACACGAGACAACATCTGCCTGGTACATCACTGAGATGTATAACCTGATGGAACTAAAATGATCAGACCACCCCTGAGTTTGGTGAAATCAAAGTAGGTAACTCAGCCTGCAGTTTTCTGAGTGGAGGAGGGAGAAAAACACATAGATGATCCAGATGAAAATAAAATCATTTGTAAAAGAGCAAATTGCCCCAAGACCCCATTTGAATATAATCCTGTCTGAATTGGACAAGAGATAGAAACTGTCTTTCTTCTAAGGTGTCTCGGAGAACTCTGCAGATCATAAGTGGCCACACACTTCAGTTCAGTGCTCACCAAAGCACATGTTTCTAATGAGATTTCAGTATCAGTTCAAGCATGTTGCATTTTGTTTCACAAATATCAGAAATGCCACATCTTCAGGAGGGCAGAACCGGTTATATCTGACACAGACACACTGATGAACCATTAAAATACACCCCAAATCCTGCATAGAGTGGCTCTGTAAAAGTGGAGTGGAATGTATGTATGTGGGTCAATGTATGTGTGTCAGAGGAGATGCAGTAGAAGGACAGAGTGCCAGCCAGCCAGTGCAGAAATACTCCAACTCTGTTGGAGTGAGAGGGCTTGACATCTACAAGAGTGGAAACACCATTGTGTCTGACATAGTAGCCATCGTTAGAACAATCAAGTCTCCAAGACTTCTCATTGAGTCCAAACACACAGTCATTGCTCTTTCCTTTCCTTCTAATTCCTCTATATGTTACTGCTATGGCTGCATGAGTACTCCACTCAGCCTCCCAGTAACAGCGACCGAACAGACTCTCCTTACACAGCACCTGAAGCCAGTCGTGAAACCTCTCTGGATGATCCGGATACTGGTGGTCTGTATGTACCCTACTCACTGTTCTGTTGCCTTCTGACAAAGAGAGATGTGTGTGTGCTGTGTTTGGGTCCAAAGTGAGCTCGCAGGCATCTGCACACAAGAACACGAGAACAAGTCAGAGACACGCAAATGTGTATATGTGTAAAGGTAGGTTTTTTGGCTCCACATGTAAAATATGTAGTGTTTGGGATGTGACGTAGAATTGTATGCACACATTTGAAAACCTCTGGTCAAAATACATGTTTTGTTCAATTTGTAAGTGAACATAAGTTAGCACATCAGAATTTGCAGTGAACTTAAATTTGGCATTTTTCCTGCATTTTTTTAGTGCACAATTTCTAATTAGTTGCTAAGAAAATATTGGAAAAAATGTAAAATGTCATAAATGTTTACAGGCTGCATTTTTTGTTTTCCCTCAAATATGTTAAATTCTGAAAATAAACAGTAACTGTTATATATGTACAAACTGAAATGTACATAAGTTTGTAGAGAATGTGTTAACTTGTTTTCACTTCACATGTAATTTGACCAGGGGTACCCAAACTTTTGTATATGACTGTATATGAGATAAAGTATTCAAGGTTACACCAAGGCCCATAGTTGCAAAATTAACAGATAAATCTTCTTCTTTAACCAGAATGTATAAGGAGAAAGTTGTGTCTGAGCAGACATGTAGAGATGTACATCATTAGCATAAAAACAAACTGTGTTCTAGGGATTTTAAATAAAGAACAATAAGGGGCCTAAAATAGAGCCTTGGTGGATGCCATAATGCACACGTTTAGGTTCTGAAAATTCCAAATTTACATTAAGAAGTTGGAAGTGATGGAGTATATTTTAGTCTATATATGATATGTTCTTTTAGGTATATTGTTAGTTTTCCCACATAAATATTACAGCACAATGTGTGTGTGTGTGTGTGTGTGTGTGTGTGTGTGTGTGTGTTTGTGTGTGTGTGCGCACAAACATTTTCTTGGTCCTGGTCTGATCCTGAACTCCCCTGCATGATCCACACTAAAAATAACAAATGGCAAAACACAAGTGTGAAACAGTGTGTGCAACTTGTTGTGTAGCTACTTGAAGGAACAAAACAAAAAACCTAAAAAAAAACCTTGAATGTCTTTAATTACATTTTTCTAGGCTACCACCAGCAAAATAGTCAAAATTGCACATGAACATTTATCTAATTTTATATCATTTTCTGATCAACTAAATAAAACAGTATTTAGCAGTCACAGTCATCTTTTTCCAAGCACTTATTTTGTGGCATTATTTTTCTTCTGAGCCTCCATGATTCCAAGTCATAAAATGTGTTCAAAATGTGCTTGAGTAATCTTGTAAAATTTTGCTTTTATGTATTATACCCACATTTCTATCAAATGTCCACCAGATCTAATTCAGATTTCTTCAATCAGTTATGTGGAAAATTATCAATAGGTTAAAGCTGAAAGAAGGCATAAGATTTAATATTTGGGCAAGAAAAAATAGCCTTATTAATACACTGACTCACAGTGTAAATGTATTAAGACAAAGCCATTTGTTCTTAGTGTCATATTTGTGCCCAATTATTTTTTTCTCTACTTATTTGTGTTTTGAATTCAGCTACACACTTTGCTATTTCCACCATGTTTACAGCTACATTAATAAATGTACATCCATAGTACGCTACGGATCTGCTGATCACATTGTTTTTCTGAGAGTTGAAATCTTTAAACGTACTTGAGTGTCTCTAGCTTGCATTGTGGATCCTTCAGTTTAGCAGACAGCAGCTCCAGTCCTAAATGTCCTGGGTGATTGTAGCTCAGATCCAGCTCTCTCAAGTGAGAAGGGTTTGATTTCAGAGCTGAAGCCAAAAAGAAACAGCTTTTCTTTGTGAGTATGCACAAAGATAACCTACAGAGAGAGATGAAGGACAAAATTCGATAAATTATATACATTTTATCAGTATTATTACTCTATTTAATTTTTTACAATGCATTAACATACTGGCTTACTTTTGAGTAAGTCTTGAGCAAGTTGGATTAAAGCTGCCATGAATGTTCTTTTCAATTTTAGATATTCCTACTCAAGTCAGATTTATCATTGTACATAATGGCACTTTTCATGGATGTCCTCCACTGTTTAATGTAAGCATAAGTATGCAATATATTAAGTATTTGCTCTCAACATAAACTGATTTTATTCCTTAAACATCCCTCTAATAAACTTTGTGCTGTTACAGCTGTAACTAAAAAATTTGGTCATACTACACCACATGCTTAGCTGACCTCAGAATTTGCAGTTTACAGTGTTGTGTCGCAAGTCCAGCACAGAGAAATTTCACTCCTCTGTCCTCCAGCTCATTGTGACTCAAGTCCAGCTCTTTTAAGGCTGAAGAATCTGATCTGAGAACTGATGCCAAAACTTTACAGCTGTCTTCTCGGAATCTGCAGCAACACATCCTAGATAAAAGATACTGTTAAAGATTACATAACATCAAACAAACAAAAAAAATGAATTTACACATCAAAAAGTATGGAATATTTACCTCAGGACCTCCAGCTTACATTGTGAAGTCTTTAGTCCAGCAGACAGCACCTCAACTCCTGTATCCTGGAGGTTATTGTAACTCAGGTCCAGTTCCCTCAGTGGTAAATCTGACTTAAGAACTGATTCCAGAACTTCACAGCCATCTTTAGTGAGACCACAGCATGACAGCCTAAATAGGAAATACTGTGAAATGTCTAGTCATGCAAAGCAATAGTGCTTTTAAAAAAACACAAAGAGATATTTACCTCAGGATCTCCAGTTTACAATATGGGCTATTCAGACCAGCAGAAAGTAGCATCATTCCAGAATCATGTAGGTCATTGTTGCTCAGGTCCAGTGTTCTCAGTGGTGAGGAGTCTGAACTGAGAATTGATATTAAATCCTTGTAGCTCTCTGTGGTCAAATTACATTGATCCAACCTTGGATAACAGGAAAGATTATAATCATAAAAAAATATTTCAAGCATATATATTCAGAACACAGCTACCAACAATACAACAATGGGTAGATAACATGAGTAAGGAAATTGAGAGGAGTTTGAAACAGACCCATATGGTAGATCTGGCAACAGTTTATACCTCTGATGGTACTAAGGTTTTAACATCGTATCTCAGTATGTTTTGCATATAATTTATATATTTTTTATTAATTTCTTATGAAGAAATTAGCTAGATGACTTGCAAAAAGAATGTTGCTCATTATACACAGTTATAACAAATAGGAACCTGAGGTAGTTGAATGTAAGAGCACTGACTAATGATCACTATCAAAGACAGCAAGAAGGGTAAGAACTGGCAGAAACCTCGAGATCAGGGGAATCTGTAGAATGATGGGGGGACCTAAAGTGAAGCCAAATGAAGTTTCAGATAAGAGTAGAATGAAGCCAGAAATTTAGGGCAGGGCCTGGGTCGACCAGAAACATGCTTGACTAAGAGCTGGAAAGCAAATTACACAGGATGACCTGGGTCACAAGAATGTGGCATAGCTACACTGTCTTGAACTTGAGGTAATACCAATATTTGTCCTAGGCTGCAACCTAATGAATGCTTCCAGAACACAATCTGGAGCACTAGGTTTTAGGAACAGGCTGGGTGGTAGTGGTATTGTACATGTAGGAATTTCAGGTGGCTCACTTGATACTGTATCACCTATGGCCATCTACGGCAAGTGGAAGAAGAAGAAGAAGAAGAAAAGAAGAAGCAACAATGGAAACTGGAGTTCGGGCTGTATCTGTAGCACCAGACCTCCTGCAAGCAAGGCTTAGATTAAACTGGCCACCAGGAGTTGAGACTTGATGAAACACTTTTGCAGAGAATGAGGTTTGATCATTAGTATAAGATACAGAAAAGGGGAAAAACAAGAGTATTCTATATCTATGATTTAAAAAATGCAGCAGTATCATCAAGATGGTCAGTGGTGAGCAGGAAGCTCTATGGTAGCCAGACTGGTCCAGAAGGCTGGCAAGCAGTGGGCACCTGATCAAGGCAGGTGGAGCAACAGCATCAGAGCAAACAGCACAGGCAGTAAGACAGCCCTCAAGAAGAGGTATCAAATAGGGAAAAACAAACAACATTGGTGGTCTTGGAAATCACAAGACACGGCAGGAGACGCTTTGCAAAAAGAAGTGAGATTTGTGGGAAACTGAAGAAGAAAGTGTCTGAGACCACTGGAACAAAAGCTGGAATACTCTGCAATACAGGAACTGGAGTTTGTTCTCCTGCAATAATCTGACCTCACCTCCAACTAGAGGGTGAAGCTAGGCCCAGAAAAGACCATAAAGCCTTCTACATTCTGCAACTCTGGTCATCCTCCTGAGCAAGAGAGGCAACCCAGTCTTGAGCTCCACTCATGAGCTGTGACATAATGATGTTACTTTTCTCAGAATAAATATTTTTACTACATAATCTAAATAATGAAAATACTGAAAAAGAAATCTAATGAAAGCAGTGGGGATTGCATCACGATCACTGGCAAGAGAAGGCCAGTCATTGGGAAGGAGGCAGAGAAAACAATCAGAAGACAGGGAGACTCATCATCGGTCTACGTGGATGGAGGTACAACATAAGACAGATGTTGCAACACCATCAGTTGCAACAGGATCAACTTTTCCAGGACTCCAGGGGTTGCTGTGGTCATAGGTAGCAACACACTCTGGATCACTAGGAAACAGTAACAGGTTTGGGTGCACTAAGCCCCTAAGAATCTCTAGAAGAAAAATACGGTGGATCAACAATGGAAGGTGAAGTTGGGCTACACCTGTAGCAGCAGATTTACTGATAAGCAAGGCTTGGATAAAAAGGGCACCAGGAGGTGAGGCTGGAGTGGGAGAGCCTGATTATCAGCAGTCTACATGGATCTAGGAGCAACATAAGACAGGTGTTGCTCTATATTCCTGAGTTTTTCTTCCGTTCCCCTGCTGTACACTCTCAGAAAGAAAGGTGCTAAACTGTTCCTGGGATGGTGCCCCTCAAGTCACTGAGGTGGTCCCCTAAAGGGTACATCTTAAGAACTTTCAGTTAGGGAACATAATTGTACCATATTCTTTTGTAGTTATATTTTTAAAGGTTACACCATCTACATACACCCTGTCTTGACTCCAAGCTTTTATATTTATGTTTCTATATTAAAACCTTAGGTCAAAAATGTACAGAGTTGCACCTATCCCCTTGGAAATGTAGTGTAGTAATAAAATTTAAGGTATGCAATTGGATCGTAAAACCACTGTTGTACATTTGAAGGTACATTTACATTGCATAGTCTCTCAGTATTTTTGTTCAAGTAATTGTTTTAAACCCCAGACTCACAACTGGTTGGACTCCCCTATCTTATAGCAGGCTAAAAGGTCATAAGGCAATTTTATGCATGACATTGATACATAAAAATAATACTTACAAAGCCTGTCTTGTGTTTTTGATCACTGGCAGTAGTCTTTTCAGTCCCTCACTTGATTGCCTGTATTTCTTTAGGTCGAATTTCTCTTGAGTTTCTTCTGACGTCAGCAACACAAAAACCAAGGCTGACCACTGTGACGAAGAAAGACTATGTGTTGAGAAATATCCTGATTTCAAGAAGTTCTGGATTTCGGTCACAAAGGAGTCATCCTTGAGTTCATTCAGGCAGTGGAAGAGATTGATGCACCTTTCTGAGGATTCTGTCTCCCTGATTTTCTTCTTGATGTAGTCAGTTGTGTCTTTCAGGCTTTCTTCTCTGATTTTCATTTGTGGTTGTAGACTCTTCAGCAGTCTCTGATTGGACTGCAGTGAGAGACCTAGGAGAAACCGGAGGAAAAGGTCCAGGTGTCCTTTCTCACTCTGCAAAACCTTATTCACTGCTGTCTTGTGGAGATCAAACAGTCTATGCTTACCTAACCTCCATTTTATTTTCTCACTGATGTTCTGGATAAGTGGGTTGCACTCAGGATTAAATGTGAGGAACACATACAAGGCAGCGAGAAACTCCTGAAAGCTCAAATGCACAAAACTGAAGACCGTCTCGTCCTTTCTGAAGATCTGCGTACAAACACCTGAGTACACCAAAGCTTGATCGACATCTATGTCGCAGTCTTTCAGGTCACTCTCATAGAATATGAGTTGTCCCTTTTCCAGCTGAAGAAATGCTAAATTTGCAAGCTTAAGCACATCCAACACTTCAACACTGTTTTTCTGAACCTCATTTTCTTCTTCTTTTTTCCTGTTGTATTTCTCACTCATTTGTGTTGTCTGGTACAGGAGAAAACGCGTATACATTTCTGTCAGAGTTGTGGGAGCAGTCTTCATGTCTTTGTGATCTGTAAACATCTGCAGAAGCACAGAGGCCGCAATCCAGCAGAAGACTGGTATGTGGCACAGAATGTGGAGACTCCTTAATGACTTAATGTGTGAGATGATTCTGCTGGCTTTATCTTGATCTCTGATCATCTTCCTGAAGTACTCGTCTTTCTGCTGGTCTGTGAAGCCACGTATTTCTGTGATATGGTCAAAGTACCTACGAGGGATCTGGTTGGCTGCTGCAGGTCGAGAGGTTATCCAGATGAGAGCTGAGGGAAGCAGCTCACCCTTGATGAGGTTTGTTAGCAACTTATCAATAGTAGCCTTCTCTGTCGCATTAGACAGTTTCTTTTGATTAAAATCTAATGGAATTCTGCTTTCATCCAGACCATCTAGTATAATAGCCACTCTACAGTTACCACTAAACATCTCATTCTCTTTTAGGTCATGTAGTTCACCATGGAAGTACAGAATAAGCTCCCGCAGAGTGTAATGTTCATCTTTGATCAGGTTCAGCTCCCGAAAGGGAAGGAACCAAATTAAATCTATATCCTGATTGGATTTTCCATCAGCCCAGTCGAGGATGAACTTTCGTACAGAGACCGTCTTCCCAACTCCAGCAATTCCAACTGTCAGAACTTTTGTGCCATTCAGATTTTGCCCAGTGCACGCTTTGAAAATTTCACTGAATTGAACTGGAGTTTCATCTGTTCTGGGGTTAAAGGCCTCCATTTGTCTCACTTCGTGCTCATTGTACACTCCACCAGTACATCCTTTAATCACATAAAGTTCTGTGAAGATGCTCTTTAACAGAACAAGATCTCCATCTGTTGATGTCCCAACATAGAGTTTTCCAAACTGTTTCTTGAAACTAGTTTGAAACTTCTCTTTAATGATGCAGTGATTCTTATCTGTAGATACATATAGGAATAAAATGTAAACTTTCAGTCATTACAGTAACATTTTAATTGATTTAAGGAAAACATAAAAGTAGTTCATTTTCAAAAAGTTGTTGACTCCTTGATAAAATTTTTTTAGAATATTTACATTTACATATTCAATTAGCAGATGTGTGAAGTACCTCCAGTGAGAACTTGGTCACTTGGAGAATCCTCCGTTTGATCCGTGTTGGTGTTGGAAGTGGGTGATGTCTGGGCTGGAGGAGAGGGAGTATATTCAGAACTTTGTTATTAGACATTACACACACTGTAAGGCACAAAGATGGGCCAAGCTTCTAACAGTGCCACAGAGTACCAATGTTTTTCTACAGAAAAAATTTGTTTCCCATTATTGAAGAATTATTTCCAAAGGATGCCCAATCAGAAGTAATGTAGAAATAGCTAGAGAAATTGTATATTAATCTGAATCATCCAGATTTAAACCATCTAATCTCACATTAAACACAACTTACCCGGGCAGACGTTTTCCACTGCTGGCCAACTGTGGGAGGCCATTAAAACCGTATGGAAGTGACAGGTCAAGTGTAAAAAAACTGCCTGCAATTTTACCACTTGCACTTTTTCTCACTGCATTTTGCCACAATAGATTTCACTGTTTGCTGCTGGTGGGTGTTTCATTTTGGAAAAGAAGGATGAGTACTGAACATATTTGGCCAGCAAACAATGTTTTAATGCCACTAAAATTTAGACGTATGCTTTTTATGGTTTTCAGAATGCAGCAGTTGTCCACACAAGCTAGAAAATTAGCTTGCTCAATCTCACTAGCAAGCTGACTAGCTACCTTAGCAATTAACCCTAGCTCTGTCCAGTTAAAAATTTGTGTTCCAGTTTAAACTATGTAAACTTTATCCAACTGAACGTTTTTCCTCCAAATCTTCACTGTCGACAGGTCTGTGTAAAAGCTGAGATTTTTATTATTATGCAAACTGTCATGGATTGAGAGAAGAGAAAAAGAGCCATAGTTTCAGCTCTTGAAGAAAATTATATTTGCCGGCTTGTGACGACGACCAGTCTGCCGCTGTCTGATTGGCTAAACGCAGTGAGGTGGCTGCATTCATTTACATAACTTTGAAATCCACCAAACTTTTTCACTATGTGGCAAAGCAGATTTCGCTGCACTGCAAACCATTATGCACTTCTTGAAGCCACAAGGTAAAGTTGCAAGTGTACATGTACCGAAAGACCTCACTGCTTAAAAGAAATAGAGGAAACAAGAAAGCTATTTCATACTAGCTTATGTTGCATGTTGCTTCAGTTTTACTTGTTTGTTTACTTTTTCTATTGCTAAATTAGAAATAATAAATTTTTGCTTGGCCCATTCTGTGTGCCTCAGTCTATATATTAACCTTATTAACACAAAATAGATATTTATGTCGTTTAATCTGTTCCACTTTGCTACTAATACAGAATCTCAGTGCTTTTGTGTTTATTTGGTATGAAAATAATGTAATAACCAAAATTAGGTTTTTTAGAGTTTTATTGCTTGTCATAGAGTTCATTTGAAGCCCCCAAGAGGGAAAGACCATTTCTATGGAACTGAAAGCAACTAAATGGCTTTAAATTGATACAGATGAGTTCTCGTTGCACACAGCAAATTTGTAACATATCTTATTCAAGTGTAATTTCAACTGTGTACACATTCACAAATTTAGGGTCAAATTAAATATCTTAATGGTACTGACCTAATTACATCAACACTACAGAGATTGAAGAATTTAGTCATTCAATACTGAATTTAAGTAACTAAGCAGTCAGTCTTAGCATTAATGAGCCAATATTGCTAAATCTTGGCTGCTGATTGGCTGTGTAAACTACATTCTGTGAGCATGTAATTAATGTCAGCACTTCTACATTGTTCTGTAATCTCTTATAATCAGTAAATACACCACTTGCAGCACCACTTGCTAAATTCCTTTCTGAGCCACACCCACTAAAGGGTTGTAATTAAAAAGAAGACATTAGGAAAAAGTATTGTTCCAGAATTTGCATCAAAACAAAAGTATTGTTATTGGTATTAGTATTGGTATTGATATTATTATCCTGTTTGGAACTGACTACAGTCTTTGCTTACCTGGTTCAGGTGTGTTAGATGCTGAAATAGTGAAAAAAATAAAAAAGCAAACGTGTTAACAAAATACATGAAAGAAACAGAAAATTGATTGTACGTGTGTAAAATCAAACATTCAGACGGAGACCAATATGTGAGTGAATATGAATCTCTCTTCAAGACTTTAAATGAGTTACCTGCACTTGAAGAATCAAGATTAATTATAACTTGTCCCTGAAACACATTTCCGTGGAGCATAGGAGCATGGACGCTTCCTCCAGTCTGAGCCGTAACCGTGGAAACCATCTGAGCTGGAGTTGTGGAGGCTGCAAGTGCAAGAGAGGGACTTGAAGACCATTACAGAAGCATTGCAATGCTGGAAGATACTGTATCATTCAAATATAGACGGAGGGAGAGAAATTAACTGAGGAGGAGCTTATTAATTTACAGAAAAAGCCACGCCCCCTTCCACTCTCCAGCACTCAGTGTCAACTACTGAATACCCACTCTGACTTGGACTCTGCTCCTCCATTACTCATGTGTTCTCCATTTTTGGCTTCATAATTTTTAACATCAAATTCAATGTTTGTATTAAGTTTTTTAAGACATCAAACAAATGAAAAATATCTTTTTCCACAGCACAGCAACGCACAAAAACCCAAATATGAACCATATTGATGCCTATTATAATCAAAGAGATGGAAGAGAAAACATGGATATAAATGGCATATGCCAAGGTTGCAAACCCTTTCCTTAAAGGGAAATACATTTTTTTTTTAAATTGGTTAAACAAATTACTATTTTACCATCATCAGCGACCTATATAAACACTCAGACTTGTGTAGGTTCACTGGTGGTTTTGGATAGTAAATAAAATGTATATGTTTGTGTTGTAGTCATGGCGACCCCTGGTTTAAATTATGCAGAAGTGATAAAAAAATTGGAGGTTAATTCTCCTTAATCTAACTCCGCTAACTGCTCTCTCTTTTTCTTCCATGTTTTTTTTTAGTGTTTGATTTAATTTAATGTCTTTTATCCCTTCATCAATGGTTGGTTTCTGAATTGATCACTGTTGGCTGGATAGATTGTCTTTTCAGACATTTTATGGCCTTAAGGTTTTTTTTTAATCTATTTTAAGACCTCACAAAGCTTTGTAAGGGTACGTAAGATCTCTGTACATTTACTAAGACCATGTTGGACTGCTTTAGATCATTTATCCATGTTTATTACACTACTGGTTAGTAGTCTTTTCTGCAGTGCTCTGCTTGCTGGTGTTGTATCTGTGGCACTGCTTTTTCACATTAGACTGTGATTACTTGCTCAACACATTACATAGGAACAAGTTTCCATTACAGTTTGATGATAGGCTTTGCAGTTACTACTGATTCTTGTCAAATTATTAATTAAATGTTAACACATGAAAAGGAGAGGCAGTTACTTTTAAAAGCTTTTCATTAATCATTTTATGTCTGCAGGTTCCTTTTTGATTTTTTCAGCTAAAAAGATATCAGTGGCTGCAATTTACTACATAAAGCAGTAACATCAAAATAAAACAGCCTACATTTGCTGTCCATGTCTCCAGCTTCTTCCTTCAGATGGTTGGAGCTCATGTTCTTCAGGGTGTTACTGGCTCAGCCAGCTCAAACAGCACAGTTATTCCATGTTGAGTTATTTTTTTTTTCACACATCATTCTGAAACAATAAAATCTGTGAAATAGTTAGTGGTTAGAGAGATCTATACTCTGACTTGTTGACGACAGAAGACTTTGGAAGAGATTTATCACTATTTCACCATCATCAACATTACTGTCACACTTCTGGGTTCTTCTCCCTTGCCTAACACGCTCCAGGACTCCATTTCCCAGAATCCCAATCATCATGACATCACCCCTTCCACCAATCACAGGCCTCTGCCTCGTTCTCAATCACCTGAGTACTGATTCAACACACCTGTATCTGTTTGTCTTAGACCTTAAAAGGATTCTGGTTTGTTCTCCTCTTTGTGAGGTATTGCCACTCTTTTGGTTACTGAGTGGTTATCTTCTATTTTCATGTCCTGTGTACTGAACCCATTGCCTGTTTTCTTGATTGTTTCTCTTTTAGATTTGCCCTTATTGCTCTGGTTGCCTGTGTTTTTGCATTTTCTGGTTTTTGACTTTTGCCTGTTTTTGGACATTGTTTTTGGATTTGCCCTAACTTGTTTCTCTCATTAAACCAACTGTTGTTTTTAAGATCCGTGAGCGTCTTTCTGTGCTTGTTCAGCATTACAATTACATATAAAACTCAGAAGACATCTGTAGGTTTGCTGATGGTTTTGGATAGTAAATAAAATGGCTATATTTTGGATAAATTAGCTATTTTTTTTTAGATTGAATGTCGTAAAGCAACAGTCTGTAACAGCTGTGCTGTTAATTGTATCTTAAATAGCTGATATACCACAAAATACATGAGATCTTATAATCTTTGGTGAGGAGCACAAGCTGAAACTAGTATTAGCAGCTGTTAAGCCAGCTGTAAAAAAACAATTCTGTCCTAACAGAATCAGCAGTTAGTGCTCTCCTCCAAGCGTGTTGAGCTCCAATGATGTCGCAATAGCAGCAGTTTAAAAAGATGTAATAGGGCTTTATGTCTCTTGGAGGATGAATGCTAGTCTTCACCACCCCAGCTTGGTAGCACTGAATGAGGGAGAACTAGCTAATGGGTCTAGATTGAAACTGACATTGAAATTTAGGAGAAAATTGAGTACCAAAAACATAATTCCCACAGCTGATAGTACTCCATTGACGTCCGAATTGCACTGACACTTATTTGGTAGGCAACATCAAAGTTCATTCAGCAGTGCTGTTTTTTTAAACACCTTTTAGATATCATTTTAAAGTGTATTAACCAATGTATTTGAGTGTATTGTTTGAGGTATTTGTTGATGCATTTATTGAAGTAAATTGATGTATTTATTGGGATATCAATTCATTCATTTATTGAGGTAAACTAAAGCATTTATTAGGGTAAATTGATTCATTTATTGAGGAAAGCTGATATTGGCTTAGTATTCACCAACTTTCATAATTTGTTTTACATTTAAGGCACCTCAGTGTGACTGCAGCACCATTTAAGGTGCAACTGAAAATTCAAATGAAAAGCTGGTGAATAAGAAGCTGACTTCAGCTTTATATCTGCATATGACTTTATTATTTAAGAAATTTGGCAGCGTTTGTAGCCATTTTTATTATTTTTTAATAAAACTTCGCGCATCAAATTGTTCTGAACTCTGTAGACGTGCTGGTTTTTCTGATCCAGTCTAACAATCTAGCTAATCTTCTACTTGTAGTGTTTTCTAGAGACGCATTTAAAGCATCCACATATCTTTTTATCTTTTTTGTGGTCGTTCTGACTTATTTTGTTTGGTTTTTATTCACCTGCAGAGCTGTATCTGCAGTAACAGTGATGAATCGATCTCTATCAGAGCACAGTCAGACATGGCGACGTGGTCTTATTAATGACATAATTGAATGCTATGAATAGCCCAAGAACTTATTGATGTTCAATTGTGGTTAGACTGTTTTTAAAACTTTAAGTATACTTTTTGAAAGCACATTTTTGCCAATCTGGACCTTGAAATCTTCTGGAAGTTCACTTTTGAAATCTTTCTTTATTATAGGAGCACCTATCCCCAACAAACTCCGTCTTAAATACAATGTTTTTTAAATATTACACAGTTCCTTTAATCTTAGAATGTGACTATTATAAATATTGAAGAGAAACAGAAACCATCTACCACAAAACTGACACACAGTAATAATATTCTCTGTTATAAGAATATGTAGCTCTCCTTAAAGAACATGCACTCTGGGGTATGTGTTCATGTCACTGTCTTACATAACTGAACAAGAACAATGACAAAATCAGGTCCATCAACTTATTCTGGTGTTTGAATGATTGAAAATTTTATTAAACTTCTTAAACATGCTTGCATTGGACATCAAACTGATGGCAAATGGTACAATATGTTATAAATGTATTGAATAGCTAAGTTTGTATAGTTGATCTAACGTAATAAAGCTCATTTTAGAGTCCACACATTATAATGTGAAATAAACAAAAACAGATCAAACCACATGTGATGGTAACAATACAAAACAGATCAAATGGTATACGAAGGTTTCAGTCCACGCAAAGAACATCATATTGACACTTCTGAATTTTCACTGACTTCATGAAGCAAACCTGTTACAATTCCTGGACACTGATCTCTCCTGACTGATGAGTGTTCATATTTGTAATGGTGGAACTGATAAGAAGTAGAAGGAATAAACATTAGGAAATACCTGCCTCCATTTCCACAGGCTACTTCATAATGTTCAGTTCAGGTTTTCTTCCATTCTTGTTGTGATATGAAAGACTGAAGAGTCCAGTGGAGTCCAGTCCAGTCTTTATGGCCACACCCTCCTTTCTTAAAGATTACTCAGCGGTCAAAGAACATCCTCCTAATGGCTCAAAGTTCAGCTGGAACTGTAAAATTGAGTTCAGGTCTAAATAACTCCCTTTGTGCCTCATCCTACATGTAGGCATACAAGACAGTTGGTGGCACAGCTTATTTAAGTTGACTCAACTCGGGTTCTCTAATTCAAACTTTTCAAAAATTTTGTAGCTCACATTTTTAAATCATCTCAACAGTCAGGTCTGATTCTTGCTATAAGTAATATAAGCAATCGCTTAGTGTCACACATCCATCGGGCTATGAACCACATATGGACTCCATCTCCCATAATCCTCTGGGAGATCACATGACTCAGGACCATCCCTCGCACTCTGAATCACACTCGGACTCCATCTCCCAGAATTCTCTGGGAGATCACATGACTCCTGATCTCCCTTTACGTTCCTATCAGCACTCTTGCTCAACGGAATACTGACTCTATGCACCTCTGATATATCGTTTGACCACTGTTTTTGACCTTTTTGCCTGTTTTCTCTACTCTGCCTTTGCCTGCCCCTTTTTGGATTGATTGCCTTGGATTGTTTTGACCACATTAGCCCAATTTTGTGTACCTTACATTGGTTGCCAGTTAAATTCCGCATTGAGTACTAAAATTCTTCTACTGACGTATAAAGCTCTGAATGGCCTTGCTCCTCAGTACCTCAGTGACCTTATTTCCTATTATCAACCGACACGCCCACTTAGATCACAAGGTGCTGCTCATTATTAGTACTCAGAATAAATAAAGTTACGTCAGGGGGAGGAGCCTTTTCATACAAAGCCCCCCAGCTTTGGAACAGCCTACCAGTCTGTGTTCGGGACTCAGACACAGCCTCCATCTTTAAGTCTAGGCTAAAAACTTACCTGTTTAGTCGAGCCTTTGGTTAATTTGTTTTCCTAACTATCTGTCCCCTTTATCCCCTCCTTCCCCCTATCCCCCCCTTTTCCCCCCTCCTCCCTGAGCTGAGTGGCTGCCTGTCCTAAGAGGGTCTGACGTGACAGATGCGGCCGGCGCTCTGCACAGAAGTGTAAAACTGTATCCACTTATACTGTTTTGTGTCTGTGCTGTTATCCGGTGTCGACCAGAGGAGGATGGGTTCCCCTTTTGAGTCTGGTTCCTCTCGAGGTTTCTTCCTCCTGTTGAGGGAGTTTTTCCTTGCCACTGTTGCCAAGGCTTGCTCACTGGGGGCGTGGACCCGGATTCTCTGTAAAGCTGCTTTGTGACAACATCTGTTGTAAAAGGCTCTATATAAATAAATTTGACTTGACTTGACTTGTTATGTATTTGTTGTACTTCCTGGATCTGACCCATGCTTGTTTTGTGACTACGTACTTGGATATTGTCTTCATCAGTAAAGCCTCATCTGACCCTTTTAATCGTGAGTGTCTGACTCCTTCTGGCGCGTTACACTTAGGGCTCCAAAACCAGGAGACCCCATGAATATGTATATGATGTTCATGTGCAAAATTTGGCAAAATTGAGCTTTGGTGAAATTGATACACAAATTAATGTCCTGAGTGGCTACTGCTTTGGCTATGTGGACCACTGAACAGGCAGCTTTCATAGCACTGAAACTGAAAAGAAAACTGAGGATTTTACTTTTAATTTAGTGCCTAAGCATATAGCCAGAAATCTGGAGAACCTGAAAGCCCTTATAAGGAAACTTAAAGAACAGAGTGAAAAGATGGGACTCAGCTCAATATGAAGAAGACGAACATTATGACAACAGGAAAGACCACCAACTTTCCCATTGATGGAGAAGATGTGGAAATGGTGGACAGCTTAGGCGGACTCAGATCAATTATTAACAACAGTATCCACAGATTGATGCTTGGCAGAACAAGGATAAAGGAGCTTGAAAAGACCTTTAAATGTCACAATTTGTCTCTACAATCGAAGACCAGAGTTGTCCAGGCTGCGGTCTTCTCTGTGGTTCTTTACGGATGTGAAAGCTGGACAATAAACAAGTGAGATGGGAAAAATAGAAAAATATAGATGCATTTGAACTTTTGTGTTGGACGGCAAGGAAAACAAATGAATGGATTATCAAAAAAAGCCTCACTTCTCATTTGAAACCTAGAAAACCAAACTGAACCTCTTATTTGGACACATTCTGACAAGAACCGATTCATTGGAAAAGACCATTATGCTCGGTAGTGTTGAAGGTAAAAAAAGGAAGAGGTGGAGCTACAAAATAGGTAGACAAAATCAGAGGAATCATGAATCAGCCATTCGGAAGCCTGAAGACCCAAACAGAAGGCAGGATATTCTAGAGAAACATTATCCATGTGTTCACCAGGAGTCGGAAATGACTTTACGGCACGTAATAACAATAAATGTGTCTAAGCATTAACCTTTTTCTCTTTCTTCATCACTGACTCTAAATAAACAAAGGAAAGACGGACTGTATGATATGCAGTACTACTTTAATTACTGTACCTTTTATTGTTTTAGATGAGTTAGCTAGTATGATTCAGTAGCAAGACATATAATTTACATATATAATACACTTACATATACTATGCAGAAAATAAAAAATAGAAATAGAAATGGACATAAGTTAAATATAAGAGTAGAAATAAAGTATGTCTATTTGCATATTTACATAGCATATGAGACAGTTTTGTATTTACATGATAGCAGGCACTGAGTGGTATGAGGTAAACTAAAAGCACAGTGAGTATAAACATAACTAGGAGTTGCAGCAGTGTTTACAGTGTAAGTGTGCAGTGAGAGTCATTACAGTAGCAGGTTATGATATATTGCACAGTGTGTATTAACAGGAGAGGTGATACAGTGATGAGGTTCAGCTCAGGTCGGACAGCAGGAGATCAGTACCGTCTCTGCAGTAAGGAGACTCGTTGTAGAGCCGTATATCAGTGGGTAAGAAAGATCTCACACAGCCTCTTTAACACAGTACAGCTGTAACAGTCTGCACTGAATGTGCTTCTCTGTTTATCCAGTGTAGCATGCAGGGGGCTTGAGGTGTTATCCAAGATGGCTAGCTACAGCTGCAGATAAGTTACATCACTGCTGCCAACCACGCCAGTTACATAGTACATACAGTAAGTATAGCATATGTAAAAGTTAGCACTGCACTTCATAAGCCAAAGATGGCTCCTTCAGACTGCATAACATTGCTGAGTTATAGTGACTTGAATAACCAGAAAAGCTCATTTTGGCTACATTGGATTTGCCATTTATCATGACCCTTTGTGTGGCTACACAAGAAGCATCGTCTGCTCATAAGATTTACATGGAAAAGTAACTTTATTTTAGTTACATATATATATATATATATATTTGGTCTTCTGAGTGAAACTTCAACGCACACAAGCCATAAATGAGGTGAGCAATAAGGTTTTGAGAACTGAATTATTATATAACTGTATATAAGTTTCTAATTTAGTGAATAGTGGAAGAACAATTGTTTGTTTTTTTCTTGCTTTAAAGTTGCGTAGAAAGCACTTATATTGCTTTAAATGTATTTATTTACTTTTTATGTATCGTGGGTAGGTTACCTTTATAGTAGTTAAGCATAAATTATATCAGCAACTAAAATCTAAGAGAGTTATCAGAGCCTTCAAAAAGGAAGATTTGGCAAAAAAAATAAAGATATAGAGGTGAGTGCTGGAGCGTGTGCTTTTGTGTTTATTGTTTGTGGTTATTATATATTTTAACCTGAATAAAGCTTGTCCTCTGTTTCATAGACTTTGCTCCACCTATGAAAACTATTTTGTCATAAACAGTATGCTCAGTTTAATCACCAGAAAAAAAAATGTGGTTTCACAACTGTTGAGAATATTCATTTTTGTTTTTAAAAATCGGGTTTGTTAAAGTGTTAACCTTCTTGTGACCACTAGAGGGGGATCATGTTACATCTATACAAAGAAGCATCATCAGTTTCAAGTATTCGTTTTTTTCTTCTTCTTCACAAGGAAATTTAGCCATTCATCTGGATTAGGTTTTGTCTGCTTTTACTTTTCAGCAATAGAACAGTTGAATGCATTCTTTTATACTTACAACACTAAAATAAATCTGATATTAGTGAATACATGAGCTCTAATTGAGGCCAGGTCTAATTTGATATTCACTTTTTTATTGCCTTTTTTAGAAGATGAAGCAATAGTCTTATAATACACTATGCTTGGGCAGTGTCACAGTGCACTCCAAGATTTTAAAATGGGTAGATCTCCCACTAAAGACCTGTGAATTCTCCAGTTTAGAGGACATGGGTAAAGACTATGATATGCATCTAAAACTAGGAGCCATGTTATAAACAAGGCTGATTTATATCTTACTTCACAAAGGATAAATCATTTAAATCTTAATATGTCAGAAAAAAGTGAATGTTTTTCTCAGTATCGGATACTGACTTACCTGACTTTTCGCTTTTGTAGAAAGCACAGAAAAGAATATTCATTTTGTATGTTTAAATGCAAAAAGAATGCAGGAGAAAGATTTAGCTAAATGATGACAGATGGTTCATCACAAAAGGACAGTGATGCAGTAAAAGAAAGTTCCTGACCAAAACCAAAATTCAAACCAAAAGAAGGGGTTCTTTTTTTATATAATTTGCTGTTTTGTTCTGTTGATAATGCTGGTGATGGTTTAAAGGCAATCATTTATAACAACATACCTGAAAGAACTTGATGACTAATTCAATTTTAAATAGCTTGCTAAACAATATTGAATGTTAAAAGTTATAAAACTGTAAAAATATAATTCTTCATGGTTTCCCAAAAGTCATCTCAAGCTGAATTCCAGGTTGACTCTGCTATAATGATGGAAACACCTTGTTTTTTTTTTAATAAAGCACATGGCTATGGCTTTAGGTCTTCTAGCAGTCTGAAGCTTTCCAGCAGGTGGCACTATTAGTTTGCAAGGTGGGGACCAGGACAATAAGACATGAATGTCAGGTTTACAGAAAAAACAAAAAGGCTACTGAAACGCCTGAAA